GAAAATATGACGAAACAAACAAAAAATGGATGTCTGGATTGGTATGTATTTTTAGACTTATTTTGGTTGTAAATGACAAACCTTCTAGAATATTAATAAATTATAAACTTACCATGGTGTTCAAATTTCAACCTTTCTGTAACCATTCTTATTACACTTTACATTTTTGTTGTCAAATTAAATCTGCTTTGATCCCATTATTATGGAACTTTTCATGAAAAATTAAAACTTGTGCGTTTAACATTGTTCATTTTACTTATTTAAACAGGACTTAAGTTGGAATTTTCAAAATATTTGACAAGAGTTTAAATCATCCGTCCTTAAGACAAAACAATTTTTTTTTTAGTAGAGTTTGAACGAAAAAGTATATGTATGGAATGAAAATTACAAAAGTTTTAAATCGATATTTGATTAATAGATATTATTCTAATTTTTCATTAAAGCTAAAATTTTATTTTGCACTTGGGTTAAGCTATCAAAAATAATTTATTTGATTTAAAAAAAGATTCAATTTTTTTGTTATTTTTCGTATACGTATGTTCAATACATCTGTTCACCATTTTTTTTTTAAAAGGGACACTTGTAGCAATGTACCACCCATTCCCCCTCAAAGCATAAGTAGAGCAATTAGATTTCTTTGGGGAAAATTGGCTCTGGGGGAAATCGCACTCTATAACTACAACACAAAGAAGGACCCCCCCCCCCCCCGGAAAATTGACTCTGGTGTGGGATTTCTGTAGGGTAAATCCTATACTCTAGAGCCAGTTTTCCTGCGGGGAAATCCTACTCTAGAGCCAGTTTTCCGGGGGGAAAGATTTTAGGGGGGAAAACCTTCTCTACAAGACCGGTATTTAGGTACAATGGTACATATTATAAAGTCCAGAAATTATTCATTTATTTTTTCAATCTTTCAAGTAACAACTACTGAAAGTCTAAAACATGTTGTAAAGGGTGAAAACATCGGCATCTTACCATCCAAACATGATCAATTTTAGGTTTTTAAAAAAAGTTCCAAAAAGTGAAATTTTGTTTTTCTAGTATATTTATTAGAAAAATGGTAATTATTCATTTGAAATCATTGTAAAATTTGCTTGTAAAAATATCATGATATTATCGTGATATTTTGGAGGAAAGTCATGATATATCGCGATACAAATTTTGGTTGCGATACCCTAGAGCCTACGCCCCTGAAGATTCCAACACAATCTTTGATTTATCCACATTACTAAAAACTATTACCTACACGTTTGTGCATATAATTAAGATACATATAGATTCATTTTAATTACCGGGGTACTCAATAAACACAAATTACGCTTGTAATTATGTTGATTCTTTTATCTGTTTCCATGTTTAAATTGTGTCACATGCATGGAAAAAATCCCAGAATAATGAAAATAGGTACAGTAAATTTAAGAAAGACTGAAAACGTATTTCTATACGTTCCCTGAAAGCGGTCTTTTGTTCGAAAGTCCGCAGTCCGTAGTACGGTGTCAGGTGTATGAGATTCCGAAAATGTTCATTATCAGGGAAAACTGACTGCCAAAAAGTAAAAAAAATGTTGTTCAGTAAAAGTGTTGGAGGGGGTCCCTGCATCCCCTCTTACACCCTCACCCTAAAATATATATTCGCTTATGTTTTGTTCACATGAAAATAAAAATCATAGTGGTTTAAATAGCTTTCTAAAACAATTTGTATCATTTTGGAATTTCCCAATCTATTTTTAGATCAATGTAGAGGAAATAAATCCTTGTATTGACCGGGAACGTCACGTGCAGGTCAATACAACGTAATATTTTTCTATCATAGTTGGATCTCAGCCAATCAGAGAGATGGAAATTATTCAATCATATAATAAATAGAAATATGTATCTTAGCGTAGTCTACTTGTGTGCCAAGTTACACTGAAATCAGACCAAAACTGTAGGAGGAGTAGCATTTTGAAAGAATTTCACAGAAATTTCTATTTTTAGTAACCACGGCAACACCGTTCATCGAAATCAAAATCCGATACACAGAATTATGTATCTCAGTGTAGTCTACTTGTGTGTCAAGTTATTTTGAAATCAGACCAAAACTGTAGGAGGAGTAGGATTTTGAAAAATTGTTTACAGACAGACAGACGGACGAACGCCGGACGCATTACTACCGCATAAGCTCTTCTGGTCTCTGACCAGTAGAGCTAAAAACAACTTTAACCTTGACAATAACCTTCAAACCGTTGTTCCAGCACTTCCATATTTCACGTTGTTTCTCCTATTAAATGTCTTCCTCTCTAAAAACAGTTTTGACCTTTGCCTTCGCATCCTGGAGTTTGACCTACTTTTCAAAATTATTACTCTAGTTCAAAACTTATAAAAATTTGGCACTGAAGCTTTCCTACATGTATTTCACGTGTGTATTTTTGGCGACAAATACGTTTTTGTACTATTGAATTTGACGGTTTGGACTTAACGTTTTACTTAGTTTTGAAAAAAATAACTTTTCAACAGTTGGTATTTGAGCTTTCACAATCGCAGGTGACGTTGCGCACGGTGTTGGTGTCAGTTTCGGTAACGTCAAAATGACGTTATTTTACGTGAAGTTGTAGAAAACATATTTGACGTTGATTTTTTCGCTAACAAATTTTTACGAAGAAAAAATAAAAACCCAGTAATACCGCCAAGTACATAAGTAGTTCAATGTGGATATATATAATACAGCAAATAAATTATTCTGTTATGTTATTTTTTCAATATTTGTTGAATAGGTCTCGACTAAAGGTAAAATAGTTTTCATGATTTAATAAACTTGGCTTTATTTATTATGTATGAGTTAATCTTGATCCATGGATTAAATGAAATTCTCTTCTGGTCGGGTATCATCATGGACTGTCTTACAAAGTATCAACTGTATTTTCCTAATGTTTCTCCTCATATAGTCTATATAAAATAATTAAAATGTGTTTGTTTCCATCTGCGATCCGCTTTAGATAACATTTTATGCATTGAACGTAATAGCGTAATAACGCCAAATGTTTACGTGTGTGACATTTATGTTGACTTATATATTTTTTAAGGATTTTGTCAACATTCCATTGAAAATTATTTTGGAATATACTAATAACTTTTTGAAAAGATGCACATTTCATAAAAATCTTCTAATTTTCAATATGTATAGTTTTAATGACTATATTATGATTTATGTTACCACATTTATACAATTATAGTTGAATTTATTACTTTTGGACAATGTGTGACATTTATGTTGACATTGTAAAACGCCTGTGAAACAAACACTGCCTAAAAATCATTTCAGTTTTATATCTAAATAAAGTTTTGATTTTGCACATTTTGTATTAAATGTCATTTGGTGCCAAGTCAGAAAAACGATTTCTTAAAATGAAGGTAATTGCGGGAGTTTAGCATTTAAATGTGACGTTTTCCCGTCAAATTCAATTGTGACAAATAGCAATTATCATTAAAATTTAAGACAACGCAAGTTAAATTTCTGTCTCGAGATCTTTTCTTTAATAACATGGCAACATTTTGTAGAATTTAAAATAATTTTCAACATTAACTTTTCACCCAGCATTTCAAAATTTACCATTTTACGAATCTTAAAACTTTGTAACATTGAAACTCCAAACTTGTGACACACCGTCTTATTCATCATCCTCACAATAAATCGGCTGAATACCAGAAATCCAACATACATATCAACCCAAAATATCAGTCTTTTATAAAAATATAGTTCTAAACACACAAAAAGGAGTATTGACATGTAATTTAAAAATAAATTTAGCTCATGTAATTATTATTCTAAGCGACCGAAGACTTTTTATGTGTGTTACATATTTCGTCGATTAACGCTTATATACACCTCTGTCTTGGATTTTGAGCGACGCGTTCAAAGCATACGGATTCAATGACATTACATTTTAATAATTTACGTGATTTACATAGTATTTTGAATTTTTCTGCCAAATTTTATGTTGTATTAGTTGTTTTAAGGAAGTTATAAACATCTTGTAATTGCGTGTGCGACGCCCCTGTTACCGATCTACATGCGTTTTTCACGTAATTGAAGGAATAGTCAAATCAATATCTTTGACAAATGGATTTTTTTATCAATATTTTTGTTAAAATGTATTTAAGAAATAAGGTATCATTTTTAAACATCTATCGGGCTATAAATACGGGTTGGTCACGAGATTAAATTCCATAAAGCCCGAAGGGCTTTATGATGAATTTAATCTTGTACCAACCCGTATTTATAGCCCGATAGTGTTTTTAAAATGATACCTTATTACTTATATTTACATTTGTGACTTATTCATACTTTATGTTTGCCTGATTGTGAATTTTAGCGTGTGAAATGCATTATTTTTCAAACTCAACGGCAAGTATGTAATCCACTGAACGCGCGTCGACCCTTTATGACGTCACTGAGAAATTACGTCAAACAATTATCCATACGCACATCTATATATAACCTATTGACCCCGTACCTGTATTTATACAGTTATAGATACGCATTCCTTTCAGTAGTGTTATAGAAGGGAAAACATTTGCAAATGTAAATATTAAGTATACAAAAACCGACCAAATGATATATAGTTTTCATACAGTGAATTGTTTTAAAACTATGAAAATAGCGCAAATGCCGCCGCAATACCGGTAGTACTTTTTAACTTTTTTTTATACCAACACCGTGCGAGACGTCAGGTATATTTCTCGAGACAAGGCCTCTCATCACAATTACCTTGGAACTTCATTTAAATTCGACTTACATTTCATGATATCACGATGTTTAAATTGGTGATATCACCTTTTCTATTTTAATTGGGAGATGCCTTTTGGTATTTCCTACAACATTAAATAACGAATAATTCCTTCCCAAAGATAATCTATAGCTTAAATTCAAAATAATGGAGTTTTAAGCTTTGGTCAAGTTTAATGAATATTTGTCGGCTATAGCGCGCCATAAATCTTGACAACATAATGAATGTAAAATGTGTGTATTATTCTAAAAGAGGTCAAGAGGTAATTGTTATTGATTTAAAATCCTTATGTTACGATGTACGAAGAAAAAAGAACTAGTTTTAAATACTATAGGTTCACGGATTTATCAATTTCAATGGGAGATTCTGAGATATGATACTTGATACGACTCACCGCGACTACAAGGTCAAAGAAGTATGGGAGCCGTAAACTGCTATTATATATTGGTGTGGTGGATATTTTTCATTCCTCTGCTTGGTAAACATTGATTTGTATAATTTGTACTGATACTTTTAAAAATGATTTTTATAAAACTTTACCGTAAACTTTTATCCATAAATACCGTATAACGAGTATTTTTTGCGATAGGATAAATTTGCGGACTTTTGCTTATTAAAAAAAGTCGCAAAAATTACAATCGGAAAAAGAGAAAAATATTCTTTAGTATTTATAAAGATGTTTTATATTTGTATTTGTATTTTATGCATGTTAGTCTATTAAGTGGCGTAAAAGTCAGTGAACCTATTAAGTATTTTATGTAGTACAAAAAAGAAGTATGCTTAAGAACATTATATAAATGGATTTAAATGGAAGAGATGACGATACACTAAAAAGTAAAATATTTCGTACTATAACATCAACCTTTCTTCAATTTCATTCATAAAACGTAAGCGCCCTTACAAACTGGTATTTAATTATACCCTGTTACTAATTTTGCAAAAAATGAAAAACTGAATAAAAACCATTCAGTACACCAATTAAACGGTTCTTTACCCATTAGCGTTAATAAAAACATACTATTATTTATTACACATACCTACAAAACTGTTAATATTTATACAGTCATGTAAATGTATTTTTAGATGCTGAAACGTGTTACTTTTACGAAACAGCCTTGGATAAAAATTTGAATAGTTGGAGTACTTTCTATTCTGTGAATGAGATAGATTTCAAAGTTCGTTATAAAATTCAGCAGTCTTCATTTTATTGCTCCTTTGACCAATATTGTTGTCAAAAGGACTGCTGCTACAAGTACCAAAGCGAACCGGAGGAAGAGAGCGAAGATAATACATCCTTGTAAGTGTGTATGATTAATTTATTACTTTTGATCCTTGTAAGTGTGTATGATTAATTTATTACTTTTGATCCTTGTAAGTGTGTATGATTAATTTATTATACCCCCCGCAAACGAAGTTTGGGGGGGGAATATATAGGAATCACCTTGTCCGTCTGTCCGTCTGTCCGTCTGTGTCCGTCCGTCTGTCCGTCCGTCCGTCTGTCCGTCTCTGTCTGTGCAATCGTGTCCGGTCCATATCTTTCTTACAGAGGGACATTAGAATATACTACTCCACACTAAGATTGCTCATGACCTAAGGGTGTGTCATGACCTTGACCCAAGGTCATTTGGGGAAGTTCAAGGTCACTGGAAGAAAAATTTCATAATTCGTGTCCGGTCCATATCTTTCTTATTGATAAACTTGGTAGGTTCTCATTTCACACAAAGATTGCCCATGACCCAAGGGTGTGTCATGACCTTGACTTAAGGTCATTTGAGAAAGTTCAAGGTCACTGGAAGAAAATTTTCAAAAATCATGTTTGATACATATCTTTTATAGATAAACTTGGTAGGTTCTCATTTCACACAAAGATTGCCCATGACCCAAGGATGTGTCATGACCTTGACCCAAGGTCAATTTGGAAAGTTCAAGGTCACTGGAAGAAAATTTTCATAATTCCTGTCCGGTCCATATCTTTCTTATGGATGAACTTGGTAGGTTTTTATTTCACACAAAGATCGCCCATGACCCAAGGGTGTGTCATGACCTTGACCCAAGGTCATTTGGGGAAGTTCATGGTCACTGGAAGAAAAATATCATAATTCGTGTCCGGTCCATATCTTTCTTATGGATAAACTTGGTAGGTTCTCATTTCACACAAAGATCGCCCATGACCCAAGGGTGTGTCATGACCTTGACCCAAGGTCATTTGGGGTAGTTCAAGGTCACTGGAAGAAAAATATCATAATCCGTGTCCGGTCCATATCTTTCTTATGGATAAACTTGGTAGGTTCTCATTTCACTGAAAGATTGCCCATGACCTAAGGGTGTGTCATGACCTTGACCCAAGGTCATTTGGGGTAGTTCAAGGTCACTGGAAGAAAAATATCATAATTCGTGTCCGGTCCATATCTTTCTTATGGATAAACTTGGTAGGTTCTCATTTCACTGAAAGATTGCCCATGACCCAAGGGTGTGTCATGACCTTGACCCAAGATTATCTGGGGAAGTTCAAGGTCACTGGAATAAAAATTTTATAATTGGTGTTTGATACATATTTTTATTATGGAAAAACTTACTTCTGAAAAACCCAGCGGGGGGTATTTTGTCCCGTTTGGACAGTTCTAGTTACTTTTGATCCTTGTAAGTGTGTATGATGAAGCCGCTTTTGTTTCTTTTGATTCTCTGTGAAGAAATCAATGGAATGTTTTCTTTCAAACAGTCCTACGGCTTCTGTATGGGGCATTATTATCGGTGTCGGGGTAGGAACATGTCTGTGTGTATACTGTTGTGTTAAATTATGCAATAGTGACAACGCAGCTCAAACATCTATACCGATGACTGTATCCCGTTCTGGTAAGTCACAACATTGTTCTCTTACAAACAGTAATCTATAAATTTTCCTACTTGAACTGGCAATTTTTTTTTCTCAGATATAGATAATTTATTTTAATTAAGAAAAAAAGTATATTGAGCAGGCAGCTCCTTTTATAATAAATTCGATATTATTTAAAATTTTACTGTAAATGAACTTTTTATGTCATTTCTAGCTGATGTAGAACATAATAATTTAGACGTTATTGAATTTTCATATATCTTTTGTTTAAAAAAAATGGAGACCATTTCAAAATTGTAGAAATTACTAAAAAAAAAAATTCGAAACACACAGATAATTACTTTATAATATGACGAAAGCTTCAGTATTCTTTCGAGTACAGTAGTCGTGGATCAATTTAATTATTTCTATCCGTACAAATGCCTATTTCTCATGCTTCAAAATTATTTAACATGTAAATGAGACAGATTGTCAAAATCAAAAGATTAAAGAGTTTGCTCTTCAACAAAGATTTATGTAAGCTAAATTACGCCTATAAACTTAAATAATATACATCTATACCTTCGATAGACCTAGGCATAAATATTTCTAGAGTTTTACAACAACATTGTGAAACTCTATTGATAAACATTACGAGTCAATGGCTAGCTAATGATCAATAAAATACATTGGCTATTTTAATTGTTTAACTGGACCAGGTATTAAAAACTGGCTTGATGAAGAATTGATAGTCCTTAAACTACATTAAAAACATCATTATCACGAAGGGATACAAGTACAATAATTTTTACCAGATAGAAAAGACGTTTAGCATTGTTAGTTTAAATATGAGATTGAATTACCTGGATATACTCGTTTAACTGTAATATTTAGCAATTTTCTTCAATCTCTATTCGTTTTCGTTTAAAAGAAATAAAATCGGACAAATAAAGAAGTACAAAAAAAATTAGAAGTTGTAGCTTATAACCGGTAAGAAGTTATTTACAAATTAAACAATAGCATCTCAATAAGGTAATTCTCAGTAATTTGTTATACAATAAAACTTCGTTTGTACAAACACGAATATAACAAATTATGGAAATTGTGAAGTAATTCATAGGCCCTGTCAACTTTGTTATAACCGAGTTTTACTGTAATTGTAGACAATGGAACAGTTGTTATTCGTCAGAGAAATCCGGAGGAATCGGATGCTGCAACTTTAACGCCTGTCTTTCCCGACGGACAAAACATAGAGCGACACCAAGAATCAGGTCTGGAGCCTGAGCGTAGAGGTCCTGGCAGTCAGACAGACCTTCGATCGACTTCATCTCCAAATGAATATAATAATAGTTCATCTCATACCATAGACTATACACTACCCCCACCGTCATACGAATACGTCATGTCACGTAACTTTCCTGGTAGTGAGAATGTGCATTTGAATAAGCAAACGGATTGAATGGGAAGATTTACTATGCATGGTTTACAGTGTATATTAATTGTTACTTTCATTCAATGAAAATGAGTCTAACGCTTATAAAATATTTCTGAATGAAGCGCTGACGAAAAGACGCGTTGGTCTATTATACAGAACTCGACAACTCGTCAAAAACAATATTATCGAAAGTACATGGTCTCACGATGGTAGAATCGTAGTGAAGTCGAATAAGGGCAAAATTTTTGTTGTCAACGACGATGATGACATTGACAGATTGTCAAACCCTTCTGTGAAACCGTGGACATCTACTCCAGCACCCTGTAAGTGACATCTCAGGTTGTTCTTGTTTACATTCTTAGGGAAATCCCTATAGGCTATTTATAGCACAGTTATGATTATGCGCAAACCAGTTATATAAGTGGCTGAACATGAAGTTAACATGTTAATGTGGATTATAGACGTTAATTTCCTAGTCAGTTGAAATGATCAATATAAATTTCAAAATCTTTTTTGTCGGTGCCGACTGATATATTTACTTTTTTTTTCTTTTTTCTCAACTCTTCTTCTTTTGTATTGATTTATGCATTTTGTTCTCTTTGAAAATGCTTCCAGAATATGGGTTTTTGTATATATGTCTTCTCCTTGCATGCAATAGCTCGTACTTGCATGAGAGGTATGATGTGAGGAATTTTTTCCTCTGCTTATACGCTATTCATATATTTTGTTATTGTTTTTTGTGTTTCTCCAATCCGGAATCCGGAGTACACTACCAGTACCGGTTTTATAGTTACATAGCTTATATTATTTTCCGATGTGAAAGTTACATGTGCAGTGTTATACTATTATTAATATCCATGGCCAGTTCTTCTCCTTGTGAGTGTTTTTTTTATTTTTGATACTGGTGACTAGACAATCACAGTTAGTAACATGGCCATGGACTTTATCTCTTACTAGGTATGTACGTTTTCTTATATGCAAACCACTTATGAATAATATCCACTTCTTATTATTTGTGGTCGAGTATTTGCTCATATTATCTGGCATTGAAACAAATCCCGGACCACCACATCCTGATAATCCACTAATGACAAACTTACGTATTGCTCATAATAATGTTTGTAGCTTACTACCAAAAGTTGATGTTATATCAACTGAGTTATCTGATTTTGATATTATTGCTCTTACTGAAACCCACTTAGATAATTCGATCAGGGACGATGACATTTTGCTTAACGGATATCATCAACCTATTCGAAAAGACAGAAATCGTTTTGGAGGAGGCGTTGCTCTCTACGTATCAAAAAACATACATTTTTTAGAAAGAAAAGATCTTGATTCCATACATATGGAGATTCTTTGGTCAGAAGTTGTTGTAAATAATAATAAAGTACTTGTTGGTGTCATTTATAGGCCGCCCAGTTCTAGGGCAGAATATTGGGATCATTTCCTAAACAACATGCAACAAGTCCTTGATTTAAATATTCCTACCATACTATTATGTGACTTCAATGTAAACATGTTGTCTGACCAAAGTAAACAATTTAAACTAATGTTACAAAGGCTTAACTTAACAAATCTTATAAATGTTGCTACTAACTTTACAACCAAATCAGGAACATGTATTGATCTCATTTTGACCAATAATACCAGCTTAATTGCAAATCATGATACAACAGCACCCTTCTGTAGCTCTCATTGTGTGACTAGTGTAGAAGTAAAATTCACTATATACAAACAGTATGCTTACAAAAGAGAAGTGAGAAATTATGAAAATGCAAATTATCGTCATATAAATGAGGAATTATTACAAGTTGACTGGGATAATACAGTAGTCAATTCTGGAAATATTAATGAAATATATTCTAATTTTGTCTGTACTTTAAATAAGTGTATTGATTAACATATTCCTAAGAAAACAATTACCATCAGACCAAGGGATAAAGTTTTTATGAATAATACAATACGCAAACTCATGAGAAAACGAAATAGAACTCACTATAAAGCAAATTAAACATACAGACAATCCTCTGCATTGGCAATCATACAGAGAACTTAGAAATACAGTCATTGATGAAATTCGAAAATCCCGGGAAAGGTATAATAAAAAAATGTCTTCAATGATCGATAAATCAATTCCTCCTGGGAAATGGTGGAGAATTGTTAAATCAATATCAAAACTTAATAAAAATTATGTACCCTTACCACCATTAAAATCAAATGGTAAACTTATTTTCCATCCAGTTGAAAAAGCTACAGTCCTAAATAAATACTTTGCCCAAGTTTCCTCCATTGATAATGAACCAGATATTCCTCTTCATGGACCTGGTCCACCACAACAAAATAACATTTTCTCTGAAATGCTTATCACCGAAGCTGAAATTTATGACCAGTTAACTATCATTGATAACAGTAAACCACCTGGTCCTGATGGCATATCTCCAAGAGTACTAAAAGAAATATCCACATCTATTAAAAAGCCCCTAACAACTCTCTTTAATATGTCATTAAGGAAAAAAAAACTACCAGATATCTGGAAGTTATCGCAAATAACACCAGTCTTTAAAAATAAAGGGAGTGCTCAAGAGGTATCTAATTATAGACCAATATCTCTAACAAGTGTCTTGTGTAAATTGATGGAAAAAATACTGTTTAAACATTTATATAACTTTATGAAGGACAATAACATATTATACAAATATCAGTCTGGCTTTCAACCTGGAGATTCAACTGTTAATCAACTGGTAGAAATATATAATGCTATCATTTCGAATCTTGATAAAGGTAAAGATGTAAGATTTATTTTTTGTGATATCTCTAAGGCATTTGATAGAGTATGGCATAAAGGCCTTTTAACAAAGCTGTCAAATTATGGTATAAATGGCAATGTACTAGGTTGGATTGAGAATTATTTGTCTGATAGACAACAAAAAGTTGTAATAGATGGTTTTACATCAAACTCTGAAACAGTAAATGCTGGAGTTACTCAGGGTTCTGTTCTAGGACCATTCCTATTCCTTTTATATATTAATGATATTTGCGATGATCTAGTCAACAATATAAGACTTTTTGCTGATGACACTTCTTTATATGCTATTGTAGACAAAGAAAATATTACACAATCACTTACTGATGATCTAGAACATATTGATAAATGGTCAAAGAAATGGCTAGTTGATTTTAATCCTAACAAAACTGTAAATTTAAATTTTAGTAGAAAAAATATTGTATATTCTCCTGTTAAATTTGGTGAATATGGCCCACCTATTACCGGGTATTCAAAATGATTCTCATACCCATTTAGGTTTACGTTTCCAAAGAGATGCTATGTGGACATCACACATACAGATAATACACGAAAAAGATTCAAAAAGATTAAACATTCTTAGAATGCTCAAATACCACATGTACCAGGTTTCACGTAAAACACTCATTAAAATATATTTTGCTTTTGTTCGACCTGTGTTAGAGTATTCTGATGTAGTGTGGGACAATTGTTCTGAAAAAGATTCTAAACTCTTAGAAGATATACAAGTTGAAGCAGGTAGAATTATAACTGGATTAAGGTGTAACTCTTCTCGTACAAAATTGTATGATGAACTTGGATGGGATCTCCTAAACACAAGGAGAAAAATTCATAAGTTAATATTATTTTATAAAATTATTAATGGTTATTCTCCACAGTATCTGTATGATCTGATTGAACCTTATCGCCCATCAAGTCATTCGTATAATCTTAGAACTAATAATGCTCAATTCAAAATTCCTAATATTAGAACAACATCTTATATGGAAAGTTTTCTCCCCTCTACAGTCAAACAATGGAATACCTTGCCAGATTATATTAAAAATGCTCCAGGAATATGTTCATTCAAAAGTCTTTTAAAATCTCATTTCTGTAGGAAAAGTATTGAACTTTTTAATTTTGGAATAAGAAAGTATAATATAATACATTGCCGGATAAGGAATAATGCTAGTAATCTGAAAGCAGATTTATATAATCAACATTTAGCTGAAACTCCAATGTGTGAACATTGTACTGATTGTATTGAAAATGCCTATCATTACTTTATTGTCTGTCCAAAATATACAATTCCAAGAGATGTACTCTTTCAATCAACACATAATATTATAAACTGTGATAATATTCCTGAATGTGATTTATTTTTAAATGGTAGTTCTAACCATGGACTTGACATTAATATACAAATATTTGAAGCTGTACATACATTTATAGCAGCAACAAAACGTTTTATATAAACACTGTCATATCTATATATAGATATAATTTAGTACTCCCAAACCGGTACTACTTTGTATTTTGTCTCCCCCTGTAATTTGCCCTTTTTGTTATTTTGTTCATTCTATTTTTCTCTTTTGTTTAATTTTCTATATATGACTTTTTCTGTTTTTTTTTCTATGTTACTTTGTTCACTTTTGTTTGTGTTTTTTCTCTCTTCTTTTGTACATTCTTTTATTATCACTATTTGTTTTGTACCTTGACCTAAATGTAGGGAGAGGGCTAAAATAGGCTGCGCCTGCTGCCCAATCCTATTCACAATAACATCTGTGAATAAAATATTGTTTAAATTAATTACTTTCATTCATATGTCAGTTCCATATATCCTAGTGAACTTGAATTGAACATGCATGTAGTCTGTTCTATATTTAAATGTTGTATTGATTCATGACAGTAATGGCAAACATACAGCTAAATTGTTTGACAAACAAGATAATTTCAATTTTTCTTAATTACAGTAAACTGATATCTCGCTATCACCTACGTATGGTGTCAAAATTTCTAATGGATTCGATACTCAAGAGCACAATCTGAGTGCGAATAGTTTTTTTTAAGTGAGAGTCTTCTGCATAATATTATAGAAATTCCAACAACCGGTGAAAATCGGCATACAAACATTCTGTGGTAGTAAAAATGGTCTTGTTATCAAATATAACATAAAAATGAATATTGTTTTTAGATAAAACGTTTTGGATATATCATTGGAATTGAAGATTATATTCTTTTTTCAAGTAAAAGGTTTTAAAACATTCATTTTAAAACAAATACATGATTTGATACATTAACCAAATAGTTGGAGGGTCAGACCTCCGTATACCTCCTAACTAGTGTCAATGAAGACTTCAGAATCTTTTAAATATCAGCCTCTGAATAACTGTATATGAAACCGTACAAATAGCTAAGTAGCTCACAAAGTGGAGGATGTATTGTCTCACACTTATAAAAAAAATATTCAGGTCATTTCACCTTCCCGTAGTAAAAAGAAATCTGAAATATTTCAATATTTGTATCAATGATGTTGAAAATTTGCGGAAATGGTTTCTGCTTAACTTTCAATTAATGAATATGTTGATCAAATGACTGATGAATGATGTGTAAACTTGTGTAAATATAGAGCAATTATGTATACATGCATTTAATGTAAAAAAAGGGTTACACTGAATCCATGTTGTGGTTTATAAGGAATTGGTAAATACCCCCTCCCTTCCCCTTCTTTTGATGTATTTTTTTTAGAATTAAAGTTATTATCTATTATATTAAGAGTTATGTATGTTTTAATTCTGTAATACAGATATGAGTAAATCTAAACCTTTTTTTTTTTTTTTAATTTTTGGACATATTTTGAGGTATTTTATGAGTAGCTCTAACTGCATCCTTGAAATTTTTGATGTGAAAATTTCACAAGCTTTGACTTTCAATATATTCTAAAGCGTAAATTTGCCAACGATAGATTTTTTTGTCAGCATAAATATCTATAACAATAAGCTATAAAATTTACTGGATTAAAATATCCCACCGTCCACCTTGTTACTAGAGTAGCTTCAAATCAACCAAAAATTGTCACTTTTACCGAATATTGGAACAATGCCAATTTCATATTCATGACCTTTTAGCCCTTAAACAAAATGAATGTCGATCATTCCGACTGTGCATTTAAGGAGAAATAACATTTATTCCCTTACTATAAAATAGAATATTTGAATAATTTTAAAGTTGCAATTTTATTTCTCCTCAAATATAAGTAATATGTTTAAGACAAGATGTGTTTGTAAAAAACACTGATGCCCCCGAATGGCAACATAGCAAAGATTAAGCTTTTCTTAAATGCAAATTTAATTAATTGGTACCAAAGTAGGGTATTCTCACTGGATTGATTGATTGTTGTTTAACGTCCCTCTCGAGATTTTTTTCACTCATATGGAGACGCCACCACTTGCCGGTGGAGGGCTACAAATTTTGTCCTATGCTCGGCACTCAGGGCCTTTAAGCAGGGAGAGATCTTTCTCGTGCCAACACCTACTGCGACATGGGGCCTCGGTGTATACGGTCTCATCCGAAGGACCGGTCTCCACGTCCCGCAGTGGGATTTGAACCCGCGACGTAAGGATTGACTCCTTACTTGGCGACTCTAGAGCAGACGCTCTAACCACTGCGCCACGCGGGGGACTATTCTCACTGGAAAACAATTGTGAAATTTGAAAGTAAGCTTATGTTAAAGTTTTTTAATTAGTACAAAAATCTACAAGATCAAGGTCAAAAGGCCAATGTAATTAGTATCAAATGAAAAGTCTTGCCACATAATATACTTATGTAGAGCATGAAAGCCCTAGCCCTAACCGTTCAGAAGTTATGGTCAACGTTCAATTTCTTAAAAAGTAGGTCACACTCCAAGGTCAAGGTCAAAGGGTCAAAGTTATTGTTATCAAATGAAATATGTTGTCATAAGGATCAAAAATGTAAAATATGAAAGCACTAGCCCTAACTCTTTAAAAGTTATGGTCAAGGTTTGCTTTTTTAAAGTGTGTCAATCTCAAGGGTCAAGGTCAAAGGGTCAAAGTTCTTGGTATTCAATGAAGGGTCTTCTCACAAGGATTACATATATGAAGCATGAAAGCCCTATCCCTTACCGTTCAAAAGTTATGGCCAAGGTTAAAGTTTTGTCACAAGTACGTAAATCTACAAGGTCAAGGTCAAATGGTTAAGGTTATTGGTATCCAGTGAAAGGTCTTTTAACATTACATATGTGAAGTAAAAATGTCCTGTTGTCTACTGTTCAAAAGATATGGCCAAAGTAAAATTTTTAAATTTTCATGTAAAAGTGGGTCAAACTGCAAGGTCAAGGTCAAAAGGTCAAATTTGGTGGTACCCAAAGAAAGGTCTTGTCACAAGGAATACACATATGAAATATGAAAGAGCTCCACTAAATCAAAAGTTATGGGCAAGGTTTAAGTTTTTGCGGACAGAGAGACAGACAGACAGACAGCTAGACAGGCGGACACGACAGAAGCTATATACCCCCGAAAGTTTGTTTACGGGGGCATAAAAATACCTCAAATTTTGTTGCATAAGACATATTTTTAGTAACAGGCAACAAAAGTTAAGTGTTATACCTGTCTTTTTTGTTTGAAGGCCCAACGGTCGCACACTTGGTTTAGTGTTAGCTCTTGTTGTGGCAATTTCAGTCTGTGCATTATGTTGTTTGCTGCAAACAAAACGGTAACGCAGACTCACCCTTACAAATCAATCAAACAATCGATCTATTTTAACTACCAATACTACATTTCCTTTATATCATTTTCTTGTAGTATCAAGTGGGGAAGGGGGGGGGGCAACAAGCCTTTCAATTAACATTTACAATAGTAAAAGTAATATTAGGAAAAGGCAGGGGGGTAGCCCCCCTGTTGCTATACGTGCCTGTTACAAGCAGAGAAAACAATGTGATATATTCTGATTTAAAAAGCAACGCTTCAGTATGTTTTCTAATGAGAATTAGATAGGTTTGAGATTTTTTATTATCTCTATATATACCTCATATTTCTAATTTTACTGTGAGATAAAAATAATTGATCTCTTTCTATTTACAATATCAAATTTTCTTCTCATCATGATTTGACATATTATTCATTTCTGGAAAAGTGAGCAAGGCTTCATACTCCAAACTATTTCCTTTTGAATTTAATGCTATAGTCGTTAATGAAAATCAATGTTTGAAATTAAAAAAAAATCATAAAATTTGGAGCCTCTAGGGATATTGCCCCTTATTTACTTGTTACAGTGTTGGCATCTTTTATGTATACATGTGAAAAAGAAAAGCATTGTGTTTTCTCATTTATAATTTTGGACCAAAGTGACAAATGTATGACAAACAAACAGGCTGAATAATAAATGAATGAGACTATGTTGTAATGCTTGCTGCTAACAAAAAAAAGAAGTACAAGCTCACCCTTACAACTTAGATATGTGATAGCCATTGAGTCAGACATTGAGAAGCTCCTTTCAATGCCAGACAAGACTCCCGACAATTTGAGTAAGGAAGAGAGATCTGCCTTACAATCATTAAAAAATCGGGATGACATTGTAATCAAGAAAGCAGGTAAAGGCTTTACAGTTGTTGTACTGGATAAAGAGACTTACATGGCGGAGGCCACAAGACAACTCTCAGACAAACGTTTATATAAGAAACTAGACCCTGACCCTACTAAAGAATTCTCCATCGCCATTACCAAAACTCTTGAGGATATTTTTGAGAAAAATGAGATTGGTATCAACGTCTATGAGACCTTAAGTCCTATTGACTGTAGACCAGCACAATTCTATCTGCTTCCTAAAATACACAAAGAAGGTATTCCAGGTCGCCCCATAGTCCACAAATTTACAGTAGACGTATCTAATTCCAAAAACGTATTTCTAGACACAACATCTACCCTGAATGATAGTGATATCGAATTCAGTCTCCACACCAAACCCACAGACTCCCACCTATATCTTATGCCCTCTAGCTGTCATCCCCCACACACTTTTGAGGGAGTGCCTAAGGGTCTAGCCACCAGAATTCGACGTATCTGTTCGTCCCCTACCTTATATCAGGAGCAAAGTGGTCTTCTTCAGTCCAACTTATGCAAAAGAGGCTACAATGCCCGCACCGTACAAACAGCCATTGATGAGATGGCGGGACATGACAGACAAAACCTATTACGCTACAAGGAGAAAGACAATAGCGGCAGGGTCCCTCTGGTAACAACATACCATCCTGTCCTTAAGAACCTTTGCGGTATCCTTCAAAAGAACCTACCAATTCTCCATTCAAACAAACGAATGGCAGAGGTCTTTATAGAAACCCCATTTGCTGCATACAGACGCCCAAGGAACCTAAAGGACATGGTAGTAAGAACCAGACTGGACAACCCATTACCTAACGGGGGTTTAAAACTTGCTCTGACAGAAGATGTCTTATTTGTAAGCACAGCACTGACAAGACAGTTTTAACAGCACTGTTACAGGCCGCAGCTACAAAATACTAGGGAATTAGTCCTGTCATACTGACAACTGCATTTATCTCATCAGTTGCAAAGTTTGCTCCAAATAGTATATTGGTGAAACATGAGATCTCCGCAGGAAAGTCAATAACCACCGTTTGACCATTAGGACCAAAAAACTCAATGAACCTGTTGGGGAACATTTCAACCTTGAGGGTCACAATGGGAGGACATGACAGTAGTTGTGATTGACCATAACCCAAGATGGACAGACGTTCAGAGAAAAAGCAAGGAAAGGTTCTGGATGCACAGATTGAAGTCTTTCCGCCCTAATGCATGGTATTAACAAACTGAATGACTTCACCAGATTGAAGTCATTCCGTCCTAATGGTATTTACAAACTGAATGATTTCACCAGAATGAACGTAAACTACATCCAATTCCTGATGATACTAAACAATATTATTGTCTCAATTTAGGGTAAACTCTACAGTTAAAATGCGGCACCAACTCTCGAACAACCGACATAACTATGTATTGCTTACGCCTTTGTTAATTTTTTCCCCGTTAATAAATCCTAAAATATTTCAAATTTTTAATAGATCATAATTCATATGTTAAAATATCCCTGCTATATTATTTTAATTTGATTAATCTTTATCAAGTATAGTTACGCCGTTTCGAGAGAATGAAACAATGTACGATTTACTGATTGTTGTAATTAATTAGCATAATTAATTCGTTCAATTACGTAAATCGCACTTCACCTGAGTATACCCGATAGACCGGACGTATTTCATAGCAGTCCTGATTTCTTTCTTTAAAAAGTGTTCTTGAAAATTTCCAATTCAACATGTAACTAAGTATGTAAATATATAGTGTTTAGTAGTAGTGCTAGTTGTTTTTGTTTCTCTGACTTTTTACTTTTTTCTTTGTCCTGAGGAACGGACAGGGCGTCCCGAAAATTTGACAATTTGTAATGTTCGTGTCGTTGGTCATTTTTAGTGCTTTATATATATATATATATATATATATATATATATATATATATATATATATATATATATATATATATATATATATATATATATATATAATGCATGTTCATATAGAAATTTTTTGTAAATTGAGGAAAATGTTCAAATATTGTCATTCATCATTTGCAGTCGATATATCAAAATCAAATAAAACCCACCCCTTCGACAATTTAAATAAGGATTTGATTCAAATCCGTCAAATATTTTTTTTTGTACCAAGCAAGCTTTAAAGGACATCGTTAGCTAAAAAAACTAACCTAAAAATAAAATCGATATTCATGAATGTACATGAATAGTTATTGATAACTGGAGAAACTAGATTTCAAGATGTATCTTTTTTTCAAATGTTTATTTGTCCAGTTTGTGGTCCTGGATATTTCTCTAGGATACGGTTTGTTAAATCATTTTTCATCATAGAATATCAGTAGTTTTCCTTTTTCGTTTCATTTATTTTCATTAATAATTTGGTTTCGGACCAGGAAGTGGATTTCATGAGAACGCCATTCAAAAGGCTGGGAAAACAGAATAATGATCAGCGTTCTGTTTTTTTAAAATTCAGATATAAATATTTAATAATAAAATATTTTTGAAACTCATTAAAAATAAGATGTATCACTAAGAATAATGTTACATAACTGTTGAGAAAAAAACATTGTTTTTAATGGAATAAGGACTGTAAAATTAGAAGTTTACTACAGCCATATTTATTAATTTGTCCCCTACCGACGATACCATTAATTTAGTTTTTACATCAAATAAGATAGCAGATCAAGTTCGCATTTCATGACCTTTGACGATATCACGACCTTTCAAAATTTCTGGGTTTTCCGCAATTATTTTCTAAACGTTTGATAATGGAACGCCATGGCTGCCTTGTGTTGGGTGTTATATGTTGTATGCCGTGGAACGAAGTGTAGTACAGTGTATTATATGTTGTGGTTCTTTTATTATATTTTGTGGGTCTATCATTTTATGTTGTGTTGTATTATATGCTTTGGATTCATAATTATATGCTGAGTCTCCATAATAATATGTTATGGTTTCATATTTATATCTTGTGGTTTCATAATTATATGCTGTTTATCATAAATGTACATAAAGTGAAAAGGCTGTAGATTTCTTAAGGTTGATTAAAAAACATTGGAAGGTTTAAATTAACACGTTGCATGGTAGATTCGAAGCTGGAAAAATAATATATCTGTACATGAATTCCAGCAAGACAAAATAAAAATCAACTTTATTACCTGACCAAAAAAAGGGGGGGGGGGTTGACAAGCAAAAATGAAAATAAGGAATTTTTCTCAAGCTCGATAATTGATGAGGAACTGGAGCGGGGGGGGGGGGGGGGTCAGTACGATTTTTGAAATTTTGAAAAAAATTCTGCATGATCCGTTTTTGATTATACTGCAAGAAGTATATATATATATATATATATATATATATATATATATATATATATATATATATATATATATATATATATATATATATATATATGTTCTTTAAAACTAATTCGGTGGCTTCCAGTAAAAATTCTTTTGTAAACCGGTTGTCAATTTTGTTTCTGTAATTTTCAATCCAAAAATTTAGCCGTTTCTCCTTATCACTTCAATACTCATGGAAAAGTATATAAAATATTGTGGGTTAATTTTTGTGCTATGCGGATTGTGGGTTATTTTGCGTCTTTTTCACTCACGTTGTGGGTACCATGGATGGTTTATGGGTCATTATATTTATATATATATATAGGTAAAATTAAAATAAAAAAGGCAACACAGATTAAAACGTTAGCGCTTTCATTACATCTTCAGACGTTTTACAAATGCATTCTTTATCCTGACTGCAATGTCTTACAAAACTATTAATACTTTAAAAATCATTATCTATAATTGAATCTGACAGCAAGCAATTAAATGCTTGCAGTTTGTTCACACCTTTGAAACCAAATCCGACATGTGTTTATACTCTTAGCCGGAGAACATCGAAAGGTTACACTCTGTGTGAAAGTTTTATCAGAAATCAAATTAAATCAAACTGTTAAGACTGGGATTAAATTTTTGAATGAAATATTTCTCTTTTTCTCTTCTTTCTGTTATATTGTCTTTAAAAAGTTTATAAAAAGGGAACACTTTAAACTGTCCTTGTCCGCATCTATCAATGTGTTCGCTGAGTTTGATCTTACGGTACTCAGGAACTTGAATATGCTGTTTATGCACGCGAATTCTGGCTCTCAATGTGGTCCCCGTTTCACCGATGTAGAATTGGTTGCATCCTCCGCAAGTAATAACATATATTAAATTTTTGGACTCACATGTCATGTCTGAATTAATAAAGAAATCTTTTCCTCTGAAATTAAATGATGTTCCTTCTCTTAAAACGAACATGTGCCACGTACCCAACGTCTCAGCAATCTACTAGATATAGTGTTGAAACCTCTCTGCCAACACGTTAAAAGTTTTGTTCGGGACGATTTAGATTTTTTACGACATCTACCTAAACAGGTCGATTTTAATACACAACTTGTAACCTTAGATGTAGTAAATCTGTACACCAATATAACCAGTACCTTAGGAATCAAGGCTTTAAATTTTTGGATTGAAAATTACAGAAACAAAATTGACAACCGGTTTACAAAAGAATTTTTACTGGAAGCCACCGAATTAGTTTTAAAGAACAATGTGTTTACTTTCAATGACAAATATTTTCATCAAGTGAAAGGTACAGCCATGGGTACCAAAATGGCCCCTACATATGCAACACTTACCCTTGGATACCTAGAAGAAGCACTATATGAAAAAGCTAATGAACAGTTTGATGCAGAATTTTGCGAATATCTTAAGAGAAACTGGAAAAGATATCTGGATGATTGTTTTATTATATGGAAAAAAGATGATTCAGATTTGAACATTTTAAATGATATCTTAAATGAATTAGACCCAGATATTAAATTTACAATGGAAAAAAGTTCTACTCAATTACCATTTTTAGATGTATTAATCTGTAAGGAAAACAACAAAATTGCAACAGATATATTTTATAAGAGTACTGACACTCATCAATATTTGCATTTTGGATCTTCCCACCCGCGACACATTAAAAGAGCAATACCTTACAACCTAGCCCGACGAATATGCACAATAGTAAGTGAGGAGGAAACCAGAAATCAACGTCTGGATGAATTGAAAATATTTCTCACAGACCAACATTATCCTTTAAGCTTAATCAACGACGGCATCAGAAAAGCAAAGGAATTAGACAGAGAAGAATTAATTAATCCAACTCCTAATGATGAGGAAAATATTAAAATATTACCACTAGTCACAACTTACAATCCTAAAAACCCAAATATTACACCTATCGTTCAAAATCTGAACGAAATTCTCAAAACGGATGAATAAATGTCAAATGTTCTTTCAAAATTCAAGTTTATAAACAGCAAAAGGCAGCCCAAAAACCTCAGAAGAATACTCTGTCCTTCCAAAATAACGAAATCTACAAAATCCGTGACAAAATGTAAAGATCCGCGATGTGGCACATGTTCTGTTTTAAGAGAAGGAACATCATTTAATTTCAGAGGAAAAGATTTCTTTATTAATTCAGACATGACATGTGAGTCCAAAAATTTAATATATGTTATTACTTGCGGAGGATGCAACCAATTCTACATCGGTGAAACGGGGACCACATTGAGAGCCAGAATTCGCGTGCATAAACAGCATATTCAAGTTCCTGAGTACCGTAAGATCAAACTCAGCGAACACATTGATAGATGCGGACAAGGACAGTTTAAAGTGTTCCCTTTTTATAAACTTTTTAAAGACAATATAACAGAAAGAAGAGAAAAAGAGAAATATTTCATTCAAAAATTTAATCCCAGTCTTAACAGTTTGATTTAATTTGATTTCTGATAAAACTTTCACACAGAGTGTAACCTTTCGATGTTCTCCGGCTAAGAGTATAAACACATATCGGATTTGGTTTCAAAGGTGTGAACAAACTGCAAGCATTTAATTGCTTGCTGTCAGATTCAATTATAGATAATGATTTTTAAAGTATTAATAGTTTTGTAAGACATTGCAGTCAGGATAAAGAATGCATTTGTAAAACGTCTGAAGATGTAATGAAAGCGCTAACGTTTTAATCTGTGTTGCCTTTTTTATTTTAATTTTACCTATATAAAAACCGGACACTGTGAAATTTTCAAATTTGGATATATATATATATATATATATATATATATATATATATATATATATATATATATATATATATATATATATATATATATATATATATAAAGTATGAAACAATGTGGAATCATAAAGCCTTGAAGGAGTATTTTAAATATAGAAGTGTAAAGCCTTAAAGGAGTGTTTTAAATATAAAACTGTAAAGCCAAAAAGGAGTATTTGAAATATAAAACTGTAAAGACAAAAAGGAGTGTTTTAAACATAGAACTGTGAAGCTGAAAAGGAGCATTTTAAATATAGAACTGTAAAGCCGAAAATGAGTTTTTAAATATGTAAATGTAAAGCCGAAAAGGTTAACACAGCATATTATTATGAACCAAAAGCATATAAAGAATAGACCTATAGCATACAATATTAGGCACAGAGCATATAATAATAAACCCACATTATAGAAATATAATCCATCAGTATATAACAATGAAACCACTGCACGTAGAACCACAGTATGATAATGGAACCACAGCATATAATAAAAACCACAGCATATAATAAAAACACACCACAACTAATGATAGAACTATATCATATAATAATAAAACCACACCATATAATAAAAGAACTACAACATATAATAAAAAAAACCCACATAAATAATAAAAGACTCACAACATTAAATAATAATAATACAACCACAGCCTATAATGATAGAACCACAGGCTATAATGATAGAACCACAGCATATAATAAAAGAACTGCAAATTATAATTATATAGAACCAAACCAAATAATTATAGAACCACAAAATATAATAATACATGTATAACTTACCACTGCATATAATAATATAAACAGAGCTGATGAATATGACCCAGAGTATATAATTTTAGAACCACGATTCTAGTTATAGATGAAATTTGTATTTCGTTCCGCTTCATTGATTTTTGAAGGAATTATGGCGTTTTCAGTTTTTAATGGGAACCAGATTACACTTGTCGTATATTTATTCTGCAATACTTTCAGAATGCTTGTTACATGTAGTCCCCTACCGAAATAAAAACCGGTGGGGACTAAAGGTTTCCTTTGGGTCTGACCGTCTGTCCGTCTAGCTGCCCCTCTGTCTGTCAGTGTGTCCCATTCGGTTTTCCGCACTTTTTTCTAAACGCATGCAGCTAGATCTGCTGCTGATTTTTAGCATGTGAGTGAATCTTGATGAGTTTGTATTTCGGTCTGCTTCAGTGATTCATGAAATTTCACGACCTTTCAATTTGATGTTTTGGAGATCCGTGTTTGCTCTGCTCCTTTTTGTGATGTTTCAAAGCTGGAAAAATAACTGCAGATATTTGGACTTTTCAGCTCGATTACCGTTCCTTATCTTCACATACTTGTATTCCATCATGTATCAAATCTTTTTGTATGTGTCTTATTTCAGACAATATATCGGCATATAAACCAACAGGACAAAGGACATACTTGGGTAAAAAGGGTTTTCCCCAGAAAGCTGTAGATAGATCTATTTTCACATGCTCTACCAAAGATTTCAGTGGTCCAGCATGGTGGTATGTAGATCTCGGAAAAGTCAAAAGTATTTATGACGTACAGATTTACTTCAGTCTCTACTCATCATGTACTTTTGGTAAGTAACAATTTAGACAAACACACATTTATTCAGTATAGTAAAATACGTTTGAGATACCCATTTATACTCATTTTAACCACAAACATGACAATTGCAAAAATATGTTTTTTCTGTATCTTTATAAAAAGCGAAAAGATTTTTACTGAAACTAATTTTGGAGAAGGATAGCTACATATATCATTTTAGTTCTTTTGTTGACAGAAGCTACATATATATAATCAGGTGTCATATTTATTCTCAGGGGTCTAAGAACTTGTAATTCAACATCTTCTAATTTCACCTCATCGTAAAAGATGAAATTAACGAAAATTGATTAATCTTATGAATCGAGTTAAGAAAACAAAGCTGGCAAAAAATGAGGCATTATCGGCCTCATAGCACTGTATTCACTTAGAATCAGTTGAGCTATGTAAACATGATAAATACCTACCGGTAGGTAGATACATTGTATCAAAATATTTCTACATGAAAAGAAGCTTAAAATCAAAAATCTGAATCATTTTTATTTAAAAACAGTGAAGCTGGTAGTTCACCCTAATTGCCTTCATTCTGTTACACATTTAAATATGAAAAAGAGTTAGACTATTTGATTAGTGTTTTTAAATTTCGATGTGTTGTATGTATGAAATCTTTTTTGCTTTATAGGCTTGGTAGAGGGACAGCAGCATGTGTATAGATACGAACTCTACATTTCTAACAGTACTGATTTCAGTTTGTTACACGAGGCTTATCTATGTTACAATCATACAGGGCCGGAAAAACCCGCACCTAATGTAACTCATACATGTGTTTTGTTTGGTCGATATGTAATTTTCTACAACAACAGACTAAGGTTCACACTGCTATGTGAAGTAATTGTGCAAGGTAATTTCATATCTCTATAACAGATCCTACTTAAAATAGACAAATTACCAGTTTTAAATTATCAAAAGGCATAAAAGAGACAGGTAAAAACGAGATATTTTGTAAGACAAAAGGCTTATCTTTCAAAGGTTGTGAAGAGGATGGTGTTTATGGATTTAACTGCAATGAAACCTGTCCTACTAATTGTCAAGAGAGAAGGTGTTACGTAACTAATGGAACTTGTGTTGGTTGTAAAGACGGCTGGACTGGGGAAAAGTGTCTTAATGGTAAGATTTAGAAAGTCATTCTAAATGTATATTAGGCGTTTTATCATTGTCGATTTCCATCTATCCATGCTTATTTTTTGCATTTTACTTTCCCATTGGTACTTTTGAAACTCATTTGCCGGTCGATACAATGATCTTGTCAGCAAATACAATGTATCATTGAGTCAAATGCTGCCTGACGTTTTTTCATCTATTTCTTAGTCCATTATTTATAAACTGAATTGACGACGGATTTACGTTATTTCCCGATCATGACAAGGAACACATGGTGGGTGTGATCGATCGACAAGGGATGATTACTCCTCCATTGCACCTGATCCCAACTCCGATGCTTTGGGGTCTGTGTTTGTTCTGCTCTTATTTTGTATTGTTTAATGAACTTTTGATGCTGTTCGTTATCTCCATATGTTTGATTAATTTAATCTCCTTAAGTTAATACACTTCAGCAATGGATTGCAATACAAGAGACCAAGAGAACGGCCATAAAACACATATTGGAAACGTTAATTTGCAACATGATACCTATGAAATAATCAACTATTTGTATCATTGCACATACTAGGAATAAATATTTTTAAAAGTATTTGAGATTGAATTTAATATATAATGTCTGCAAATAAAAAGAAAATTGCAGTTTATTTCTCATTCTTCAGTCGCCCACGTGGTACAGTGGTTTCACAGTGTCTGCCCTAGAGTCGCAAAATAAGTAGGATATGGAGATAACGAACAGTATTCAATATTAAAGTCCATAAAACAATACAAAATAGGAGCAGAGCAAAGACGGACCTCCGAAACATCTGAGGTGGGATCAGGAGCCATGGAGGAGTGAGCATCCCCTGCTGACACTGTCACACCCGCCGTGTTCTCCTTGTCAGGATCAAGTAATTATGGAAAAATCCGTTGTCAATTCGGTGTATAAATAATGGACTAACAATTAGTATGAAAAACGTCAGTCAGCATTTGACTCAATGATAAATTGTATTTGGTGACAAGGTCATTGTATCGACCATAGAACTAACGAAATGATGACTTTAAACGAGTCTGCTGATATTCTTGTTTCATCAACTTGCTTGTAAATAATTTACCACGTTTAAGAAATTGTTCATACGTAGAGCATGCTCTTGCGTATCGAATCAACTGAGATATATTTACTCCATATGCAGTTGATATAGATATATTGCTGCATAAGTAAGGGAAGTTGACGATAGAAAATTTAATGTCATCACGTTTATCATATAGCTTGGTTGTTAGATTACCATTAACGTCTTTTCAAGTAAAATATCCAAGTATGAAACAGATGTGTCAGATGTGATTTCTTTTATGTACATCTCATAGGATATATCGTATCGACGTAGGAATGGAAATTTCCATTGTTAATTGACTATACGTCGTCGATATACCTAAAAGTCGAGTTGAAGGCTACAGCAAGTGTTTTCCTCTTTTCACACATAAGATTTTGCACAAATTCTGCTTCATATGAATATAAAAATAGGTCTGCTAAAAACGAAAAGCAGTTGGTACCCATGGGAATTCCAATAGATTGTTGGAATACCTGTTCTCCAAAAACCACATGGATATTGTCAATTAGAAACTCAAGCATCTCTTTGATGTCAACTTAGTAGTACTTGTGTGTGCAACCAGAATGTGTTTTAACAAAATAATTTTGCAAATGACTAATGACCATATAAGTAAATTAACGAGTTCCATTTTTATTAAAAAAGCAGTTCAAATTTCACTGTGGGCCTTGGGAACCGGTCCTCCGGATGAGACCGTATAAATCGTGGTTCCTTGTCGCAGTAGGTTTTGACAATAAAAAGACCCCTCACTGCTCAATGGCCCTAAGTTCCGAATATAGGACAAAATTTGCAGTTCTCCACAACTTGTGGTGTCTCCATATAAGTGAAAAATTCTCGATAGGGACAACATTCAATCAATAAATCAATCAATAAATATCATTCATTTTTTTCACAAGCTGTAATTAAATACAGCAATATTTTAGCAATGTTTACCGTTAATCCTTTTTTAGCCTGCCCCGCTGGAAAATATGGAGCCGAGTGCAAGAAAACATGTACAGACCATTGTGGAAATAATACTTCCTGTAATCACATGACTGGTCAGTGTGAGGGGTGTTTATCTGGATGGATGGGATATGATTGCAATGAAAGTAAGATGTGTGTAAAGAATATCCTTGAGTTAATTTGACGCAAAAAGAAATTTTCATTGTACCAGTCAATGAGAATTAGTTGATAATACTTTAAGTTCATGAGCATTAAACTAAGAACACTAAATCACTGCACATTTTAAATTGATTGCTCTTTTTGAGATAACGTCATTAAAATGTTTTAGCCTGCAGGAAATTATATTATATTAGCCTGTACAGGAAAAGGTAAATCATGTAATTTTCAAATAAATGTATGTATAATCATATACATGTGTATATACATATTTTCACAATTAGAAAAAGATCATTTTTATATCCTTTTTGTTATTTTTATATTTTTACAACCCATAATTTTATATGTATAATATACAATGCATAAAACGAGAATCTGTTTTGCATTCAAGCAATTGTAGAAATTTTATACTTCTGTGCATAATAAAAAGTTTATAACGTGAAATATACATTTTGAGGAGTTTCATGGCATAAGAAAGGATCAAACGATGAGCCATTTTAAGTTATAACTTAGAACTTGAACAAACATAAGCAATAACTAGGTACTAATTCTTCATTTAGCACAGCCTGCCTGTTTTTTATCCCATTTTTAGGGGACCCCCCTTGCACGTATTTAGCAGACTATGAGACCATATGTAGTGTAAACTGCATTAACAATGACAAATGCTGACTATAGTTAAGGCAATTTTTTCACAACAAAATTTCTACAAATTTTTTTGTTTACCCCATTCTGAAAAGAAGGACACAGCTGGTGTATAGATTGTAAGGAGATTCTTACTCCTTAATGACACCTGATCCCGCATCTGTCCGCGATTGCTCAGCCCCCATCATGTACTCTTATTTAGACTTTGAAAATGAGAACTGTTCGTTATCACCATATTTTTTGTATAATACACATTAACACAATTTACTGCATGAAAGAAATTTGTTTTCATTTGTGATTTCTTGTTGAAAATTTAATTTTCAAAGAATATGGAAAAATAAACATTCGTTTACTTTTTGAGTTTAAAATTTACATCACAGAGGCAACATCAAGAAAGTTTATTTTGAAATTACTGGTCATTTTTATTGGCAAGTTTTTTTTTTCTTACTTAAACATACTGTGAATCCATTCTTGAAAAAATATAGGATATATTAATCTGTTTTCTTTTATTCGTTTTTTTAAAATATAATTTAAGTTAAAATGTATCATATGAAAGTGAAACGAAGGCATTATTCACTACAGGAAGAAGGAAAACGAGAAAGGAAATGACCAGCCTTCCTACGAGGTGATTGACAGAGGGCGTTCCCATAAAAGTTCAACATCTGACAGCCATCTTGAAATTCATAGATCTTAAGATCTGAATGCCACATGATCCACAAAATTCCTTCAAGTTTATCGAAATCTCTCGCTCAAGGACACAAAAAAATGTCTTTATAGCAAAAGTAAATATACAATTATGGACTCTTTTGGTTTTTAATATGGTTTGTCATTCACCAGAAGATCATGAATATTGATCGAGGCGAATCCAAGGAGAATATGTTGTGCTTGCGCTTGTATAGATTATATAGGGACTATAAATACACTACATAATAACGATTATTTATTAAAAAATGAAATATTTATTTGTTTTAAATAAAAGAACATCTAGAAGCCTATGATTATGTCCGATGCATTCCACTTCGAATTCAGTCCTGAGTGTGGCGAAGGAACAGACACTACCTAAAGTTTTTTTAATGTCTTAAGTTTGACTCGAATTTGAATCGAACTTGGTGCCCCCTATTATAACAGACCGAGTAACCTCAAAATATATACCGGTAGATCATTGAGACATTTGTGCTGTTTTTACAGAATGAGATATACTAGTATACTCGCAGATTGTAAAGTTGAAGCTATTATAAAATTGGAACTAAACGCCTGTTTTGCTTGACTGTTTATCCTCAGTAGTAGCCATATTACAAATAAAGCAATGACAATTAAATTCTGTAAGATTTACAGGACTCAGACAAAAAATGTTTCACAGAATGCGGTGTATTCAAATTTATTGAGTAAAATTCAATCATTCTACATATGCCACTACTGCACTGCTTTTAATAATAACTAAAGACATATAACATGTATAACATTTCAAGCATTCGTTTTGGTCCGATTATCAAGTGTAAAAATACTCAATTTAAACAAACAAATGTATATTATCTCATAGCATAAAGAATAAAAAAATGTATATTATGTTTACCGGAAACAAATAGCAAATGAATGATTATCATAGTACAGTTATGGCCCTACTTTGCCCGAGCTATGTGACAAATAAAAAAGGGTAGATAATGAAAACATTGATTTAAAAAAATCTACAAACAATACAGTAAATGAACAATGCCTTAACAGGTACTGTCGAAAATTCCAAAGTTTAGAAAAAGGAGTAAGTGTCCACTGTTGATCGCACACCTGCTGTGCGTCCTATCTGAGAGTGGGATGGCGTGGAGTACTGCATCAATATTCTGTAGAAAAATTGTCTGGATAAGTGAAAAAGAATATTGATATACACTGAACCAAACTTCGAAGTGTTCACCTAACATTTTTTAAGATTGAAAGAACAAACGCGTACAATATTTTTTTCAATTCATAGTTAATTATGCATATTTCACGTACCCTTAAAATGAAAATTCACACAAAAGTATGTCTGTGGAGGAAGATTCGTTCTTATTACTGCAGGACATCCTTTACTGTTAGATATCATGTACCCCCGAAAAAGGAATGGAGATTGAACCAGCTGCCACGCCTACTGCCTAGATCTTCTCACACCGCTGATAATGTGTGGAGAGGGGGGAGGGGTTGACATTCCTTATAAAAATCCCAAATGTGTTCAACGAGATTCAGACCCGAGGATTTGGCAGTGCATTATCACACAGATGCCTTTTAATCAATGTCCTTGTTTGTCACCGCTTTAAGGATGATTCTGACTGTTTGAGATGATATTAGACTATCAAGGGCACCGATTTCTTATCATTTTCATACAATTAAAATAATATTCTTTGTTTTTATGCTTTTGAAATTGTTTCAGGATAATTAAACACATTTTTAACCTGGTGTGAGGCAAAACCTTGGCCTCAGACAAAGATCCAGATCACTTCCGGTTTGGTTACATTTTTTCCCAAAAGCTCTCAAATTGTGATAAATCGGCAAGAAAAATGACGCACAGCCTATAGTAGAAATTTAAAGTTTAAAGGGTTTTGAAACTGGTTGTTAATTTTTAAAAGTAATATCAAGGACAATTAAAACCAAAAAAAAAAAAAAAAGTAAAACGTGGTACAAGGATGATCCAAGTATCAACATTCCAACTGCTATCCCCTCTCTTTCAATGGTCATTTTGCCAATGCTTTGTGTTTTTAAGTAAACCCAGATTTTAACATTTGATAATGATCATGAAAAGATGATACATGTATTTACACAAAACACGTGCCGCAAAGTACAGATATATTGTTTTGTAGCTTCGTCACGAAACATTGCATGGCTTTCGTTGATGATATTGGATTTTATTTCAATATTTGTTGAAAGGACTCATGGCTTTCGTTGATGATATTGGATTTTATTTCAATATTTGTTGAAAGGACTCATTTGTTGTAATAATTTTGATAAATTAATAATAAATCATACCATTCTTTAAAGTAGTTTTTAAATAAATACATTTATTAGAGTGAACACTAAAAAGTTTTGTTAAGTGTAGATACTCTGCCTGTGCGAAGTGGTTGTTGGTGTCGTACGCATATTCTAGATGTTTTTATGCAAAAAAAATGTATATTATTGTGTTTTTCAAATCTACTCTATCCAATTTGCCAGACTAAACCATCCCATGAAATTAATGTGATTCTGGATTTTTATAATAGTAATGTCTTTTATCGATCTCTTGAGTGATGTCGAATTAATACTGGAGTTGATACAGTGAAATCACTAATATTTGTGGGGGTTTAATTTTCGTTGTTTTCAAGGTAGGAAGAGACCCGTGAATTTTTATCCAATTTATGGGCCTGAATACTGTTCTCTCTCTCTCTCTCTCTCTCTCTCTCTACCTCATGTTCCCATGCTTAACTTTGTATCCCTTTTTGCCCCCACTGTACTCTTGGGGAATATGGCGAACAAAGTCGAGACTGATATATTTGCAAATATATTCAAATGACTTATTAACGCCATCTGTTCTTGAGATGACGTTCTATTCGCTATATACATATATCAGTAATGAAATACTGTTATTTATTTAAAAACCACATATACACGTTATGAAAAAAAAAAAAATAAAAATTGCGATAAAACTTCCTGTGAATTTTTAGATTGTAAGGAAAACTGCACTCCCTGTTTTAAGATAGTAATAGTAAATAAATCACGTATCTGAGGTAAGTCAATTGGTAAAATGTAAGATGTCTTTAAAGCCGCTTGGTCCGATTCTAATCGCTAAAAATATATATTCGTTTTTCTTCTTGAAAAATAATTGTCCATAAATTGTTTCAACTTTTGTCAAATTATATCCCCAAAGTCTTTTTCTTTTAAAAGATATTAAAATTCAAAAGTTAAAAAAAATACTTTTTGTTAGGTCACACAAAGAAAAATCCTATGTTGATCATTGTTGATATTGCGTGAAATCACCTTCTAAAAATTAAATTTATCGCTTACATGTTTATCTCAAAACATGAAGAACAAACCCGAGCATTTTTTTCACAACAAAGTACATATATTTGTTTATTTGTACGAATTTGTTCACTTTGTCATCACAACGAGATTCAGGATGAAATTCATTTTCTCCTTGTATGTCCTCATCTTAATGTACAAAGACTTGAACTCATAAATATTTGTAAAATTAAATGTAAAAATTTTCAATCTCTATCTTATGATAATCAATTTTATTGGCTCATGACTAATGAAGACTTAGACATCCTTAGATCACTTGCTGCATTCCTTAGTAATTTACCTTAATTGAAGATATTGTGATAAGCATAAAAAATTATATACCTCTTTCCCAGTTTCTTGCCCTTAACTATATATATATATATATATATATATATATATATATATATATATATATATATATATATATATATATATATGTATAAATTATATATATTTGTATGTAACTTACAATACAATACATGTATGTATATTCAGTATATCTCTTATATACTTTTTTTGTTTTTTTTTAACAATTGCTCTTTATTTGTAATATCATCATCATGTTTGTTCTATCATTTGGATCCTCCTCCTTCTATTTGTAAATCTTTTTGCTCCTCCGGGGGCCCAAATTGGATTAATAAAATCTTGTATCTCTTGTAAATCTTGTATTACCTGTACACGGACTATATTTTAGCTCCTTTAAAAAATCATTAAAAAAATCTGATTTTCCTTTATTCTTTAAATATGCATATTAATATAAAAATTACTATGGAATATATTCAATTAATTTCTTAATTTTGAAAAGATGTATTATGACTAAGGTTTTCTACTAATAGAGAAAAAAAATACTCGGGTTTGAATTATCTTCATTATTAGATATATCCGATAAACTTATTTTTTCAAAATTGACTTCACAACAGATCTTAACTTCCGTCAGGAACTACTGTTTGTCAATAAGGTTTTTGTTCTGCGTTGGCCATGTAAGGATTGTTGTAATAAACTTTTAAATCAATCTTATAATTTATTTTTATATAATATCTATGTAATGGCGTACTTTTATTGTGCAAGATAATATGTGCCTGTTTCGGGTTAAGCGGCTTTAAATTAGGATCGCCCGGAATAAATGCATTAAAATATTTATTAATATGATGTATTGGTCGGTATCAATTTTTTTTAAACATTTTGTATTATATGACGTTTGTATACTGCCAAATATCTTACATTTTCATTGCGAATTATTGGAAAAGAAATTGTTATAGTATACCACCAAGAAACAAATTCATTTTATCATTTTCTAAATTGATTTTCAGTTATAACATATTATAAACTGGGATTTGATTTCAACTGAATATGTATATCTTTTTTTATAAACAAATTTTTTTGAAATCTTTCATACATTTAAAAAATCGTTTCGTTTCAGAACTTTGACCATTAGAGACCGATTTGCAGTCATAAGACATAGACTATACGCCTATACCTTTCGACAATATAACTGAACGATTTAAAGTATGTTAAATAGGTTTTACCTTGCAAGAGTTTAAAGACCTTGTTATCTTAAAAGACAACTCTAAAAATAAAACAGATACTCATGAAAGCACATTGGATAATGCATATGAGAACCGGAAAAGCAAGCTTTTAAGATGCGATTTCTTTTCAACTGTTTACTTGTCCAATTTGTCAGCATGGGTATTTCTACAGGATACGGTTCGTATGGCACAATTTCATCCCAAATAGAGCTAGTGCTTTTAATTCTTTTGTTTTATTTATTTTTAAACATCAATGAATACAGTAGTCATTTGGGCCTGAACCAGGAAGTTTATTTACACTAGACTCATTTAAGAGTCAAGCTAATTTTAGTGTGTTTTGTACTGATACGAAGTTGACTGTTAAAATTTCCAATGGTGATCAGTGAGGTTGCAACGATCGTGGCATTGCTATTATTTTGTATATTGTTTAAAGTCCCTTTCGAGAATTTTTCCCTCATATAGAGACGCCACCACTTGCCGGTCGGGAGCTGCGCATTTTAGCCCTATACTCGGCATTTAGGGTCATTGAGCAGCGGGATGTATTTCGTGCCAGCACCTATTGCGACACGGGACATCGGTTAATACGGTCTTCCGAATGACCGGTTCCTTAATGCTGCGGAGTGATATATATATCTATTATCTGATTATATCGTCTAGAAGTCGCACAGTATTTAGGTATCTGTAATCGTTCCACCAAACAACGTACATCCGTTTGCCTCAGATTTACGGCGCTATATTGTAATGATAGTGCAGTGTTTATTGAATGCCTATTGAACGTTTTTTTTTAACATTTCCATTGCATTTTTCTAGCGTCACAATCATCATGTTCTGAATGCGAAGGCGGTTTTTTCCCCCAGATAGTTGTTTTTGAAAAAAGAGCTATGATTTTGATTTAATTATATATTACTGATGAACATGTACATGTATATATAGAAATACTATCATGACTTTTTTCTTAATGTCTCATCTACTGATATTACTAGTTTTATTTGACAGTAGTATAAATGCAAAATCTTCATATATATATATATATATATATATATATATATATATATATATATATATATATATATATATATATATATATATATATATATATATATATATATATATATATATATATATATATATATATATATATATATATATATATATATATATATATATATATATATATATATATATATATATATATATATATATATATATATATATATATATATATATATATATATATATATATATATATATATATATATATATATATATATATATATATATATATATATATATAAATATATATATATATATATATATATATATATATATATATATATATATATATATATATATATATATATATATATATATATATATATTTATATATATATATATATATATATATATATATATATATATATATATATATATATATATATATATATATATATATATATATATATATATATATATATATATATATATATATATATATATATATATATATATATATATATATATATATATATATATATATATATATATATATATATATATATATATATATATATATATATATTAAGTCACTAATATATTGATATGAGGATTTTGCACTCTTCATAGGCCTTGCTTTTATTACATTCAAAGCTCTGTAATTTAAGATCTTTTTCTGATACAAATTTTTTGGGTATTTTAGACGATTTATCGGCATACAAACCAACAATGCAAGGTTACGGTCACAAAATAGATGTAGCTGCGAATGCTGTAGATAGATCAATATACACATGTTCTTCTACAGACTTATTTAATCCAGCATGGTGGTATGTGGATCTCCAAAAAGTCAAAAGTATTTTTGACGTAGAGATATATTACAGACTTTATAGTACCGAATATGGTAAGTAAGAAATATATGAATTGACACATATAGATCTATTTAATGAAATACTTAAAAAAAAATAAAATCTTTAACTCCTTTCTGTACAGGTATTGAATAACTACATGAATTAACCCTATTTAAATGATACATTTCATTCTCTTGTGTACGAAGGCGGCGCAGTATCCACAAGTTGCAATTAAAAATATGTATGTTACACTTTAAATCCAACGAAAAAGTTACTACTCTATATTTTTTAGTGCAAATGCAAATTCTTCATACTGTATTACAATCTAATTTCCTCAAATTTGGGTGTTTATACTTTCACAAATATGAATTTTATAACGTTTTATACACCGGGTAGAAATCCAACTTTTAAAACATGGCGGCTGCGTTGACGCAGGCGGTGCACTGGATTATGATCAAGTATGTTGATTCAGAAAGTCATAAAGTCATAAATGTTTGGTAGGGAAGGAAATGTTTTCTGATTCTTAGTATTTAAAATGACTGAAATTGTTTCTCTATGTAAGTGAATAACGGAAACTAAAAAAAGAGAAAGGCCTAAGAACTGGGCAAGAGTGCCACTGTGCAACTCCATAAACTATAATCATTTATTATTTGTGCACCATGAAACTAGACAATATCTCTTTTCACCATTTAGATTCGTAGTGTAGCATCTGATTGCCAAAAAAATTATAAAAACACATATCTCAGTTGATTATATACGCAAGAGCATGCTCTACGTTTGAACAATTTTCTAAAACGGGGTAAATTATTGGCAAAGTTGATGTAACAAGAATTTAAGGTAAGTCACTCGTAAAATTTGTTAAATCAAGGATTTTTTGGGAAGTATATTTTGGATTAGTACTCATATAGTATGACTCAAAATCGCAGAGAAAATAGGGGGTCAGTGTGCATCTTACTGATCTATTGTACAATTAAATTGACCATTTTGCACTTAAATTTTAACTAATTGATTTATTACTTTATCTCTAATTTTATTTTATCAGATGTTACTACGTTTATAAATTTAATCTTATTTTACATAAAATAGTTTGAATAATATTTATCATTGAACAAATATTGCAAATTAATGCGCTTTTATTATTGTGTGACCTTTTTGCACTAAAAAATAACATATTTGTGGTATTAAAAAACTAAATTGGCAATAAAATATTTTCTTATATCAAGCTTTTTAGGAGTTAAGTGCTGATCAGTCACAAATATCGAGTAGTTTAAAAAAATGAGAGAAAAAGTTTGGGTCATTGATGTTAATTTTGAAACATTGGTCAAAATATGTGATTTTCAGGCAAAAAATGGTGTAAATTTTATCTTGGCTTCTTTAATATATCTTCATTTCTTGGCAAAGTTTGTTGAGGGAAGGTGTAAAACTTGTTCTAAAAATATAAATTAAGACCTATATTAAATATTCCTGCAAAATCATAACGGAAAATATCCTCCGTGTAAAAGTATGTGAGGCTAACATTTCAAGACAGTAATTTAATAAAATTTAATAAATCTGAATATCCTTCCACCACAAGAAATAGTCCCTCATAAATCTTGCTTCTTTGTAGATTTTTAAGCAGTTTTTTCGATGAATGTTAAAAATTATACATTGTTGAATATAAATATTTATAAAAATTGAATTTTAATAAATATTTTTTAAGTAAGAGGTTCTGCAGGAACTTTTATAAAATGCAGACGAGTGACTTACCTTAAGCAGATTCGTATAAAGTCATAATTTGGGAAGTTCTATGGTCGATACAATGACCTTAGCTTGTCAGCAAACACAGTTTACCATTGGGTCAAATGCTGACTGACGCTTTTCATACTAATTGTTAGGCCATTATTCATACACTGAATTGACGACGGGTTTTTCTATTATTCCCGGTCATGACAAGGAGCACGCGGCGGGTGTGACCGGTCAACAGGGGATGCTCACTCCTCCATGACACCTGATCCATCTCCGATGTTTTGGAGGTCCGCGTTTGCTCTGCTCCTATTTTGTATTGTTTTAGGGACTTTTAATCTTGAATACTGTTCTAATGATAATATCTCCATATTTTTCATTCAATACACCCCTAACGAAGATTTCAAAGTAAGATAAAAAACAATCTTCGAAACCTAGTATAATTTGCGCAAAAATCTTCCATAGTTTGTAGTTAGTAGTACGATTGACAATGTCAAAATAGAAACATCCAATGACAAACACAATTAAATGTTCAACTGAAGCGTTAGCGTATCGATCAGTGAAATGTAACATGAATAAAATGATTATAATATCAATCGTGGACACTCCAGGACCCGTTAATTTAGTGGCTAACTCGGCCTTGTACCAGAGTTAGGTGCGATTTCTTTCGTTAAAATTGTGGGTTATCTGAACATAACCCACACTTTTCTATAGCTCCGCCCAGGTAGTCTGGACAAAAGAACTATAAAACCATGCACAATTTTAAAGGGAAACAATCATGCGGGCTAGTTGTACCAAATTGATGAGTGTAAAAAAAAAGTAAATTTATCAATTGGAGACATCATTATGTAATATGTATTAAATGATTGTATATTGTTAAACGTCCCTCTCGATAATTTTCCACTCATATGGAGACATATGCCGGTGAAGGGCTTCAAATTTTGACCTTTACTTGGCACTCAGGGGCATTGAGCAGTGAGGGATCTTTATCGTGCCAACGGCTGCCGCTGACACGGGACCTCGGTTTTTAAAGGTCTCATCCGAAGGACCCGCAACTTTTACTTCAAAGTGCTGAGCGCAAGGCGAAGGAACAGTTGCTACCCATTTTTTATCGACTAAGGTCAGTCGCGGCCGAGAATCGAACTCACAACCTCCCGATCACAAAGCGAGCGCTCTTCCGACTGACCTACCATAAACGGTCAGCATTATGTAATAACTATCAATCAAAAACGGCATTAAAACTTTCACTTTCGTCAACAATTGAAAACAATTCTTCAGAAATAGATTGGTTTTATTATTGTTTTATTTCTCATTTTATTTTTACATTTTTTTTTAAAGTGCGTTGACCAGGGTGATGTTACATTAGTATAGATTCCAATATCATCCTTTTCATAACCAACAAAGGAAACATGGTACATAAACATAACTGTGCTTAATAATTAGGTTTTCGATTGCGGATCTAGCCGATCAAAGATCTAATTTTCATTAACTTGAAATATACAAAATCCTTAACAAAAATTTCAATCAACTTACCACTGTGCACGACAAAGTATGTATCGGCTTAACAAAAAATTAAATTTATAATATATTTCAATAATTTGATTTTGACGTTTGAAATTAAATTTATGAGAAAAAAAATCAAATCAAATCAACATATCTCATTGAAACCAAACTCTTTAATCCTAACGTCGCGAATTCGAATCCCACTGTGGAATGTGGAGACCGGTCCTTCGGATGAGACCGTATGAATCAAGGCCCCATGACTTTGTAGTTGCCGGCACGTAAAAGATCCCTCAATGCATGCTCACTGGCCCAAATTATATAAGTGCCTAGAGTAGGACAAAATTTGTAGCTCTCCACCGGCAAGAGATGACGTCTACATACGTGTGAAAAATTCTCGAGAAAAACGTTAAATAGCATAAGATCAAATTTTGAAAAGTAGTATACAATTCACTTACCTTACACTCGATGGACGTGGTCATAAGGACACGCAGGAGCGTAAAATCATATAAAATCTACATGTATCATTGAAACCAAACACCTAATTTTTCAATCACATGAATCAGTCCGACTATAATTTTAGTTGACTTACAAATGAATGATTTTTGAAAACTATGGTACAAGTCATTTACCCCATATAATACTGTTGATTATGTGCAGACACCCGATGGGCGTGGTCATAATGACAACTCGGGAGCTACGCTCCCTCGTGTCATTATTAACACGCCCATCGGGTATATGCACATAACCAACAGTATTATATGGGGTAACTACTACGTATAATTTTTGTGCGTGAGTACACACATAATAACATTCAAATCAATTTCAAAGTTGTTTAGGCATAAAAACACAGCAAATGTTAATACAATATTGTCATTTGATAAAACGCCGTTGAAATCTCTAAACAGTGAGTTATATGCACACTAGGAATTCCTTCTGATGAATACGCTTTTTTCAACAATAAATTTTACTTGATAAACACATACAACGGTTTTTAAAATAAGAGAATACAATTTGGGACCTTCGGTATTTCCAAAATACATGTAAAATGTGTTACATTTATGACATCTTAGTACTTATTTTTTTTTGTTATAATATAGAACAACGACAGAGAGAGCGTATGTATGGATACAAACTCTACATCTCTAACAGTACAGACTTCAGTCTCCTACACGAGGCTTATCTGTGTTACAGTCATTCAGGGCAGGAGTTACCCGAACTCAATGTAACTCATGTGTGTGTTTCTTTTGGTCGGTACGTAATTTTCTATAACGAAAGAGGAGTTCCTGGCGTGACGTATCCAAAAGGGGTCAATCCAAAAGAAACATTTACACAGCTGTGTGAAGTTATAGTACAAAGTACAGTAAAATTTGTCTAATCCGGACTCTGAGTACTCCGGACTTTTGTCCATTCCGTCTATAAATTTTAGTCCCTTGCACTTCTTTAACAAATTCATTTAAAAAAATTCTGTGTAGTCCGGATACTGTCTATTCTGTATTCCGAACGGCCATACTGGTCCCAACTGCTCATAATTAATGGTAATTATTCCCTCTAATCCGGCCACACCTGAGTTACTTCAAAGCAATTAACACCTTTCGCGGTGGATGTGATAATCCGTGTTTACATTAGCATGATTAGTGCCATGAGACGAACTCAGTGACACAGCCCATTTAAAAAATGTATTATATTATTAAATTACAATTTAAAAAAAAATTAACTTTGTTTTAACTCCTTTTACCACATTATAACATCAGCACAAAAATATATGTAGTACGCGATTTACAAATCAAAATATGAATCGGGATCGAAAATCGAACGCATTACAAAAATGGCGCCATAACACTGTGGGAGAATACGTAATTTTTTACATAAAAATTAAAAGTTCAATCTTATAATTAGCACATCGTAAATAATTGTGCATTACTGTTAATACATTGAATGAGGTCTTTGACAAGCGAAACCCGATCCGCTTGATACATAGTAGGCCTATATTATGCGCGCCTGTATATTTTGATTGACGTACCGTAACATTTCACCCGACTTTCAAAATTTGTGAACAAATAAGAAAATATAGTAGTAACTTATGTGAGACTATTTAATATTTTCTAGACTCCAAAATATTGATTGACTTCATCATTTAATTTTATTTATAATATGTATATGATGTACTTGTAAATAAACAACAAAATTTTCGAAATTGATATTTTCCTGCATTTTTCCTGCACTCCGGATTCTGTCTAAACCGGCCAAATTTTATGGAACCGGCGGTAGCCGGTTTGGACAAATTATACTGTATTTTATTTCATTTGTAAACAGTTTGCGATGAAATGTATACACTTTCAAAATTTTTGGATTTATTTAAAAATAAGATTATAATTAATATTACTCTAAAAGACGAGAGACGTTGAAAGACATACATACGTTTCAAAGGTTGTAAAAAGGATGGTGTTTATGGAAGTTTCTGTAACAAGTCCTGTCCTTCTAATTGTCAAGAGAGAAGGTGTTACATAACTAATGGTACCTGTGCTGGATGTAAAGACGGTTGGATAGGGGAAAAGTGTCTCGATGGTAAGATTGAGAAAATCATCAATTAAAGACATTTATTATTATCTATATACATCATTTCATAAATCTCTTTACTACGGAGAGAGGGATAGAGAGAGTTCAATATGCAAAGGAGTCAACAAAAATCATCTGTAATTTAACCGAATTTCAAGTAGTCCTTACCTAGCTTTAAAGATTTTCTCCAAATTGTCCTACAAGAAATTTCTCTTATTTTAAAAACTGAAGACTGTCAGGCAGGGATATTTAAATCTAAATCTCGAAACACTTCCTAGCTCTAAGTACAAAATTATGAGGGTAAAACACAAAATGCGAACAATTGACTAATGGTACTGAGAATAACATCTGCTCATTGAATCTATGCACATTCTAAAAATATTTGTCCAACTAATACAAATGATAATGATTAAATTTTATCTTAAAAAGAAAAAAATGAGGAAAAATGAGAATCCTCACAGATTATTATTTATGCCAAATCTCATATTATTTAAACAGGCTGTATTATTAAATATAAAAGTATAAAAAAAAATTCAATTCATGTTATAAGCTTGTCCAGCTGGAAAATATGGAGCCGAATGCAAGAAAACATGTACAGACCATTGTGGAAATAATACTTCTTGTAGTCACGTGACTGGTCAGTGTGAGGGGTGTCTATCTGGATGGATGGGACATGATTGTAATGAAAGTAAGATATGAGAAGAATTATTCTGGAATTTACTGTGACCACGCAAAAGAAACAGAGCTTCTTTTAATACAAAATTATGAAGTACTTAATATTACAAGATCTGTATGAATATCGAATTACAACAAAACCTACCACTGTATCTTTTAAAAAATTACTGCTCTTAATAGACTCATTGTGTTTGTCATGACGTCATCACAGTATTAAATTGTCCAGTAGAAGAGGGGGGATTAATCTTTGAATATATGAACATAAATTTTCAATTAAAAATCATAATGTATTTCTCTTCCATAATTCTTTCAACCTTTAAATTTCAATTTATAAAACATATTGATGATATCCTGTATGTCGTCAAGCAATTAAGTTTGGAGAAATACATCTGTGCATAAAATACAAAGTGTTTAAAGTGACTTGAGCGACGAAAACATGTACGAGGGTAAGAGTAAAATATTTGTGGTTTCATTGCAGAATACTGTAGAAGCACAAATTTTCGTGGGCATAAAATTTCGTTGTTTTGTCATCAAAAATAATTTCGTGTGCATTTAATTTCGTTGTTTTAAAACTAACCCTATTCAATATATAGTCAGATAAAATTTCGTGTGGGATTTAATTTCGTTGAATTTTGTTAACAACGAAATAAACGAAATTAAATCCCCCACGAATATTTGTGCTTTTACAGTATATCAAAGAAATAAAAAAAGGACCAGACAATGATTAATGTAAAAATATTTCTAAGAACTTGCATTGCAAGTACAGAAACAATACGAGTTCATCATTTAGCACACATTTTCAGTATGTCCATCTGGCACGTATGGAAGAGGCTGTGAACAGAACTGTAGTGGAAACTGTTTTAACAACGATACCTGCTACAATGTCAACGGAAATTGTCCTCGGGGTTGCCTTGACGAATTTCGAGGAAATCGCTGCGATGAACAAAGCGTTGTTGGTATGAGTATCATAGTACATCATTGTAGATAGTTCAATGTTATTCAGACAAATGTATATATATATTTTTACAGGCAATTATAATTTAGCTTAATACGAAAAATAACTGGTTCTTTTTATGGAATGTCAAGATCAATTTGTATTTTGTATTTCAAACAACAATTTTTATACTCTAACAATGTTTCTGAAAGTGGATTATGATTGAATTGTCCAAAAAAAAGATACAAGGATGTTTTCTCCCTTATAACTGATGTTAAAATTTACTGGTTTTTTTTTTACATGTAATTTCTTTTCTTATTTACATAGTAGATTTTAATCGCCTTTGCAGTGACCAAAAAGCCAACATAGCCGGGTTGACAGCGGGTTTGATTATTTCTCTACTGATCAATGTTGGATTTTGCTTTTTAGTAGTGCTTCACTTCATCAGGTATGTTTATTTGTACCAGTGGAGATTAGAGGAGCGTATTTAAAGCAGTGACACCTGAATAACAAATGAAACAATTTCATGTTGAAGATCTTCTTTGTCACATGATCAAATTCCGTGAAGCCACATATCATTAATATATCACACGGACGATCCAAGGTATCATCAGGTGTTTAGTTTAAAGATATTTTATTCATATATAGAAATGGATTGAACAGAAGGCATAAATGCCTATGATCGTTCTCTCCATAGGTCAAGGTACAATTACAAGTACATGTAAACATTGAAAAAATGTATGAAGAGTAGATTATCAATTGGTACATGGGGGAGAGAGAGAGAGAGAGAGAGAGAGAGAGAGGAATGATAAGAAAATATATATATATATTAACAAATGGATAGGAAAAAAATAATTATATAATAAAATATAATCAGCAAAAAGGAAGAAAACAAATAAAACAAAAAACAAGAACATATGATTGAGCAATTGTTGTTGACCCAGAGTAGGAAGAATCCCTGAAAGAGCAGTTTACCTAGTAAAATAATATATTTCCCATAAAATATAATAAACTAAAATTTATCAGGTGTCACGCGCGTGATCCCCTTGTCCTTGAACTCATTAGCTTCGAAATTTGAAAAGCAATTATTTTGTAAAAAATGATGAAGAATTATAGTTATTTCGATATTATACAATTATTGCTGGTTTTTGAGGTCACTCTAACAAAAAAATACTATAGTTAACTATAGTTCACTATAGTTAACTATAGTTCACTATAGTTCACTATAGTTAACTATAGTTTACTATAGTTAACTATAGTTTACTATAGTTAACTATAGCAAATCAAAGTGTCAAAGTTTTCGCCAAAGTTTTTCAAAGTGTCAAAGTTTTCATCAAAGTTTTTCAAAGTGTCAAAGTTTTTGCCAAAGTTTTTCAAAGTGTCAAAGTTTTCATCAAAGTTTTTCAAAGTGTCACAGTTTTCGCCAAAGTTTTTTAAAGTGTCAAAGTTTTCGATAAAGTTTTTCAAAGTGTCAAAGTTTTCGCCAAAGTTTTTCAAAGTGTCAAAGTTTTCGTCAAAGTTTTTCAAAGTGTCAAAGTTTTCACCAAAATTTTTCAAAGGGTCAAAGTTTTCGCAAAAGTTTTTTAAAGTGTCAAAGTTTTCACCAAATTTTTCAGTGTCAAATTTTTCACCAAAGTTTTTCAAAGTGTCAAAGTTTTCGATAAAGTTTTCCAAAGTATCAAAGTTTTCGATAAAGTTTTTCAAAGTATCAAAGTTTTCGATAAGGTTTTTCAAAGTATCAAAGTTTTCCCAAAGTTTTTCTTAGTGTCAAAGTTTTCGCCAAAGTTTTCCAAAGTGTTAATTTTTTCGCCAAGTTTTTCAAAGTGTCAAAGTTTTCAATAATGTTTTTTGAAGTGCCATAGTTTTCGATAAAGTTTTTTTTGATTATCAAAGTTTTCGATTTTTTCAAAGTTTCAAAGTTTTTGATAAAGTTTTTCAAAGTGTTAATGTTTTTGATAAAATTTTTCAAAGTGTCAAAGTTTTCGATAAAGTTTTTTAAAGTATCAAAGTTTTTGATAAACTTTTTCAAAGTATCAAAGTTTTTGATAAACTTTTTCTAAGTATCAAAGTTTACGATAAACTTTTTCTTAGTTTTCGCCAAAGTTTTCAAAGTGTCAAATCTTTCGCCAAAGTTTTTCAAAGTGTCAAAGTTTTTGATAAAGTTTTTCAAAGTGTCAAAGTTTTTCGCCAAAGTTTTACAAAGTGTCAAAGTTTTCGCTAAAGTTTTTCAAAGTGTCAAAGTTTTCGTCAAAGTTTTTCAAAGTGTCAAAGATTTCGTCAAAGTTTTTCAAAGTGTCAAAGTTTTCGTCAAAGTTTTTCAAAGTGTCAAAGTTATCACTATAGTAAATCAAAGTTTTCAAAGTGTCAAAGTTCTCACTATAGTTAACTATAGTTAACTATAGTATTTTTTTGTTAGGGCAATACAATGATTTAGGCATCTGAGGAGTACAATATTCACCGAGCCCGAAGCAATAATTGTTTTATTATATGATTCACTGATAAAATGATACAGCTCATTACTTGTTTGCATTTTATTAAGTCCTAGCCAAATACAAGAGAGTAACAGAATTAAAATGTTAATAAACCTTACTAGTCGTATCAATTTTTTTTTAAAATCAATTTTAGTAGCCATGAAAGAAATATATATAATGTCAATCTTTTTATAGGATAGATTTTGAAAGGAAGGAGTATTATCAGGGAAAACTGACTGCCAAAAAGTAAAAAAAAAAATTGTTGTTCAGTAAAAGTATTGGAGGGGGGTCTCTGCATCCCCTCTTACCACCCTCACCTAAAATATATATTTGCTGATGTTTTGTTCACAGGAAAATAAAAATCATAGTCCTTTAAATAGCTTTCTAAAACAATTTGTATCAATTTGGAATTCCCCAGTTTATTTTTAGATCAATGTAGAGGAAATAAATCCTTGTATTGACCTGGAACGTCACGTGCAGGTCAATACAACGTAATATTTTTCTAACATAGTTGGATCTCGGCCAATCAGAGAGATGGAAATTATTCAATCATATAATAATAAGGAATAGTTTACTATATTATGATTTCCTCAACGCGTGGAGTCGAAGCGTTTGTATTTCATTTTACATGCCATCAAATTATTCTGTGCAAAAAATGTATTTCCATCCTTCCATGTCATAGGTTTTTGCAAAAATTGTGATGAATTTAAATTCATACCCAATAGAACATTTTTTAAAAGAATACTTTACAACATGTGTAATGATAGATATTGTTAAGTAAAAGTATGATATGGCAACGTATACAGTTTTTGCAAGAATTGGTATATTTAAACTATATAAAATGAAATTAAGCCAGCATTTGCATTTTACATTTGTGAGGGAGATGGTTGCAAATAGATATAAACAAAAATGTAAGTATATAGCAATTTGACATCATTTAAAATGTTTCATTTTTTTTAAAAAGGCAGTAAAATCAAATGATAAGCCAGAGGACACTTATCGAAAGGGACATTTCGTTCTCTCCAGCTTTTACATTCCATATAAAATATATCATTAAAAAGTTTAGTCTATAATGAAATCACTGCTTATTTCCTTTTGCATGTTTTATTCTTACTTAGATATTTAAAGAAGATACCAATATGTTTTTTATTTGTTTTTCAAATTATTAAAGTTAAGAAAATTATTATAAGAAAGTAAAACGAAGACATTATTCATTGTAGGAAGAGAGACGTTACCCGCTTTAGGAAGAACGAGAACAAGAAAGAAAATGACAAGTCTTCATACGAGGTTAGTGACAGAGGGCCTTCCCAACAAAGAACTTCTGAAGACCATCTTGAAAATCATACATATGAGGATCTGAATGCGACACGAACAACAAGGGCCCCTCAAGTATATCGTAATCTCTCGCTCAATGACACAAGAACAGGCTCTTAATAGCAAAAATATGTATTAAATATCAATAGCAAATTAAACACATATTAACTGCTTTTAAGGAAAAGAAAATCTAGAAGCCTAAAACTATGTCTGATACATTCCACTTCTTGTGCTTGGTTTGGCTTGGCGAGGGAACAGTCACTACCTATTTTAAAGTTGACTTCCAAAAACAAGAGCAACCTTGAAATATATAGATCATTGAGACATTTGTGCTGTTAATAGATGTTATACTTGCGACATGTTGTGCCACCAAAGGACGTTCTTTTTTCACAAGAACTTTCACTTTCCGGCAGTCTGATTAAAACCAGCCCCTTCTCCTTTAGGAGAAGGGGGCTGCATGGTTTTAATCAGACTGACTTTCCGGAACTTGGACTTTACGGAACCCCTTTGGTCTGTATTTGGAACCTACAACTCACACCTACAACTCACGCACGGGAAATGCATCTTAAATCCGAAAGTTCAAAAGCAAAAATTCTCGTTATTGCAACTCTAGTGTGATGAATGTTCTGGATGGATATCCTTTCATGACAATGATTTCTTTTATTAAAGCCCAAACTTTTTACTAGACAGTAGTGGTCTTCTGCTAAGTAAAAATCTGTAACAGAATGCTAAAATTGAGATGACGACGAAGATTTAAAATCATTATCAAGTCCAAATAAACAAAATTTTGCTTTAATTAAAAGATTGATATTTTATTTATATGGATGTTACTTTATTGTAAAGAGAAGTAGAAAAAATACTTTACAAGCTGTGATTGGAATATAAATCCCTCTTTTATTCCAAGTAATAACTGTACTTTCTTTGAATCAGACTTTAACGTTGAATGATTATTTCTAAATTATCAGTGATTAAATTTATGTGAAAAATTTGTGGCATATGTAAAGATTTGTCAAAATCTTTGTATTTTGTTTCAGTCTTCCAGTAAAGCGATCTTAGCAACTTAACAAAAACATCTTGAAGCATGTTTATGTTTCATGAAAACAATAATATTGTGGAAAAAATATTGAGATAAGAAATTGAATGCAATGGTGAAGGAGCATTTTAAAAAAAATAAAATGATAAGGTTTCTATGAACAATTTTTGTTAAAAGATTGCTTTATCATAACTGAATGTGTTGATCGTATGCAGTATTGCTTTTTTTGACAGAAGATTATCTGACAAGGAGTAGTCAAAACACAAAAGGATAATAATGCATCTTGATAAATTATAACCTGCTGCTTAAGGACAGATGATATAAACAATATTTTTCTTAATATCATGTCACAAGTTTAGAAAAGAGGATAATTCATAGATTTGTTTCTTTTAAGAACGGAAAATGAAATACACTTGGAAAATATTAGTAATATTTCAATATAATTACAAATATGGACAGAACACACTCAGTAAAGGTTTACAAATTAAAACAAATTTCAGAATATGTTACGTTGGTGGAAAAAGTATAATTTAAACTTTAGAAAAATATACCAAGCCAGGTGAATTTTATTAAGAAAAGCAAAATGGCAAAAATCAGCCTATGTTTTATTGGTTATTTTTTGTCATTTTGTATTTTCTCATAAAATTCACCTGGCTTGGTGTATTTTTCTAAAGTTTATATTACACTTTTAGCACCAAGGTAACATATTTTGTAATTTGTTTTCACCTGTAAACCTTTACTGAGTGTTATTTGTCTATATGTATTTTTTCATTGAAATATTAGTAATATATTACAAGTCTATTTCATTTTTCAGTTTTTAGGAGAAAAAATGCTATGAATTATCGACTTTTCTTAACTTGTGACATGATATTAAATCCATTTCAAAGAAAAAAATTGTTTGTTTTATCTTTCCTTAAGAAAATTTTAAAAAGATTTTTCTATATTTTTTTTTATATATTTTTCCTGTTGAATTTTGAACCCCATTTTACGTATGGGAATTTTGATTTTAACAAGTTTCAGACTGCTATTCCAATTTTTATTTTCATATTTTAATTACTAATCTGAATTCCTCAGTTTTGAGATGAATTTCTTATAATTATATGATCAACGTATTCAATACACTGAAATTAATAGAATAAACATGGTATTTTCCATATTATGAAAAATACTATCAAAAGTGAGACAAACTGGAGATTTTCTTTCCTTTCACAAAAATGTCATTAGATATATAAATAGGCTGTTGTAAGGTATCAGGGTGAATGAATCAACGATGAAATGTAACTGAATAAGAAAAATATGAAATTAAATAAATACCAGCATTACTAATTGTCTGAAAGATATTTATTTATTTGAGTTTATTACTTGACATATAAGTTGTGGAATATTCAACATGTTTAAAGTGAAATAAAAGTACTCCTCTAATTAACGAAGTTTTACACTGTGAATTATTTGAACAGAAAATATTTATACAATATTGCTACAACTGAGAAAATATTGATTATGCCATCATATTTTAACTCTCCTCCAAGGGAAGAACAATAACACATTGGGACTTTATTTCTCTGGCCATTATTTAAAAAAATTTACCAAAAATAAGACTACAGTGAATTGTATGTCTTTGCTACCTATGTTAGATGATCGATTTTCTGCCAGACGAAGTTGGAACTAAACGATATCTACGCTTTTCCTTCCAATAGTAAAACTAAGCGATTTAAAGTTTGTCAAATATTTTTATCAAGAGGTAAATGGCTTTTTTATCTAAAAAAAAAAACACTAACCTTAATGCATATTGGATCACCAATAATGTGCAAGTCATTGACTAATATACATAAAATCTGGAAAACAAAATTTAAAATGCGTATAGTTTTCAAATGTTTACTTCTCTACTTCGTCAGTATGGAGTTTTCTACAGGATACGGTTTGTATGACAATTTTTTATCTCAACAAAATATTTTAAAGTTTTGCTCCCTTTCTTTAATAAATCGTTTTTAAATTACCATGCAGAAGTAAACATTCAATCGTCAGAAATAGCATTTCAAATTCAGAAAGACTTTTTTTTTAATTTCATTTTTTCGTTTTGTGGAGAGGTTCTTGAATTTACGTTATACTACACAAAGCACCAATGCTAATAATAACTTCATTTATTACATACTTGATAATAAATACAGAATTTTTGCATATGTGATATGCCTGACGTCACAATAGCCGTATCAGCCCTGCAGGATTTGCAGGGCTGATATGGATTTGCGGGACCCATAAGATCAATAGTACACCCCTAGTAAATTAAATCTAATAAACAGTAATTGTGAACATACATACATTTTGGGGGTACATATATTTTCTTAATTCTAACTTAAAGTTTTTGAAAGAATGATAATCTAAATGACCAATAAATAAATATCAAAATTACGGATCGGGCACATTTGAAAGAGAAGTAGAAACAAAGCCAAACTGCACGAGACAATAGATCGTATATATGTATGAAGTCCGTGCATGTGTATTTACTTATTTTCTTCTCAACTTAAGTGACCTGTAATTTATTTCTAACTATGTAATAAACATAATAAAACATTTTTTTCCACATCACATCTTGTATCAGTCCTCTGGTCGTCGGTCCTCCGGCTAATATTGGTGTCTCGGATTGATACAGGATATGATATGGAAAAGGTTTTGTATTATTCTCTATATACTAGCTGATGAATTAAATATCATTATACTAAATGAATCCCTCTTTAGTTTGTTGGAGATGCGAAGGTGAAGTCCGTTATGCGTAAATTATTCAACATTTACAACCATCGTTGATGTGCGTGGCATACCCAACAAACCATGAAGTGATTTTTTTTATTTACATTTCATTGTAAAAAATAACGTTTTACTGTATCTTAAATTTATCTCCTTCTGCTTTTTTCATGCGTATGGAGTAGAAAAAAGCATTGTGTGTGTATTTATATTATATCCATTATATATTGTTAAAATAATCCAGAAAATATATTAATAAATATTTTGAATAGCTGGTCGGTTGATGCTCTGTTTGGCACGTCATGTGACTTTGTATTACATTGACACAATCCAAGCATAAAAATCCTCATCTAAAGTAAGAATTAGAATGGTCACTTTTGAGGAAATAAACGACAGAAAGAACAATGATGATAGACAATGATATTACACAACTCATACAATAACTTTTATTTACAAAATTGTGTCAAGGTGTTGACAATAAAACACAAAAAAGCACAGCAATGATGGCTAAAAATGGTTTGACAGTATATCATACAAAATTCTATATTGCTTAATTCTTCAACTTGTCCAAGATGGAACAATACGTACATGTATAATTATGATTTTTCTAATGCACCGCTGAATAGGCTAGATTTTGAGTTGCATTTTTGTGTCCATTAGAGCTTTTTGCATGTATTTTCAGACGACATATCAGCACATAAGCCATCAAAACAATACAAAGATTATTTTTTTATTGGTGTTGCTCAAAATGCTGTAGACAGATCCCCATCCACCTGTTCTTCTGATGCTTCCAATCCAACATGGTGGTACGTAGATATCGGAAACATCAAGAGTATTTATGACGTAGAGATTTACTTCAGCGATTCTAATGGTTACGGTAAGTAATAAAAATACTTCTACCTCAACATGCTCAATCTAAGGGAAAACATATTAAAATCTTTTTGATTCAGTTCTGTATTTTGAAAAAATGAATATCTTCATATTTTATTAATAGTCAGTAAATTAAAAAAAAATATATTCTGTTTTGTTGAAATTTAGTGTTTTATCTAAATGATTAGTTGACGCCACAGCAAATGTCGTTTTTCCTCACAAAAATTCTACTATAATAAATTAAGGAGCATGATTACTGTCCATCAGTAATGCACATAATGAAAGATGTATTGTGTATGTGAAACAATCTTAATAATTTTTAAAATTACAATATAGAACAACGACAGAGAGAGCGTATGTATGGATACAAACTCTACATCTCTAACAGTTCAGACTTCAGTCTCCTACACGAGGCTTACTTGTGTTACAGTCATACTGGACCGGAGTTACCCGATCTTCACGTTACTCATGTATGTGTTTCCTTTGGTCGGTATGTAATCTTCTACAATGAAAGAGTTCCCGGTGTGACGTATCCTGGCAATCAAATATATACCTATACACAGCTGTGTGAAGTCATAGTACAAGGTAAATTGATTTCTTTTGAATGTAACCGATATTCACAATGTAAATGTTTCGTGATTTTGGAACGGGAAATCACAAAACTTTGACATTACGAACATTTAATTCACCTTAATTGATTACAATTTATTTGAAGGACTAAATAAGACATATTGCAAAAAAAGACAGAAATAGAAAATAGCAACAACAAGCATTTTCAATGACAAATATACGTTTTAAGGTTGTGCTAGAGATGGTGTTTATGGACGTTTCTGTAATAAGTCCTGTCCTACAAACTGTCAAGAGAGAAGGTGTTATATAACTAACGGAACTTGTGCTGGATGTAAAGAGGGCTGGATTGGGGGAAAATGTATTGATGGTAAGCTATACTTATGTACATGTAATTTAAAGAGGTTCGATACGGATCTTTTGAGCATATTCTTATTTGAATCATTGTATATTCTAGAATTTGGAGTCCCTGTTTTAATCTAATATAATTATATTAAGAAATCTAGATACAGATAGCTAAATTTAAGGTCAACGTAGTTTGAACTTTTCTGTCTTTTTCCATGGAGCTGAAGAGTTTTAATTATTGAAGAAACTGTGTGTTTTATTTTACTTTCTACGTATGGTAATGTACACTTATTCAAAAACAATTTTGGATAAAAGAAACATCTAGAAAATATGTTTCGTAATTTTTATATATTTTTCTTTGAATCATCCAAAAATTTTCATAAAATTTTATATTTCAAAATCCGTTTGTAATGCATGCTGATTTTTAATGAACATCTGATGACACTATAATCTTAGATTAAGAATATCGTGAAAAATTATTTTCAGGTAAGATACGTAGCATATGTCCTTACTGAAAAATCATACAAAATTACATTTTCTTATATAACATATTATAACTAAAGCCAAAGGTCTTGTATTATATCGTATTACATTGTCTAATAATGTCTTATCAATATCTGTTATAACCTCTTATTTTCCTTCAAATAATGTATTCCATCAAGGTATTAAAAAAATGAAATATATAGAGATATCGAATAGTATTCAAGATCCATAAAACAATACTAAAAGAGCAGAAAAAACACGGACCTCCAAAATATGAGATCAAATGCTACGGAGTATTGAGCATCCCCTGCCAGGTCACACCCGCCGCTTGCTCTTTGGTATGATCGGGAAAAAACCGACGCCAACACAATTTGCAAATAATATTACAATAATTGGTATGAAATACGCCGACAAGCATCTGATCCAACAATAAATAGCATTTAATGAAAAGACCTTTGCATCGACCACAGAACTCATGAAACCATGACCACAAACGAGATCACCGATATTCCCGCCCCATCAATGTGTGTGTCAATAACTTCCCTCCTTTAAGAAATTTTTCATACGCAGAATCAACTGAGATATATAGATTCCGTTACAGGTGATGAAAGTTTATTGCTGCATAAGTAAGGGACGGTGACGATTGCAAAATTATGGTCCTCACGTTTATCATAGTGCTTGGTTATTAGATTACGATAAACGTCTTTTTCAAGCTTAGGAAACAAGAATATCAGCGGTCTTGTATTCTTGCTTAACATCTTAAATAAAAGTTAATGCATAAGAATTAGAAACAGATATCGCTCTCTCACCTTGTCTTGCAAAAAAAATATTACTCAGCGGATATTACGAAAGTGGAAATTTTAAAACGTAAGACTAATAAAAACCAATATGGTTTAGTTTTCATAGACAAACAACTTGCAGCATTGACACACATAAAAAATGTAAAGGTGGAATCTTCTTGTTGGTCATTTCAAAGAGCATTTAAAAATAATTCATGTTCCTCCGCTTTCCACACTTTTTTAAAGACGTTGACAGACGCGTTGACAGACGTGGAACGATAACTCTTGGTAGAGTTTGCATTGCAAGGTTAATTTTGATTTTTATTTGTATGTTATGTGCACTTAAAGTATGAGGAATTTGTATAAAGGGTTCTCTTAGCTATATAAAACTACATTTTCTTTTTATGATTTTGATGAAAGCTGAAGGCCATTGACTGATTTATTAGCTTGACTTCTCTGTCCTTCTCTCTCTCTCTGTCCTCCCTCTCTCTCAGTCTCTCTCTCTCTCTCAATATTTTTCCTTTTCTTTTTGTAAAAAAGTTTTTGAAAATGCAATTAATTATTTTTTTAAAAAAAGGAAAAAAGTTTTTTTCCAAGGGTATAAAAAAAGTTTTTCCAGAATTGTATATTTGCATCATTAAATTTACAAATGTACATACACTGAAAAAAAAATTGTTATGATATCACATGACTTCGTCGATTACGTGCCGGTTATTTATAATTTTTGAATTGTTTTCACATTATCTCTTCAGCGCAGCTGATTGACATAATTATTATTTACTTCATTTTTTGCATCCTTGTTAACCTCAAATGTGCTTAGGAAAAGTTATACTATTACTTTGGTACAAGATATTTCATAAAAAAATGAAATTACCGACACATTTGAGGACATTTTCTACTCAATATCGTCATCTGTATTAAAACATAGCCGTCAAACATTTTCCCCCAAGCAAAATTCAATAAGAGTGAAGTCACCTTACAGATTTCCAAAATAAGCTCTCAAAATTTCCCCACTCATCACTTACCTCAGGCTCTTTTATCTTTATATATTTTACATCTTTCTTTGATCTTAAAAAGTCAAAATATTTATTACAATGTATGTAGATGACACTTATAGCAATAAAATGAATTAAAATAAAAAAGGTGCATTCAATTGTGTAATTAATTTTTTTAAAATGCAATTTAAGTATGAATATTAATAAAGAGTTATTTTTAAGAAAACTTAATATAATATGTTGATTAGACAATGTAATAAAATATGACAATTTACAAGTTTTTACACAACATGTGTAGAGACATTTATGCTTCCGTACTATTGTACTTCGTCATCGAAAACTCGAAGAAAACGCCATCCAGTTTAACAAAAATGCATACGAGTTTTATAGTTGAATAATTTAATTTTGGTTGTAACGCTGTATTTGATTGGATAAAAAATTTACTTTATATCGTATAAAATGGGTTGCCTACGTCACAATGACTTGTGTCAAAAACGTATCGATCCGCCTGACGTTACATTCAAATTTTGAACAAATCGAAGTCATTTTGTTAAAACAATCATCTTTTGTCTTCATCAAATGAATGAAAATTAAATTGTAAACAATGAATTTAATAGCTAACCATTTTATATGGTATAAACTGGGTTGGAACAGTTTACGCTTTTTTATAAACCGCTTCGCGGTTTATTAAGCATAAACTGATCCAACCCAGTTTATATATATATATATATATATATATATATATATATATATATATAAATATATATATAAATATATATATATATATATATATAAGCTTGTCCACATGGATATTATGGTGCAGAATGTAGGAGAACATGTCCAGAACGATGTAAAAATAATTTCTGTAATCACGTGACTGGTCAGTGTGAGGGATGTATATCAGGATGGATGGGATACGACTGCAATGAAAGTAAGTTATTCGTGGCAATCTAACATGAAATAAAAATCAAAACCAAAAAACTCTGATTGGCTTATATTTGGAATTTTGAGATATACGATTGTCATATATTGAAATGTAGTATACTTTATGACTGATTTCATATACATTATCAAATTAATTTAGAAACAAAATTACAATGACTATTTAGCACTCACACACCCATTCAAACACCCATTTGCATTTCAACTTTAAAAAAAATGTATTTTCATTTAAACTGTTTGCAATATTGTGAAATTGGGAAGGATCATTCTTCAACAGCATGTTTTCATGGAATGTACGGCGAAAACTGTGTAAAGCATTGTAGTAGAAACTGTGCAAAAGAGAAAGAAGATTGTAACAGAGAAACCGGGGATTGCTATGACGGATGTAAACCGGGTTATCGTGGCTCGAAATGTGAACAAGGTAAAAACAACATAATTTATTTGTTGTTGCTTTACATCCATCACATTTTATGTTGAATATTTGCCTATACATACATGTAAAACTTATACATGAGAAAAGAGCCACACTGTCTATGACCTTCAACTCGTTATTTAGATATATCGACCAACTATTGTCAATTAAGATGGATTTTATTTTAACCTATTTCTTTAAAAGAACTGGAGAAAAAAAAAGAATAATATTACTACATTGACAACATTGAATGATCCCCGGAAGAAAAAAATAAGATATTGCAGGTTTGCGTCATATTTTATGAAAAAATCTGAGAATCCTATACATTGGTCACTTGGGAACTTACATATTGGAATGTGTTTATGATATCTACGTGCAATAAACAAGTATTTAATGGTCTATTATAAAATGCAGTGAAACTTTTGTTCCACATGTAACCCAGCAGTAAGGCAGATGGTGTTCTCATAATTTATTAAGGAAATAAAGGCATTGATCTAAAATAAACAAGTACATAATAAGTCAAAATCACAGAAATTGAAAATAATTAACATATGAGATATTTACCTACAGTAAAAGTTTAAGAAAATTGAACTCTATGAAAAAATGTGTACTGTAAACAAATCAAATTGAAATCTTACAGACTCATTATTACTCCGTTACTACATTGAATGCAAAAATACAATTAAGTAAAAAGTTTGCAATCAAAATAATAATGTTAATCAAATCTGTATATGATAGGAAACACATAATAAAATATACAAGTTACATGCCATAAGATGAGTATGATGGATACTGGATTATAAATATACACTGAACTTCTTTCTTGGAAACGTATTACTGACATACATAGGTAAAGCGCGGTAAATTCATACATATAATGAAAAATGTATGATTGGATGACAAAATAAGAAATAAACAATCCAATGAAATCACAGAATAAAACTTTACTCAGGCAACTGAATTTATTTGCGCAATATAACTTTTAGTTAATCAAGTTTTTTTAAGATTATAAATCTCAAAACGATATGAAAGAATAAATAAAAAACGAATAAATACATATAGAAATAGATTTCATTATATCACACATATATAGTAGAGGGCATATATTTTGAGACGTATAAAAGGAGTCTCCATTCTTCATGTACTACAAAGGTCAATGTCATTTCAAGATCTCAAAGGTCAAATATTGTGACGTCATATACTGAATCTTTCAGGGTTTTTTTTTTTGGCCATTGAAATTCTTTTAATCGCCAAAATATCTGAAACTACTAGTTTCTTTTCTTTGTTTTTAATCATTTTATTCTGGGACCTATTTGAATCATTCTGTTGATTTCCTTTAAAAATTGAATTATACATTTTTTTTTAAATTAAACTGTCGCATATTTATATGTGAATTTTCAATTCCGACGCTACGTATGTTCTATTTTTACTTAATATTTTACTCAAATTTTTAAGTATTAATATAACTTACTGATTTAAAGTAACAAAAAGGTTATCTTTATTAAAAGTATTACACGAATTTGCAATAGAATGATATGGAGATTAGGAACAGTATTTAATATCAAAGATCAATAGATCAATTGATAATTCTAAGATAAAGCTCATTCTCAAGTCAAATGTCTGATTTTCTAATCTTCTAAAAGGGGTCTGATAGGCCATATTTCAGACTATGTAAGCAAAAGATGTGTGGTTGAATTTCTTTCATAACACATATCAAGAGAAATTTTGTATCCTGAAACAAAATATCAAAGTTGCAAAAAAGTGAATTTGAGGAAAAATTTGGCATATCTATTGTGTCCTACCTTAATAATAGCTACATTCATTCATATGTCGACCCTATGTATATTGTTGAGATTGATTTTCGTTTGTCATCTCAATATTTCATTGCTTATTATTAAGTATTTTTATTAAATGTTTTTGCCTTTAAAGACATCAACTACATGTATTATATGGATTTGTGTGTATTTTGTTGTTTTAATATCGTTTCAAATGAAAAAAAAGGTTGTTAAAATTTGGTAAAATTTTAGCTATGAATCGTTAAAAAATGACCACATTCTGCTTAAAAATTAGTAAAACGATTCTTTAAGGTAGAACACAACAGAAAGGTCAAATTTTTCCTCAAATTCAATGCTTCTAAAACTTTGTTATTTTGTTCTAAGAAACAAAATCTCTCTTTATATTAATATGAAAGAAATTCAACCGCACATTTTTTGCCCGCTTGGATTGAAATATGTCTATCAAAACTCCATAAGACATTTGGAAATTAAACACTCGGCTTGAGAATGAGCCTTATTTCAAAATTATATATATATATACCGATAGATATATATATATATATATATATATAGAGAGAGAGAGAGAGAGAGAGAGAGAGAGAGAGAGAGAAAGAAAGAAAGAAAGAGAGAGAGAGATGGCAGAATAAAAATGTTTTTTCTTGTTAAATGCCTTTTCCTATGTATTATTTAAAATAACTACATATTTTTTATTATACAGAATGTGATTTTGGTACTTATGGTGAAAATTGTGTTGAACTGTGTAGTGGTAACTGTCTTCATAATAGAACCTGTAATAAACTTAGTGGAGAATGCATGGGTGGTTTTGTTTTATGTATTGCAAAAAAATTGCATACTGTAAATCACTCTTTATTCTCGAGAGCTTTATTTTATAAATTTAATTACGCGAGACAGTTTGCTCGCGAAAATATAATTCTCGAGTATAATGGCCTTCCTTAAGATTATATAGAGCAGTAACCACGATTCGTGAAGAGTTTATCTCGCTATTCAAGAGACAATGATTAGCTCGCCAAAATAAGGTGAGGCGAAAATTTAGTGATCTACAGTGATAAATTTTATACATTAGATTAAACAAAAGATTTCACTAAACAAAAGAAGCTGCTTTCAATTAAACGAGAAAACTTACCCATTTATTCAGTCATAAGAAACAAAAAAAAATGATGTAGTATATAAGGATTTCTAATACGCTAATCTCATCATATAACCTTAACATAAGGTGCTGTGAAAAAACGGGATTGTTTTTTGCCACCTGAATTTGAATTTTGAACAGGAACAAATTGCGTCATCAACAGAAATGAATAACGTAACTAAATCATGAAAGCTTTTAAGAATACTAAACTAGAAAGTATTAATTTTTCATTTGTTACTAAAATTGTTCATCTACATGTAACATCCTATAAAGTATCTTACTCTGATTTTGCACATATCTCAAGATTAGCGTGTGGTCTTTTCTTTTTACTGGCGTTTTTCATTCTCAAGAGTAAGTAGTCAAAATATGTCCCGAAAGCAGATATCTTCATTTACAAAAACAATTGTTTATTGGTCGATCAATGTCGATCCACTCTAAGCACAACTTCAGAAATAAAACAATCGTTTTTAACAGCAAGGGTATATGAGGAGAGTACTGTATCAGGAACCCTTTGCGAGCAATGATTATATAAAATCTTGCCGTAATGATTTTTCGTGAATGGAATATGAAGAAAAGAACAGTAATCAAGCTCAACAACTCTACTAAAGAAGGAAAATTTGTACCAGAGCAACCACAGACTTCTAAACATCAGGATTAGCAATCAGGTGGCATTGAGTCAATCTGTGCTTATCGTCCACATCAACCGTATGCTTCTAGTTACATGATCTCGTTGACGAAAATATCCAAATATAATTCAAAGTAAAAGCACTGACGTAAAAAGTTGAATGAAAAACGTCAGATTAGAATAACTTAAGCATACTACATTATGATGCTTCTTTAAAGGTCTCATCTCTGCGTCACATAGTAGGATTCGACAATCCTACGACATGATCTCTGATTCTAGGATAGAACACCATAAACGGAGAACAAACTTCAGTCAAAATTTTAAATCAATTCAAAGTTGGAATTAATTCTGACATATTAAAAAAAACTAAAAATTTCAACATGCATTAAAAAATTGTATGTTACATAAAATTGCATTTTTCAATGAACATATGTTACATGGAATTCAAGATAATCAAAACCAAATTTTAGACTTTAGAGTTTCTTCTCATAAATATTCTATGGTTTTGAGGTATAGACAAACGCTCTGCAAATCGCAATCAACAATAATCAACGAATCATAAAACTTTCCGATAAGATTGAGAAAAAAATTACTTAACCACTTATATTTATGTACCCTGTACCCTATTAACACTTTTTTGGTACATTTTGTACAATGAACATTTTGTAAAATTTTAATTTCTAAAATTAAAAGCAACTTCAACTTACAATAATAGTTACTGGTACTTCGGGTAATAGTTTTTTTTTTTTTTTTTTTTTTGTTTTTGGAAAGTACAACATTGTACATGTAATCTGAATTGAATATTCTTACACGAACCGGACTCTCTTCATTCTATTCAGAATGTAGAAATGGTAATTATGGCTTTATGTGCAAAGAGAACTGCAGTGGAAATTGCTTGAATAATGAAACTTGCTACCATATTGACGGGCATTGTATGAAGGGATGTGAGACGGGATTTCAAGGCGAGAAATGTGACGCACGTAAGTTTTCTGTTGAGTTGGGTTACTTGTACTATACGTAAATGTACCAATTATAAAAGCGACTGCATGTAGAATGTACAAAGCCTCACTCGTTTTATTTGTTAATTTATTTAGCGGTCAGAAACGTATTTATTCCAAAAACTTTAATACACGTCCTTGGTTTCATAGATAAAATGTTTAAACTAGGTTTTTTTTATTGATACCAGCAAAGAATAAACATAACATCATATAAGGTCATATGTAGCACCGGTTACCAGTTTTATATATTTGTTGCCTCAGTATGTCCACCTGGAACTTTTGGAGAAGACTGTGCAGGGAATTGTAGTGGAAACTGTGATAACAATGATACTTGCTACTTCATCAATGGACATTGTCTCTGGGGTTGTCGTGATGGATTTCGAGGAAAGCGCTGTGATGAACAAAACAGTCCTGGTGCGAAAAAGAAAATATTTTCTTTATTGTAATCCTAACCAAATGCAAGTTACATATAGTTATATATCAGAAAGTTTCTGATCATGAGTATGAGAAATAAATTAAATATATCAACTGTTCATTTTCAAAGCACAAAACAATTTCAAAGATTGAATAACAAACAAAAGATTTAATGCTATAATAAAACATAAGGAAATCATATTTTATAGGTTTATTGACACATCATTAAACATAAATGTATATAAATTTTAGGAAATATAATTAATCAAAGATTAACGCGTTACAAAAGTTAAGAATGAAATTTTACATTTTCAATTGTTATATTCTAGAAATTTCAGTCAAAAGAAATTGTCTCATTTTATGTAAATCATATTCAGAAAAATATGCTGATGACAGGAAATTCTCTGCTTTGATTGGTGTAAATGTGATTATAAATCTTTATGTTTTTGTTACAGTAGCACTTACGGGATCTTGCATCTATGGAATAGACTATGTTTATGGCCTAACAGCAGGACTGGTTATTTCCTTCATATTGAATGTAGGATTCCTCTTTACAGTAATTAAACTCATCAGGTATTATTAAAATGGAAACAAGATCTAGAAGACATATTCAAATAAATATGCCGGGACGAAGCAACCGGGGGGGGATTCAGCCCCTCCCCCCCCACACACACACTTTTTACCATAGCATAGTGATATCAAGGAAATGTAGGAAAATGTTGGGAAAAATTTTGGAAGTGAAAGTAACTTGACTTTGTAAAAGTTGGCCAATACCACCACCACCAACACCCCTCCACCCACCCCCACCCCCAAGAAATAGGATTTTTCAGATTGGGCAACTTTTAATTTTCCGTGTTCTTTTTGTTTTGTTTTTTGATTTTTTTTTTTTGGCTTGTCAACTTTTTAAGATAAGTAAAAAAAAAAAAATGTTTCTCTAGTTGCCCCCCCCCCCCATTCCACTTTCAAAAACGATGCTACGTGCCTGATATGGACTATGACTATGGTTCCTTGTTAAATATATATCTATTGACTGTATTCGAGGGCAACATGCATTTTATCGGATATAGAATCACACTGTTTGTCTGAGTCCGATAGGCCAAAGGAATCCGTTTGGTCCGAGGGTTAACAACACGCATTTTGCCTAAGAACACATGAAATAAATGTTTTGTAATACCTTTTATTATTTAGAAGTAAAAATGTTATACGCATTTACTGGGTAACTCGTGCAGTCTTTCCTAATGTAAACTTGTATTAACTCCATCAATTCTGTCACGTTCGAACACCATCAAATGCAATTGAGATTCAGATGCATGATCCTTCCCTCCTGAAGTACATGTAAACGGACCATCTCATGGGCAGGTCTGAAATCTTTCTCTGCGGCCAAACATGAATTTCTTTTGAAGGTCCATTAAACATAAGCCTTTTTTCATATAGATTTGTATATTAGGAAATCATTTTTATGGAATAAACCATTTTTTAAATTAAGAGTTGTATAAAATTCGTAAATAAAATTTATTATTAATAATTAGTTTTTTATTTAATATTTCCAGGACACGTAATGATGCAGTATAGTTTCAAACTAATAGTAAACATTGTTCACTTCAGAAAGAAGAAAAATAAACAGGGAACTGACCATTCTACATCCGAGGTCAATGACAGAGAAGGTTTCCAGCAAAGATCAATACCTGTCAGCCATGTTGAAAACCACGCATACGAGGAACTGAATGCCACACAATCCGTCCATATTTACCAAAATCTCTCGCTTAATGATAACAAAACAAGCTTTATGTAATATTGGTGATCATATCATACCGATCAACCATCCAAATATAACATAGCACATTGTGTGAATATTGTCATTTATTAGATGACAATACATCAAATATTATCATTCTATATAATGATAACAACAACAATCTAAGGGGAGATCCAGACAATACTGACATCACAAGTTGCTTTTATAAAATCCCTGAACATGACAAAGAGATCTCCCCTGTTACATAACTTTACAAAAGTTTTGACAAAATATAATTACAGCATTATGATTTAAATTTTGAATATGTAACGTACATCATTAAAATATTCAAATAGATATTATTTAAGGTTCCTGTTATGAGTATAAATCAAAACAACCACCAACTAACCAATGAACGTTACTGTCTATTATAATTTAATCATTACTTGCAAATTGTCCGGATTTGTCAATAAAGATGAGACATATCCCATGCCTACAAACTTTTTTCTGCAAATCTGGCATCGCTCTCTTGATATCAATTAACGAAATGAAAGAAGATGAATTTGAGAAAATTGTCATATATCATTAAAATTTTGTACATATATAAAACCAACACTAACTTATAAATTTAGTGGCAAATATGGAGTAACTACAAAAAGTAACCCTATCTAAACGATGCAATTCATTGTATGGTGTACAAGTAGGAAGGTGGTGCAGTACTTAAGAGTTCCAATGAAAAATCTGTATATAATATTTAAAATCCTATGGAAAAGTAATTACTACACAGTATTTTGGAAATGTAAATGTAAATTCTTAATATTGTATTAAAAACTATAATTCCTCAAATTTTGGTGTGATGCATAAGTAAATATGAATTTTATAACGTTTCATATACACTTGGTTGAAATCCGACTTTTTGAAATTGACGGCTGCGTAGACACAGGCGGCGCACTGACCTGTGATCTTGAATTCGCTCTTATGGAAATTTAAGCGTCATTAATGTTTGATAGACAAGGAAATATTTTCTGGTGCTTAGTATTTAAAATTTCTGAAATGGTTTCTCTATGTATGTGAATAACGAAAACTATAAAAAGACAGGCATACAATTTTGGAAAGAATGCCACTGTTCAAATTCATAGAAGACGAAAAGCCTATAGAAATACAGGGTTTTCAAAATATTATATTTTCCTTCGTGTACATACATATACTTTATTTACATATTTTAATGTTTAATCATATCATAATAATTAAGATGTTTCACATTTATTTCTATAATCGTTTTGATTCAATAAAGAGAATGATTCTCACAGGTAAAACGAATATCGTTTTTAAAATTTGAACCATCAACATTTGTCTTTTTCTAACTTGCAGTAATTGCTCCGGGTGTTAAAGAACGATATCATTTCAAATCGTTTTAATCGAATTGTTTTCAAGTGAACATGATAAAACTTCGTAATTTCCTGCCAAGAACTCGCCTTAACCAACCAGATAAGTTTATAAAGATTTAATTTCTTAAAAAAATATGAGCTCAGTCTACGAAGTTTTGGGAGACCTTCGTACATAATCCCAGTCCCATACCAGCAAGCATAATTTTCCAATCCGAAGACCGTAAGCCAAATTTTTGTTGAAGCTGCACAAAATGGAAACAATAACTTTATCTTCTGGAGATAGACTTACTATCTTTGTCTAAAAGCATAAAGAAAAATACCCCTAAAATCATACGACAGACCTGATGGCATACAGAGTGACAGGGCGTTAATGATTCATATGACTTTATGAGTTATTCTAACTCAGTGTTATTTAATAGTGAGTCCACAATGCGCTTAGTGTGTCCTTGTGTGCTGGTAAAACCATTCGAGGTTATCCTCTGTAGCTTCATTTCATTTGATTAAGCAATGTGAAACAGAAGTTTGTGATCAGCTGTATTCGTATCAGACATGAAAATGTTCCACAATATTAAGATCTCTATCTGTTTTGTCTTTGATATCTCTTTGAAAATTAGGTGAGTTGATTTCTTACTCATTCAACAAGTCAATTTTTCTAAGCGAAAGGACATGAGCTAAGGAGGCCTAATATTCTTCGTCCGTTAAACAAATTATCCAACGTTTCCAAATACCGTTGATGCCCTGTCATACCCACCAAACTACAAGGATTCCTTAAACAATCTGATTATAGATTATGATATTCCTAATAAATGTTCGATTTCAGACGTTTTCTTATACCAACTGACTATGGAATATTCTGTCTATTTGATACATCCGTATGGATCATGGTGTGTATCCTGCAATTCAAGTGGTGGTGTCTCCATATAAGTGAGAAATTCTCAATAGGGACAACATTCAATCAACCAATCAATCAATCAATATCATTCATTTTTGCACAAGTTGTATAATTAAATACAGTAATGTTTTAGCAATGTTTACGTAAATGCTTTTTGAAGCCTGTCCAGCTGGAAAATATGGAGCCGAATGCAAGAAATCATTTGCAGACTATTGTGGAAATAGCATTTCCTGCAATCTCGTGACTGGTCAATGTGAGGGATGTCTACCTGGATGGATGGGATATGATTGCAATGAAAGCATGATGTGTGTAAAAAATATCCTTGAGTTAATTTGACGCAAATATAAGAATTTTTCATTATACCAGACAATGAGACTTAGTTGATGATAATCTAAGTTCATGAGCATTAAACCAAGAACACTAAATCACTGCACATTTTAAATTGATTGCTTTTTCTTGAGATAACGTCATTAAAAATGGTGAACGTACATAAGCAATAACTATACATATTAGTTCTTCCTTTAGCACAGACTGCTTGTTTTTTTCTCAATTTTAGTGCCCCCCTTGCAAGTATTTAGCAGACTATGAGAAAATATGTAGTGTAAACTGCATTAACAATGACACCTGCTACAATGTCGATGGATATTGTCCTCGGAGTTGCCGTAATGGATTTCGAGGAAATCGCTGCGATGAACAAGGCATTGACGGTATGTGTGTTTTAGTAAACCGTTTCCATGAATTCGATATAATTTCACACAAATGTACATCATATGCAGTTAACCCACATCCAAAAAAGTAATTCCTTCATCTCAGAAATGACATTTATTCATCAATTTGTACACGTTCGTCAAAACATTTTTGATATTCTAACAATACTTTTGAAAGAGGATTTTAAATACATTGTTCAAAATACAATATTACGATTTTTTCAGTGTAAATGACAATTAGTAAAGATTAATTATTTTAAACTTAAAAATAGATTTTACAGGCTCCTGTCAAGACAAATATTACGATTTTTTCAGTGTAAATGACAATTAGTAAAGATTAATTATTTTAAACTTAAAAATAGATTTTACAGGCTCCTGTCAAGACAAAAGAAACAACGTTGCCGGATTAGTAGCGGTTTTGGTTATTTCTCTCCTGATCGATGTTGGACTTTTCTTTATAGTGCTTTACTTCATCAGGTATGTTTAGTTTTCCCGATGAAATCTCTATTTCATATTTATATCCGCTGAGTAATTTTTGTTTTATTTCTATCGAAGACAATTCCCTTTACTTTTGTAGCAATACCTGTATATCCTCATCACCTTCATATGAGGTTGATATCTTAATTATTCCAGTTGAATCGATACGCAAGTACATGCTCTATGTACGATTAAAAAAATGAAGAAAGCTATTTAAGGAATCACTGTATAGTTAGTATAGTGTGCCAGGGCATCAATGATAGTGGAAAACATGGGATAATTTGCAGAACAGGCGACTGCTCAGCTCCCGACATGTACTTTTATTTAGACTTTGAGAATGATCACCATTTTTTTTTGTATATTACACATTAACACACTACTGCATGAAAATTGTTTTCATTTGCGCTTGTTGAAAATTTAATTTCCAAAGAATGAAAAAAAGAAACATTTGTATAATTTTTGAGTTTAAAATCTACATTACAGAGGCAAAATCAAGACAGTTTATTTTGAAATTACTGCTCATTTTCATTGGCAAGTTTTTTTTCTTACTTAAACATACTGTGAATCCAATCTTGAAAAAAATTGGATATATTTATCTGTTTTCTTTTATTCGTTTTGTATATAATTTAAGTTAAAATTTAAGTTAAAATGTATCACATAAAAGTAAAACGAAGGCAGTATTCACTACGGGAAGAAAAAGAACGAGAAAGGAACTGACCAGCCTTCCTACGAGGTGATTGACAGAGGCGGTTCTCATCAAAGTTCAACATCTGGCGGCCATCTTGAAATTCATAGATCGTAGGATCTGAAAGCCACATGATCCACAAAAGAAAATTTAATTTCCAAAGAATGAAAAAAAGAAACATTTGTATAATTTTTGAGTTTAAAATCTACATTACAGAGGCAAAATCAAGACAGTTTATTTTGAAATTACTGCTCATTTTCATTGGCAATTTTTTTTTCTTACTTAAACATACTGTGAATCCAATCTTGAAAAGAATTGGATATATTTATCTGTTTTCTTTTATTCGTTTTGTATATAATTTAAGTTAAAATTTAAGTTAAAATGTATCACATAAAAGTAAAACGAAGGCATTATTCACTACGGGAAGAAAAATAACGAGAAAGGAACTGACCAGCCTTCCTACGAGGTGATTGACAGAGGCGGTTCTCATCAAAGTTCAACATCTGGCGGCCATATTGAAATTCATAGATCGTAGGATCTGAAAGCCACATGATCCACAAAAGTCCTTCAAGTTTATCAAAACCTCCGCTCAATGACACAAAAACAATGTCTTTATAGCAAAAGTAAATATTATACAATTATGGACTCTTTTGGTTTTTGATATGGTTTGTTATTCACTAGAAGAACATTGATATTGATCGAGGCGAATGCACGGAGAATATGTTGTGCTTGCGCTTGTATAAATACACTATATAAAAACGATTATTAATTAAAAAATGAAATATAAATACAGTATATCATAACGATTATTAAATAAAAAATGAAATACATATTTATTTGTTTTAAATAACAGAATATCTAGTAGCCTATTATTATGTCCGATGCATTCCAGATCTAGTGCTGGACTTTGCGAAGGAACAGACACTACCGTTTCAAAGGCTTGAATTTAAGTTAGACTCCAACCTGGTGCCTCCCAGTAACACACAAAGCAACCTAAAATTATAAACTGGTAGATCATTGAGACATTTTCCTGTAAGATTTACAGGAGCCTGGACAGAGAAAAAAAATGTGAGATCGTATCATCAAATAAAATACAAATGTACATGATTTATAGAATGCATTAAGTGCAATTCAACCATTCTTCATACGCCACTACAACATTGTTTTTCTCCTCAAAAATAATATTCATATAACATGCCTAGCATTCATTCACTTAATTTGGTCCGACTAAGAAGTGTAAACTCAATTTATATAAACCAACAAACATTTTTTTAATGTATACAGTAAAACTCGTTTAGTACGAACACGGATATTGCGAATTTACGGATATAGCGAAGTTATTTTGGATCCCCAACTATATGAATTTAATGAATTCCTTATACGGATATAAGGAATTTCGGATAGAGCGAAGTGATTTCATAGGTCCCTGTGACTTCGTTATAACCGAGTTTTACTGTACTATCTCTTAGCACATTAATACAATAAAAATGTATATTACATGTATATGTACCAGAATCTAATCATATGCTCATATAGTACAGTTATGGCCCTACTTTGCCTGTGGTATTTGACAAATTAAAAAGGGCGTAGATAATAATAACATCGATTTAAAGAATCTACAAACAATACAAATAAGTGAACAGGGTATTAACACAGTACCATCAAAAATTCCAATGGGATGAAGGAGTAAGTATCCACTGTTGGAAGGACATTTGCTGTGTGTCCTAACTGGGAGAGGGATCGGTTGAACACATATGGCGGGGGCTACTGTGAGGAAAATATAAGGATAAGTGAAAAAGAATATTCATATGGAAAATGTGCCTGTGGTTGTTGATATGGTACGCATCTTCCAGCCTGTGGTTGTTGATATGATACGCATCTTCCAGACGTTTTTATGTAAAAAGATGTGCATTATTGTGTTTTGAAGTTCTACTATATTGCCAGATTGATCCCTCCAATGAAATCAAAGTGATTTTGGATTTGTATCGTCTGTAATCGAGCTAAAGATTGATGCTGTATCACTAAAGAAGTTTATACAGTGGAGCCTCATTTATCCAGACGCTTTGGTTCCTAGTCAATTTGTCTAAATATGTGAAGAGTGCGGATATCTGAATAACCAGTTAAACAAGACAAAATAACATTAAAAAATTCCTTTCCCATGAAAGTCGTCCGAATACTGAAGCATCCGGATATCTGAAGGTCCGCTCTATACAAATAGCAAAGCAAAGTGTGGTTTAAGGTTTCGTCAAAGGTCAACATGTCCATTTTTTTTTTTACAATAGCCCATAACTATATGAGGCTAAAATGTTAAAACTTTTACAGTTTATAAATTTTTCATTGATTAAGACATAGAAAGTATCACTTGATAAAAAAAATACATGGAATAATATTAATTGAGAAAAATTCTTCTTAAGTATGCATATATTTTCAAAAAATACACCTAATTAATTATGTGCTCTTAGTAAAAACCATCACTGCATAAACAAAATGTGTTTATCAATGAAGGGCAAGTTGGACTTGGATAGTCTCTGGAAAGTTTTTTTCATTGTTTATTTTGTCAAACTGTTAAGACTTGAAAGTGAAAGTACATTGCAAATGGTAAATTCTATAGGGGTCTTGTCTTTATATATGTTATGCTTTCAACAAGAAAACAATCTTGACGCAAGCGTCAAAGATATCAGGCCGCAAAACCTCTTAAGGACATTTTGAACACTAGATGGAATGTTCTATCATTAAAATGATAAATCTGCCCCGGCCCCGGTGGTGAAGGCTTGTTCCGAGACACAGTTAGATTATTCTAACTGTTCAACTATTTTTAGTCAACCAATCTACACGTATCTTTGTCTAATATCATATCAAAAAAACTAATAAATTTATTTTAAAATATGTCTTATAGTGTAGATTACAATTTATCCCATTTTATGTCAAATGATGGGTGTGTCAAATTACACGAAAGTACCCTGAAATTAGGATGAAGAGTACAGAGGGCCCTATTTCAAACACAGAGCAATCTTGGATTATAAATTTATAAGAATGGATGCCTACCTGTAATCTTTGACATACCAACCCTCATGTTCACCCAAAATTATGGACACTTGGCCCATTTAAAAAAAAATCCACATTGGTGCAAACAATTAACATATGTAGTTTAGTCAGAACTTTGTTTGTTCATAACCCTTAACCAAGATTATCGTCCGTTTCCTCGTGGAAAGTCTTTTTAAAATAATCCATGATCCAAAATCTTAATTGGTGTTGATTCCTTTTTGTTCAATTTTTACAATTTATTGAAAATGCAAATGGGAATTATGCTATATGTATGCATTATTTCCAAAAAATTTTTGGAATTACTGAGATGTGTTCCACCATTTACATGAGTCAATCTGTTTTACATCTTTGGCCTTGTTCTCAAATACTTGCCCGTGGGTTGAGATGTATGATAATATAATCTTGAGGCCACTTTAATTTTACAATCAACTGAAAACTGGCCTTGTTCCAAGATCATAAACTGAGAATACAGTTAAGTCAAAATTTTTCAGTCATTGTAACTTTTAAAAATGAATTTCAAAATGAAACAAAATTTTCAAGCTTTGTTTCTTTTAAAATATTTAACAAACTTGCAAGTTTTAGAGTATGTTTATTGAATAATGATGAAAATATCACAAATCTAAATTGTCACTTAAGTTTATTCTCAGTTTATGGTCTTTTAGCGAGCTTGTCATTGCAAAGAGCATATCTATCCTTTTCGGATTTCATAAGGAATTTAAAGGGACTTAGTGAAATTATCATGTTTTAATAATTTGAAAAACTGTGCATTATAAATTTATATTAATATATAATAAACATTTTAAAAAGTTATGGACATGTCTGAAGTTTTAAACAGCGTAAAAGGTATAGTTTTACTTGAAAGGAATGCTCCATTTAGAAGACAATGATTGATTGATTGATTGATTGATTGATTGTATACTGTTTAACATCCCCCTCCAGAATATTTCACTGATATGGAGACGTCACCATTGCCGGTGAATGGCTGCAAATTTAGGCCTATGCTCGGCACTTACAGCCTTGAGCAGGGAGGGATCTTTATCGTGCCACACCTGCTGTGACACGGGGCCTCGGTTTATACGGTCTCATCCGAAGGACCGCCCCATTAAGTGGCCTTTTACGACAAGCAAGGGGGTACTGAGGACCTATTCTAACCCGGATCCCCACGGGGTTTTAGAAAACAATGAATATGAAGCAAATAGTTTAATCATAGTTGTATGTGGTTTGGATTTCCATGAGAAAAAAGTAATATGTATACATTAAAAAAAGGTTTAATTACAATAATATATGGTTTGGATTTCCTTCCCCCCCCAAAAGATATGATATAAGCAGATAAATGATTTATTACTTAATCCGAAACAAACACCGTACAAGTTCCTATCTTCGGTTGAACTTTACTTTCTGCGTAGTCTATTTAAAGAATGGCTAGCTAACCTTAGTTTATGCGGCATTTATGTAACGTTTATTTTAATACATAGAAGAACTTTAATATATTAAAATATTTTTTTAATAATAAAACAATAAAATATGTACGTAAAAGGAAAGAGAGTTGTACGTTGTTATCTAAAGTTTATTAATAAATTGAAAACCATTAATCCCGCAGAAACGCATGTACAAAATCAAAACCCGTATCAGGACAGACCGCGCTCTAATCGCATCATTTCGTGTCTTTCCGTCAGAGGTGGGAAAAACAACCTCGAATGTATTAACATCACCGGATGTTTAAAATTCATACATCTTCTTGTTTATTCAAATATAGTGTAGACGGAGATAGAAGTTCCTTCTATGGACTATTTTAGGTAATATCATTACATTGAATAAAATTGAACTCCATATTCCACAGAGTAAAGGTCTCCATGCATTTATTTCAAAGATCGTGAAAAGGGGGTGTTGTAATGGCGTCTTCCTAGTACATTCGAGGTCGTTTTTCCGCTAGTCGGAAAGGCCCGAGAAGTTGCGATTGACTGCGCTCTTGCGCGGCCTATAAAAACAGCCTTTCAGAGACCATTCACGCCCAACTTGCCCTTTAATGATAAACATATTTTATTTCTACAATGTTGGTTTTCACAAAAAGGACAGAATTAAGCTGGTGCATTTTTCTTTAAATATGCACATTTTCTGATATAATTTTTCTCAAAAAATATCTCTTTTAAAATATTTGTTATCAAGTGATACTTTCTTTCTATTAATCAATGAAATATTTATAAACTGTAGAGGTTTTGACTATATACCACACATGATTTTGGAGCTATTGTAAAATAATTTTTTAGACATGTTGACCTTTGACGAAACCTTAATGAGGTTTAAATGTAAATAAGTTATTAGATGAAAACAGTTTTAACAATACAAATCAGATGATTACAGGTACCGTAGAGGAGAAAACACCCTCTATCTACAGGGTGTTTCATAATATATGTCACACATCTAAATGGACATTATCTGAATATGAAGCGTGGTACCCAAAACACTGTAGCTATGTGTATTGATCTAAAATTATTATGTTGCAAATTATCGGAAAATTATAATATACCATGAAGTTACTGATTATATAATCATTGATGTCATAATACCAGCTTTTCTCAAAATGGTGTACAACTTGCAGCAAAAATATTTTATTATAAGAACAATATCTTAAATATTGTACAGGGTATGATGATGAAAAATATCCACAAAGAAATTTCTGCCTAGTTTTCATATATTGAAATAATTGGAGATTTGAACAAAATAATAATGTAAAGGTGAAATTCAGTTAAATTCTGTCTCCAACCCGACACCACCCAAAAAATCAAGAAGAGATAAGAACAATACCAAAGTGAATCAATTATGGAAAATACTAGAACCACACGAAAGTGACATCTATGTTTAGGGAAATGGAATATAAAACAATGCCGGAAAATGTATCAAGTGTATTTGGAAATCTTTAATATTAATTGAGAGTGTCTGCAAACAAGATTTCAGCATTTAAAGCCAAATGACTTTCAGAGTCAGTTAAATTTTGCAAGATTTCTTCGAAAGAAGTGGACACCAACACATACCGGTAGTTCTGAAACGATACATTTATTGAAATACAACTTTAAATAAAAAAAAAAGATATGCACTTTGTGGGGTTCTAAAAGCCAAATATAAAACAAGAAATGTCTCAAGTATCCTTTGAAGCTTATAAAATGGTGGTAAAAAATTTTTGAGCCTGAGTCTCTTAAGTTATTTAGGACAATGTCAGAAAAACAGTTGGAGAGTAACATTTTAGGATTTGTTGCCATTATAGTAACTGAAATGGAAAATTTTCGATACCTCTTACTCAAAATAATAATTTTGAATATCTGATGATTAAGATGATATATAAAATGTATATGTAGTTTTGTTGTCATTTATCTATCTGTCTTTAGATGTGTGACATATATTGTGAAACACCCTGTGTTTGCCACATCTGCCGTGTCCCCCACGTATGATCTCTTAAACCCTAAATGCATAGACAATTCAGTGTAAACTCCATATATATTTTTCTGAAATAATGCAGTGAATTATCAATGAGCATCAATTCCCTCTGCAAGTTACATCAGTCAAGGTTCTCCATGGACCGTTTAACTAGCAGCCCCGCCACAGTTAAATTATGTAGAGACACAATAAAAAAAATCAGCACCTCACGTATTAGCGCCACCGTAAGCTATTACATCTACGTATGTAGTTTATTTTTTATGCAAACCTGTAAATTTTCTTTAAAAAGTGCCAATTCTTTGATTTGCACAATCAATATCAATTATCTTCTACACCTCACTGGACACATGGATGCAAAAAGACTACTCGATCTTCACACTTCAAGAAAATCACATATGATTTTTTTTTCAATGAAACATATGGAGATAACAAACTTATAATTATTCAGAGAATAGTAATCAAAATCAAAAGTCCATGAAACAATACACAACAGATGTGCAGACCTCTAAAACAGCAGAAGTGGGATCAGGTGCCATGGAGGAGCAACTATCCAATGTCAACTAGTCACAACCGCTTGCTCCTTAAAATCTGTTGTCCATTAAGAGTATAAATAATGTACTAACAATTAGTAGAAAAACGTCAGTCAGCATTTGAATCAGTGATAAATTGTATTTGCTGACATGGTCGTCGTATCGACCATTGAACTTAGGAAATGATGACTTTAGACGAAACTGCTGATATTAGTGTTTTATTAACTTGTTTGTTAATAATTCAACTCGTTACAGAAATTGTTCATGTGTAGAACATGCTCTTGTGTATCGAATAAACTGTGATATATCAACTTCGTGTGCAGATGATGAAGGTACTTATTTTGTTGCATAAGAAAGAGAAGTTTTTGATAGAAAAGTTGAAATCATCATGTTTAACATAGAGCTTGGTAATTAGATCAACATTATAAACTCCTTTCTAAGAAAAAATGCCCAAACAAGAAACAGATGTGCCAGACTCTGTGGTATCTTTTATCTCAAGCTCACCAAGGTATATCGTATCGACATAAGAATGAAAATTACCTTAAAGATTGTTAATTGATAAAACGTCGTCGATATATCTTAATGTCTAGATAAGGGCCACAGCAAGTGTTTCCTTCTTTTCACGTATAGGATTCTGCACAAATTCTGCTTCATGTGAATATAAAAATCGAAATTTCATTAGCTTGTTGGAAGACCTGGTATCAAAACACCACTACATTATACATTGTCAATCAGAAAATCAAGCATCTTTTGCTATCAACGTCAGAGTACTTCTTTTTCAAATCAGAATGTTTTTAACAAGATATTTTTGCAAATGACCAATGACATGGTAAGTAAATTTACAAGTTCTAATTTTTATTGAAAAAGCAGCTGTCAAAGTATCCATTATAACTTGTTGTTTTCATCATAATTATAGTTTTTTAATATTAAATCTTACAAAATCCTTCGTCTACAAAGAGTAACAAAAAGGTTATTAAGAACTTACCATTATCCAGAAAATGTATCAAGTGTATTAGTGTTTTGGGATAGAGAAGGGCGAAATAACAAGGGATATTGTATCACAAATAATAAACTAGTGAAATGATAGTCAACTTACATGTCAATTTATCTTTAGTATAAAAAAATTAAATTTTGTCTTTTTGATACAAAAAGACCCTGCAAAATATATAGGAATGGCTTTATAATTGATTATATCCTCCCCAATTTGATTAAAAAAATATTTCATTTAATTGATTAAGTATTTTTTAAATTATAATACAATATACTCACTTAACTTACTAGTTGGTTTACGTTTTCAGTTTTATACACATTCTTTCTTCATTTAGGTTTAATTTATCTTTGTGTAGGATATTGCAGCTATAAAATTAAAAAATTCCTTTTGCTCTCAAACTGACTAATCATTTGAATATTTGTCAGACATTCGTTTAATGAGTTAAACAGAACCCTAGGGTCCTGCTTCAGCCCTTACCCTGGCACCCTGACAATTACTTAAGTCCTGTTAAAGGATAAAATGTATAGTAAATAATCTCAAGGCATTGATCTAAAAATACGATGTTGTTGTCCTTGACTGCACACTGTTATCCAGGTAAAGAACCATTGATAAAGACTAGTTAAAAATATGCGACTAATATCCGTGTGTTTATTTTTCAAACTTTCCAGTATTAATATTTCATCCGGATACGGTACGTTTTTATTAAATAATTCTGTAATATATTTCATTCCCTCTGTTAAATCATATCGCTAGTTTTGTTTCTTTCGTTTCAATTGATATTTTTTCCAGAACCAGGAAGTAATTCATGACCTATATAAATATCTTTATCCTTACCATGCTTATGTTCGCTAAGTTTAAAATAAATCAAACTTGGAATGCTCATTCCCGACTAAGGATAATAATTGAATGAGTAAGAAGAGTTGGGATAAAAGATGGATACCCGTCAGAATTTTAGAAAGAATGACAGTGACTATGTTTCGCTATGGAAAAGCCAAAATATGTGGTGGATCAAAATGTAAAATAGAAGATGCACAATGCCACTATGTAACCAAGATTCTGCAAGTCTCACTAAATTTTATTCAGCGATATAATAGGAGTTGCGGATAAAAGTCCCTATGTATATATAAATAAATAAATAAATATATATATATATATATATATATATATATATATATATATATATATATATATATATATATATATATATATATATATATAATATATATATATAAAGACAACAAAACTTAAACTTATCAAAATTAAATTAATGGATTCCACAGTCTGAGGGCTAATTTTGCAAAAAATATTTTAACAATGATGCACTTTCACTGTTGTAAAAAGTTAATAATGCACTTTAAAAGAATTTGAATTTGAATTTGAATTCTGTCATAAAATCAATTTCTTCTTGCAGACGATATATCGGCATTTAAACCAACAAAACAACAAGGTGTTCAAACAAGGGATGTTGCTGCGAATGCTGTAGACAGATCTTTATCCACATGTTCGTCTACATATTTATCTAGTCTAGCCTGGTGGTATGTGGATCTCAGAAAAGTAAAAAGTATTTATGATGTAGAGATTTACTACAGGCTTTATAGTAGCAGCTATGGTGAGTAAGAAAATAGAGGAAAACATAATATCAAAAGAAAATATCTTCCTTTTCAGTCATTTAAAATTGTTTTCCAAAGTTGTGCCTCAATTTCAATAAATTTTGATCAAAATTTTGACATATGCATTCCTTTGGATCACTCGAAAATGAATAACATATAGGTCTATTATTTAGTTTTACATCTAATTTCGACAATGAATAAAAAAGTTTTCCCCCAGAGACAAATCTACCCTTAGGGTTCTCTATTGTTTGAAATTTTGCATTATAACGACAATTAAAATATTAAAGTCGTTTGGAGTTTTAAAATAAATTTAAATCGTTCTTTCAGTATTAAATACAACCTACGAAAGAAATCTTCTAAATCTTATAAGATTGATGAATAGATACGTAAACAAACCAAAAGATGGATTTTTCGCCTCTTTAATCCCCCTTTGTGAAGTATGCTGCTATCTTTACATGTACTGTATACAGGGTTATTTTCGCCCCGTGTTATTTTCGCCCCTTTGCTTTGAAGAACTATTTTGGCCCGTTTTAAATTCGCCCAGTCATATTTTTGTTTAAGAAATTAATTATGCTGTGTAATTTGAATTCGCACCGTTTTAAATTCGCCCAAACAGGAAGAGGGCGAAAAGGGCGAAAATAAAACGGGGGCGAAAATTTCCCAGTATACAGTATATATTTTCTTTTTTTAATTGAAACATAGAACAACGACAGAGAGAACGTATGTATGGATACAAACTCTACATCTCTAACAGTACAGACTTCAATCTGTTACACGAGGCTTACTTGTGTTACAGTCATACAGGACCGGAGTTACCTAATCTTAATGTTACACATATTTGTGTTTCCTTTGGACGATATGTAATTTTCTACAACGAAAGAGGAGTTCCTGGTGTGACGTATCCAAACGGGGTCAATCCAAAAGAAACATACACACAACTGTGTGAAGTCATTGTTCAAGGTAATAACCTTTTTGCTTTTTTTCTGCATTTCATACTTATTATCGCTCTATAAGCATCACAAGATTAATAAAAAAAGATAATGCTATAAATATACCTTAAGGACTTTCAAAATAGATGTTAAACAAGAATATGTCCGTTCAAATCTGATCATGACAAGAAGCAAATGGCAGTAGTTAACGGTCGACAGGGGATGCTCACTCCTCCATATGGGACCTCATCCCACCTCTGATGTTTTAGATGCATAATCCTAATGCAAATTTGCTCTGCTCCTAATTGGTATTGTTTAAAAGATTTGTGAGCTTGAATAACGTTCTTTAACTCCATATCTTTCATTCAAAGGTTGTACCAGAGATGATGCTAATGGACAACTCTGTAATGAAACCTGTCCTTCACATTGTCAAGAGAGAAGGTGTTACGTAACTAATGGGACTTGTGCTGGATGTACCGAAGGGTGGATCGGGGAAAAATGCTTTGACGGTAATACATAACATAAAAGTACATAAAGTGGGATATGCTCTTTCTGTATTTTTGTAAGCGTATTACAAGCAAAAATTGTTTTGTTAACGAGTAAAATATATTTATTGTAAAATATAAAAAATCATTTGAAAGTTAATATGTCGATGGTGTTATCTGTTTGTCTACTTTATTAATATTTTATAAGGCTCACAGTGGGTAAGACAGGCAGTCAAGGTCAGGGGATGCTTACTCCTCATATAGGCACTTGAACGCTCCTCTTGTTCAGTGTTGTTAGTACGAGGGTCGTTCAATAAATAATGCAACATGACATCTAAAAGTAAGAAAAATACGTAATAAATATTCTTAATAGTTTCAATCCCTAAGGACATTCCCACTTACCAGTTACATTTGACTTAAGTCTTTAAATCCATGAACAGAAATCCTCAGCATACTTACCTTTAGGGATACCCCAAAGACACTGAAAAATATCATTTCCCATGGCATATCCTACATTGTAAAATCTTCCTTTGATTGTTTTTATGTGTTTTTTTGGGACGAAAAGATCTCACAGTGGCTGCGATTAAACTAATATGGGTCATTGAAAAATCCTGTATACTTTCTTTTCTTCAAAATTTTATTTTTTCTCTAAGAGTATATCCAGCTGCGTTGTCACGCACAGGAAAAATACCATGTTCACCGAATTTTGGACTTCCTTTGCAGAATATCTGTTCCACTTTCCTTTATGCAATTTGAAGATAAAACTTACTATTGTTAGTCTTTCATTTGGATGCATGTTCATGTTTTAATGGACCTCTTTAAATACATGAAAACTAATAAAACATGTTTGCAGCCATTACTTCTCTTTATCCTAATTAAATGACACCCTTTTCTTTGATTCCTCATTATTTTATCATTAATCATATTTTAGGAATATAATAAGAGCACCAATGTTTCGTCATACATTAAGCAAGTTTATCAATTCTTCAATTTTGTTTAAAAATATGTTTTTAGGTAAACCGTATGCACATTTAAAGAATGTTCTCTTTTGTGAGAAAATAGGACGCCTATCTGATTGAAATATTGTTATATGTTGTTCCTTTGTCCGAATTCTACAAAATGTTGTGACGATTTAATGTTAAGTATTTTAACAATGTCTTTCCATTTAAATATAGCATTTTCAAATTACATGTGGCACATAAAGTTGATATTTTTTGATGTCCCCACAAATTTCAATTGACCATATTGACTGTTATATTTGAACCCTTGTTTTTTTCTTCTGAATTATTGAATCCGTCTGTAAATTATACAACCTTAAAGATTATTTTTTCCACTTATAAAAATCTTATCTTAAATATGAGGTTTGCGGCGATTTATGTAAAAAGCGTAGTTTTCAAATACGCATTTATTTTCATCGTCTTGGCGGAGATCATTTATAAACAGTTTTCAGCTCAGTGTAGTGACCATGCTTAATTTAAAAATGAATTTCTTTGCGAAGACACTATGAAAATTCGTGGGGTTTTCTGTATTTAGTAGATCTTATATAGAACTTTTCAAATATGAAAAAAGAAAATCAAATGCCTCAAAATTTAATATGATACACTAAGTATTGCATTACTTATTGAACGACCCTCTGTATATTATTTTAGCTCAATCACGATTCGTTTTCTTTATCGGATTGAATTTGATCTATGCTTGTTAAATTATAATAAAAAAAAAAAAACTTTGATCGAGGGTTGTTAGAATAATTTGCAGACACATTGATTAACGGAATTCTATTAAGAATTGTAAAGTGTTTCGAATGTCTGAATTTTTACTTTTTGTTTACTTTTTTGCAAAAAATCAATTCTTTTTACTGAAATTTTGAAAATTTACAATGTTCCATGGAAATAAGGGACTCAGAATAAAACTTGCCTGCGAATTTTTTCCAACAACCTTCCTACACTCATTTGATTAAAACAAATATATGTGCATGTAAAGTTGACATATTACTAAAGGATTAGTCTCTACCTGCATTTAACGTCTTATTCTAATGGGCGCCGAAATGAGAATTACTGAGATAATATAACAAAAAAGTGAGTAATACACTAAGATAATTTTGGATTATAACTTATAAACCTAACAAAAACACCAATTAATTACGTTCATTTGTTTTGTGTTTTTGGTGTTCGTTCTAGTTATGAGAAAAACAGATTATAAATGAGGATCTCGCTGATGAATTCAGGTCAGAAATTTTAAAGTAATGTCAGTAAATAAGGTCTTTTTAAGCTTGTCCATCTGGATTTTACGGAGCAGAATGCAGGAAAACATGTTCAGACGGATGCAAAAATAAAACATGTCATCACGTGACTGGTCATTGTTCGGAATGTATTTCAGGACGGATGGGATATGACTGCAATGAAAGTAAGAGTAACACAGACCAAAACATGATTTCTTAGGACTTGGAATTTTGAGTTAAGAATAATTCTCTTCTCAAGAATAAGATAGCGATGATTGATCACATTTATATGGAAGCATCCGCAGGTAGGGTAGATTCAAGTTGTTTTTTAGGAAAATGCACTATAAGAAATGTAAAGGTATAATAAACAATTAAAGTTTCTCCGGGGGAGGGGGTCGATGAGGCCACGTATACCTATTTTAATAAAAATAAATTTCTTTTTTTTCAAAATTAGTTAAAAAATCAGGATAAATACGTACAGTTTTGTTATTAAAATTTTTAAAAACTTATGGAGGATGAATTGACTCCATATCTGATACAAAGTATATGTATATATTATGGATTGCTGATGAATATTTGTTTCCTACATATGTACATCCCTTCGACGACAGGAGAGTTTGTAGAATGTTCCCCTCGAAAGGAGGGGGTCGAGGGAAAAAGCATTTACAAAATGTGAACACTAGTATATAATTTTTATCTTTTTAAAATTATTTTATCAAAACGTTTTATGAGTTAAATTCATCCTACTTAAGAAAAAGGTACAATTATAGCGTAAAAATTTGTGAATGGCATTCAAATAAAATAAATGTTACTAAATTTTGGTAAAAAATCTTGTAATTGGTTAGTTGGTCTTTATTCACATTTATAGTTCATAGTTCCCTTTCGTAGGAAGAAATTCTTCAAAATTATATGTCACTTTCGAATATTTTTAAAACCCCAAAGAACCAAACCGAATTTAAACTACCATATAGCTATATTGGATTCCGAAACTCTTTAAAAAACTCCATAAAAATCCTTACAATCAAAGATACATAGCGGGTTCCAGTAAATGCTCAAGCAAATCTCTTGCTTAAGTTTACTCTTTTCTAAGATATTAACACATAAGTGAAGTAGAACCTTCAAGAGTACTGTGCAACAATATACAATATACTCAAGAAGTGGCGTAAGTCAGGTGTAAATGTTTTTGAACGATTTGATTGATTAATTGATTGTTTATTGTTTAACGAACCATTCGACAATTTTCTTTTTTTATCTTTTGAAAATAGATGTTGATAAAAATCGTACAAATATCTATAGGTTTAATATTTATAATATTTTTTTTTATTTAAAACTTATGGAATACTGTAGGAATAAATTAGGTAAAATATATTTATATATTACAGCATGTGGTTATGGAGCATACGGCGAAAATTGTAAAAGGAATTGTAGTGGTCACTGTGCAAAGCAGATGGATTGCAACAAAGAAAGCGGGGAGTGTGATGACGAATGTGCACCGGGTTATAGGGCCTCTAAATGTGAAAAGGGTAATATGCACATATTGTCGTGCTTTCGACGTCATTCAAATTAAATCTAAATAACATGAAATTAAATCATTTGATAAAGAAAAAAAACTTAATCAAGACAACGGATTTTATAAGAAAAAAAATTTAAAGTACAGAGTATGATATTATTAATAGCTTTGGTATCGACAACATGTATTACACAACATATAAGATTTTTAATGAACTTTCCCCTCTCTTTGAAAGCTGAAAAGGAAAATTTTGTTATATCATTTAACAATACACCATTTCCATATAAAACATATTAAAGTGTTTTATAAAATCTCAGGTGTTTCAAAATATTACATGTTAATATTATGTCCGTATTTAATTCATAATTTTCTACAAAGTGCTCTTCATCCTCAATAAAAATTTTATTTGCAATTTGACAAAAGAGACAGTAGCTGTTTCCTCTTGGAATACCCTTAAATCGAATCCAAACAATAGTAGTTCTTAATTTACAAAACGATTATCTAAAGACATATTGTTTATAACATTTATATATCTTTCCGGATCAAAAAGAATTTTGAATTTACAATAAACATGCATTAAGTTATCCTGTACTCTTTGTACGAACTCCTTTAAAAATAATAGATTATCAGCTACACCTTGATATAGCCATACAAAATGGAAACCATGTCTGAATAACATTGACTTCACTTCTGATGTCCAGTTTTCTCTAAATCTACCAATACACCGGTATATTGTTTAGCTGAAAAAAAAAAGTTACATTCTTTGAGGTATTTATTATCTTTTGTCCAATGTTCACCCCTTTATCCCGTGGCTATAGCTCATGTGATATGAAGGGAAGGATATGGAAATAACGAACAGTATTCTTTTTGTATCCCACACTTAAGTGCAGTTATGACGTCACAATGGTTTTTGGGTTGGCGTGATAAAGAAAAATATGGTGGAGTCCTATATTAAAACAGTGTAAAACATAGAATCTGAAGTAGTAAACATGGGAAAAAAAGAATCTCCCATGATTGTAGTTGGATATGATTTTATCACCAAGGCTCGGGGATAAAAATCACGCAACTCGATGGATAAATATCATATCCAACTACAAAGCATAAGAGATCATATATCTTTACAAAGTATCTTTAACCAATATGCAATAAATATTTTAAAGTAGTGTATCATAAAAGAATATCGCCCTAGTTTTTTAAGACGACTATTTCCGGTGTATTGTTCTTAATAATCTTCTACAAAACTTTCTGGGAATAGTATTGTCCAAACACAAAACACATGACTCTAAATAGCTCTACTTTAACTTTATTGTAAAATAAAACTTATACGTCTGTATATTATTGACTAATTAGGTATTGAGCCTGGGTATATGGTAAATGTTACCAGGGTAAATTTTATTATGTTAAAATGACATATTTGTGTTTTGTTGAGCTTCAAGAATGGTAAACCCAAAACCTGATTACATGTACTTATATAACATATATCAGTCATATAAATCATATTTTGTTTTCACAAACATCTATATAAAAAAGAACAATCTTTATTTTCTTTTATATAGAAGACATACCGTAGTCATCTTTTAATCTTAGTTTAATTTTTTTTTTGCAGAATGTGATTTTGGTACGTATGGAGCAGGGTGTTTAAAACTGTGCAGTGGCAACTGTTTTGAAAATAAAACCTGTAATAACGTTCATGGAGAATGCATGGATGGATGTAGAGAAGGCTTTAAGGGAACTTTATGTAATGAAAGTAAGTAATGCAAGTCATATTATGTCATGTTGTTTTTCTTGTAAATGAAGCATTGTTGCCGAAGCAGGCAACTAACTATTTACTTTTCTCCTCCATATAAAGATTAAATGTTAACCTCTTTAATGTATTCATTTCAAATTATTATCCATATATCTAATGTAATATATGAAGATAACAAATAGTATTTAAGATCAAAAGTCCATTAAACAGTGCAAAATAGTAACAGAGCAAAAACCTACCTCCAAAACATCAGACTTGGGATCGGGTGCCATGGAGAAGTGAGTATCCCCTGCCAACCGGTAACACCCGCACGGTGCTCCTTCTAATGATCGGGAAAATGCGCAAAAATCCATCGTCAATTCAGTTTGTATACATGAAGACCTAAAAAAAGTCACTCAGCATTTGGTTTAATGATGAATTGTATTTTCTGACAAAGTCATTGTATTTACATGAAACTTACGAAATAATGACTTTCAACAAGACTGCTGATTACTAGAGTACTCTATGCCACCTCTGATGTTTTGAGGGTCCTAGTTTTTTCTGCTATAATTTTGTGAATGTTTAATGGACTATAGAGCTTAAATGCTGTGCAATATCTCCATATATTTTATTTGTATATTTGTATGTATAGTTGAAAAATCCTGAGTTTTTATGCTGTTGATTTTGGTACAATTTTGTGATTTTAAATTTTCCAAAATCAACTTGGAGTTTTTAAATATCCACATCTGATTTGCAAACATCTTGAATATATTGTCGCAGAGTACTTTTGAAGTTTCTCCTTCACTACCCTTAATATTTTAGTTAGGATTAAAGAAAGAGGCTTGTTGGTACATTTACTAGAACCCGCTATGAATCTGTGTTTTTAAGGATTTTTTATGAAGTTTTGGAATCCAATGTAGATATTGTACATGTAATTCAAATTCATTCGCATAAGATTTATTATTATGTCCATAATAAGAGTTATGGACAAAAGTTGGATTACACTAATAGAATCAAATCCAAGTTCCTCCTTACTAAATCTAAATAATGGGTCTAACAAACAAAGACAATGTTCTTACCTGCTGTGTCAAAAGGGACCAGTACTTATTGATCATGTAATCTATCTAGTTCTTTTTTCACTTCTGAATTACTGAACACAGAAGGATAACTGGATTTTATTTTGCTACTATATCGCTTAATGCGAGACATTTCATCTATTCCGACAACGTGTCAAGGTCTTCTTTTTCATGTTTTTCATGAAATTATTACACCAGTTAATAGATGCCTTAATTTTTGGCCTTTTTACTTTACTGATTGAAGATCCTCATTATTTACTATGTTAATGTCACCAGAAATAACATGTCCAAAAGGACTATAGTGAGGAGGAATATGAATCTACATGACTTTTACTAATAGCATCACAATAGTATCACAATAAGAGATAAAAGATATCTTAAAATTTAAATAAGGTCCGGGCGAAAATGTTGATAATGGGGACAATCATCATGTTTAAATGCATTTCGATTCCCCTGAGCACTCTATTTTTTCTTTGAGGGAATAAAAAAAACATACTATCCCATTAATAACCCTACTTCAAGTAGCCCATTTCCGTACACAATAAAAAAAACTGGATCAGGGAAACTTGGTACGGCCTTTCCGTATCATTGCAACATCCATACTTGGAATCTCAAATACCCACAATATGCAAAGGAATTTGCTGGGACATTTTAACAACACCTAGATGTAGGCGTATTCATGGATAATGAATATTATCAATAAAACAAGATGTCTCATTTGATTCCCTATAAACGTACGCCAATAAACAATTAGGCCTTCATTATATTTGCACATAAATCTACTAACTTGCCTTTAAGGTTATGAATGGACCATTAGAGGACGATACACCAATTCCATACTGTAGTTTTATGAACTTCAGAATATACACTAGTGTTTTTGATAATTCATGTTCCCCTACACAGGCTCTTGACTACCACGTGTGTCGAAGGTAAAGTAATTCCAAATCATCCCTCCAGGTATTTAAACTTAAACTTTCCAACATAGGTATACGAGGGTTGTCCCGTAAAATCGTGGACAAAGCGTTTTTCTCAAAAAGTAATGGGCGCACTAAGCTGAAATTTTCAGTAAATGTTTATTCATCATATTTAAGTGCATCATGATATTTTTGATAATGTATAGACAAAAATAAAGATTTTATTATGCTTGAATGTGCACAGGGTACGGTACTACGGCGCACGGTAAAAATAACAAGGTTATTTTAGAGAATTCGAATACACAAGAATTAATTCGTAATAAAAGTTTTCAGTACATAAAAATGGGATGAAAAGTATCATAATTCGATTCCTTAATCAATTTTGTCGTCTTTATGAAAATTCCAAGGCATTAGGTTAATTTTTGGCAGTTTCCCGATTATTCAAAATTGGAAAGTGGTAAACACAATACACAAAAAATCGCGATTTTTGATGACATTACGGCGCATCGGAGAGCAGTTCAGTTAGATTTGAATGTTGTAATGACACCTTAAGAGACTTTAAATGAATACAGAAGAAAGAAAAAATGACAAAAATCACCAGATATTTAGAATATAAATGAAATGGAAGTTTTCTTAGCGAATTCTTTTTGATTGAATCCTCAGGTAGTACAAAATATACGGACAAACTGCTATTGTAATAGCAGAAGACGCTGTCATTGTCGACCGTTGATACATGTATGAGATTCTATGTTATTTAAATGCTGGTGAGAATATACTGTCCAAAACTTGCTAATGAATTTTCAAAAAATTGCATGTGTGTGCCAGATGGGTTCCTTATCTGGTTATAGACACTCACGTATGTGAATCAATGGAATTTTTAAATTTAAGTGGGACTTATCCAACTTTATTTTAGCAAAGATAAAACTTGACGCTTTTTTAGAGACTTTGACGTTATCATCCGTGCGCCGTAGGGCGATACAATACATGACATAACATCTAATAATTTGTTTATTTATGCATATATCAATTTGAAATTTGCTCTATATATTCATAATATATGTACTAAAGAGTAGTGAAAATTTCAGAACGTAGAGATGATTATTTTTCAAACTAGACAACTTGTCCACGATTTTATGGGACAACCCTCGTAGATTCTTTGAATATAGGCATCATTTCTAATTTAAAAAAAGTTAAGTCTTGCATACCACAATATTCCAAGTCCTGATCTTTCAGTTCAAACAATGTCTATTTTGATTCTGTCGAAAATTATGCAAGATGGTGGGCTAAATATGAAAACGAAGATGTCAACACATTGTCAGAAGGAATAAATTGATCTGGAAGAAATCATTTTAGAAATTTGAAAAAAAAGAATATGCAGAATATCTTTCCTTCAGTTTTCACGTGTAGAGAAAAGAATTTAAAAGGCTACATGAATCCAAACAGCAAGTCTTTTCAAAATAATATAGTTTTTTTCTTTGAAGGACTCATATTGCAACTATACGAGGGCTGTTTGGTCATTATTGAGACATTCTGTATATTTTGCTTTCTAATGAACGTCTTTCGGTGAAAATTTGCATGTACGTTTGACACACACTAAAATTGACACAAGCAAGAGATATTTTACAAATATTTAATATTTTCTCTACAATGGTATTTAAATGCGTCAATAGTAGGGGTACCCGGAGCAGTCACGAAGTAATCTATTTAAAATATGCATCACCAACGTTTTAACTCTTCGTGGACCCATAATAAAAGCGAAAATAATTTAGTTTATGTGCATAACTTTTTGAGCATTATTTCAAATTCATATTATGCAACTTTCTTAGTATTTTGATCAGAAATACGGAGATCATAAAAAAATTAAGCTTGGTAGAGAAATCTGTTAACGACGACAAAATAGATTTTGACGTCAAAGGCGGAGCAGCCAGCATACCTAAAATTTTGTGTCGCTCAATGTAGAACTATTTTTCGGGCTGAACGACCTGCTAAAACGATAACAGCGAGAAAAATTAATGTTATAGGGTTTGTTATTTCATTGGTATACATTTTTTTAAACAATTAATTCAACCAGAGTAAAATCAAAAGCTCCGGACGACCATCAGTTATTACTTACTGTATTAATATCGTTACAGTATTGATATCGTTGACCCGCGTTGCATAAATCGGCATTGCGTGATTCTAAGTCATCCTTCTCACAAAAGAAAATTTATACTGAAGTAGCAACAGCATGCATTTTAAAGAAAAGTTTAAGAAAAGAGAGTATCTTATTTTTGTAATGTTATATGTAATAATAAGGAAGGAAGAGTTTTAAACGCTTCCCGATCGTTTCACATGCGAAAACATCTCCGGCTGACGTGACGTTAAATAATGTGGCGATACTGCTCCGGGTCGACAGACATATGCATGTTTATTATTTCACCGAAACTTATCTAATTATTATAGGAATTAGAACTTTTGCATATGTGTTTTTTTTTCGTTCTATATAAAATGTTGATGAATTTTCATGAAAATATCTCCGTCCTTTATGAAGTAAATGTAATTGTCTCAATAAATTCCGAACAGCCCTCTTATTTTAGAAGAATTCGGTTTAAATTCCACGGCTAGAAGTCCATCTTATATTTCAGTTTCACATTCTAACGATGTTTCTTAAAATTCTATCGAACAGGATTGGTTCGATCTGCCTTACCTATACTGGATTCCTAAACTTCATAAAAATCCTTACAAACACAGATTTCTCTGTCGTGTCCAACAAATGCTCTACCAAGCACCTATCTTCACCTCTTACAAACATTTAAATTGATGTTTCTGTGGAGAAACTTTCGGTGAACTAAGCTATAACTTATTTTAGCATGAAATATGTGAAAATAACGAACAGTATTCAACATGTTCAAGCTGAGAATCTATTTAACATTTAGCTTGATAGATTAATGGATTGCATATTGTTTAAAGATAGGCCACAGTACTTTTACCCATCAACGTAATTCACTAAACCTGCTTTATAAAACATTTTGGCGAAAACCCGACTAAAATCGGTACCGCCATTTCAAAGATAATCAATGTTGAACGTCTGCATTTGCACCTGTGAAAACGATCAATAATCCTTGACAATGTCACTTCCGGTTTAAATGCAATCAAGTTCAATGACGTCACAAGTGTGTCTCGCTTCCCTCGAGTGAGAGGTGAATAAATGAAAGAAAAAGCTGTTTCGGATAATTCTGATAGTCCATTAGAGAAAGAATCGCTAGAAATTTCTTGTGGATCGTCAAGTTTTAATGAGGATTTATTGCTGTGCAATAATATAAAAAATCTGGGAGTAGAACCCTTTCGTTTTGAGCCCTACGCTAGAATCGACCACAAACGATGTGGAACCCGAGGAAGCAAATCGTTTGCATACTATTTACGTTTATACTATTGATTGGTATGTGAGTAAATCGATAGAAAATATTCTCGAGTAGCATTTTAAATCATTATTTTATAAAATATATTGAATAAAAACACAATTCGACACATTACCTATTTAACCCCCCCCCCTAAAACTTTTTATAAAAGCCTAAACAGCTTTGACAACATGAATAATGTAAGTCCCTACTGATTTTAATTTTGCGTTCATTTTTTTTCATTTGTTGTGGTTTAATAAATATTTTTTTCATTGTCTTTTTTTATGATTTGCCATGTTGTTGTTTTTTAACAAATGACCCCAGCTCCTCCAGTAAAAATGGATGCCTGACTTTTTGAAATTAATTTAGAACAAAATCGCGTTACTTCGGTTCTTGCAGTAGTATAAATTTGAAAATATAAAAAAATTGTATGTTTTACAATTTTGTAAAAAGAAATAAAAATGTTTTTATACTCATATCAAAATAAATTAGGAATTCAATTTGTTAAGCTCTAAAAAAAAAAAATAGGTTACGTATATAGGAGTATATATACGAGAGATCTGGGCTTGATGCAACACAATCAATTCGAAGTCAGATGTTAAATTCGACTTTCAGAGTATACTAAAATTGTTAAAATATAATTGACATGTATAATCTGTTTTTATGTGCCACCTTATTCACGTGTTTGTACGTTTTTCATGCAGTATTTTATTGAACAAGTCAAGGGTCCCGGATGACATTCTACCGGTACCTTACAGGCCGGGGGGCCATAAAACTTAGACGAGCTCACTTTTGATCTCAGTCTCACTTTTTCCAAAGGAATTAATAGTGGAAAAGTGAGACTGAGATCAAAAGTGAGCTCGTCGAAGTTTTATGGCCCCCAGGCTAGATGTCTAATCTAAACATTACTGTAATATAGAAGTTGATACACAGTTACATACATGTAAATTAAATAATCAATTAAATTCATATTCAGTGTCAATGTGAACAAAACAGTTTAAGTAAAGATGGTGTGAAATGGGTCTCACTCCTGAAAATCCAAACAATATAATTTGAACAATATTTATTCAGTGTAAACTGAGTAGATTGGGCAACAGGCTAAGCCTATAGATACCCTCTCTATAACAGGTCAAGGTTACAACACAATGAACAGAGTGGATATTTACTCGGTAGCTTGTGACTGTAAGCAAAAGTTTGAATTATTTGTGATATACAGATCATTATGCATAATGGACTTTTGCGAAGACACTGACTTTTACAGTTGACGGCTTACTTTTACAACAGGAAAATATACGGTAGCTCTTTTGTGAAAAAATATTGATCTGAATATTTAACAAAAAGATAATAACGGGCTATTTCAAAGATCATATTACGTTGTCTAGGACGAAAACAGCAATATTCCTACCCTCAACACCCTCCCTTCAAGTCTTGACTAACTTCTGCCGAGTTTTCCTACCGAAATGTGTCTTCTTCTTTATTCAGTAATTTCATTTCTTAAGTTATTTAAAATAAAAGGATATATTAATTCGCTTGAATAAAGTATCCAAATAAATTTCATTTTACCATCAATTATAATTTTCGTTTGATAAATTATTTCTAAGCCCCGAATACAATAACTTTCACCTCTTGAGATGTTTTCTATTTTCTTTTTTCAATTCCGTACCTCCGTACATGACGCAGGTTTAAATGTCCAAGTAAGCTGTCGAATGTAAAAGTAAGTCTCTTCATAAACTCCAATGTGCACAATCGGCAATCTTGGGCTTAGTCCGCTACACCCCATTCAAACACAGGTATACGAGCCATCCAAGGCGTGTACGCCATACACCCCCCCCCCCCCAATAGAATTAATAAAGTCACAAATTAATGATGATTTTATGAAGAAAAAAAAAACGTACTTATTTTTTTTTAATCCTATTTAATTTTTCATTCTTATAGTTATGACAGGGTGGGTAAATCTTAAAATAAAAATGTCGAAATTTCTTTTATTCCTGATTGAAAAAAAAATAATCATATGCCGTAAACAGACAGGTATAGAAAGGAACTTAATTTGTGGGAAATGGCTTTTTAAAGGTTATTTTACAGAGATAGTCCTGAAGTCAACAGGCAATATTATAAAGAGTTCACAAGCGTAAATATACATGTAAGCAGTGATTAAATACAATCGCAGTGTAAATTGAGATACACTCTAGGTCTACGTCAACACTAAGAAACGGGGTGCACAGCTTCCAAATATCAAGTTATCATGATCCTCTACAAATGCCATCTATGATTGAGAAAGAATACGGAACTAATGAGGTTTGAAAAAAAAATCTACATGCACCCTGCACTTTACTGATGATGTGAACTTCAAAACAATGATCCGGCACTTCATTACAATGTAATTGATCAAATATATGAGCGATGTTTTTTTAGAAGGGGGGGGGGGGGTGTGCTGCTTGTACCAGCGTTTTCAAAGTTATGGTCGAACTAAAATAGAATTTTTTAGTAAATTAAATGTGAAAAAACAAAAATGGAGAAGCAAAATCGAAACGAAAAATAAAATAATTAATTTTAAAAAATTTAGAGAGAATAAAGAAAAAAATCGGAATTAATTATTGAAAGGCTTTCCTTTCCGTAGTGATAAAAAACTTGTGCATCCAAAAAAAAAGTAGTCCGGAACTATATTGTTTTTGCCAGAGATGAAATTAGGCCTAGTAATCAGAAAATAAGATTAACGTACTGCCTGCATGATTTAAAGGCGTTTGATTTTAAAATTTTACGTGAACTAATGCTTGTTCGCTCTTCATTTTAGACTATACAATATTCTGTATGTCACACTTGTGACGTCACACACGTCACTTCCGGTAAATAGCTAATTTCAGTGCGAGCTCACAGGTGTAAACTAAGCTATTTTTAGTAATATCTCTAATCAGCAAGAGAGGTGGTAGCTGTGCTGTATATCATTTTACTCGTATTTATAATGACTATCAAACTATGTTAAAATGTAAACCCTACCAAGCCTTTCTTTAACGTTCCTCTCCAGAATTTTTTACTCATATGGAGACGTCGATACTTGCCATATTTTCTTTATTTTATAATAGCAACAATACTTTATCTTACAGAGGTATACAAATGTATCAAATATTTGGAAATCAGACGAAAAACATAAAGCAGGTAAAACTTTGAAAAAAGAATTAAATCACAAAAATGTACTCTTCAATAACCACATGACTGCATAATTTGCAAATTTCAGAAGCCTCCAATAAGAATTATAGTCGGGAAAAAAAGGTAGGTCTTCAATATTAAGATCCAATCTTAGTAAATTTCTTTTATTCTCGTATCAAGCTTGTGAACATGACACATTCGGACCGAACTGTTCTGGCATATGTAGCTTGCACTGTGTGAACAGATCATGTAATCACGTAACTGGATCCTGTGATAATGGTTGCAAACCGGGATGGAGGAATGACAAATGCTATGAAAGTAATTAATTCATAAAATTTACCGATACTGACAAAGAAAACAAATTAATTTAATCAGCCATGCTTCAACTTCTTCGTGATACTTATTATTTTCTTAATATTTGATTTATAATGAAAAAGACAACAAAGATATTTATTTATCATGCTTAAATTTTATAGTAACTTTTATTTCGTGTATTTTCCTGGAAAGATCAATGTTGTAAATTGAATTTATGTTTTTTCATCTTATAGAATGTAAAAATGGTAAATTTGGTATTATGTGTAAAGAGGAATGCAGTGGAAATTGTTTGAACAATGAAACTTGTTATCATGTGGACGGTCAGTGTATTCACGGATGTCAGACAGGATTTCAAGGCGAGAAATGTGACGGTCGTGAGTTTTTTGTTTTGCTTGCTGAAATATGAGATGCATTTTATATTAAAAGATTTTTTTGTGATATATTCTAATTATACGCATGCAGCTTTTACCTTTACTAATTGATTTAGTTGTTGGATTTCCAGCTTGTGATTCGGGATACTTTGGAGAAAAATGTTTACAACTTTGTCCTGTAAATTGCTACGATAAATGCAATAATGTAAATGGACTCTGCAAATGCAAAAACGGATGGATAGGAAGACATTGTACTGAAGGTATATCTTTTTGAAATATTACGATTATAAAAAGAGAGTTATGACTGTGCTTATCATGTGGTTTTTATGGTCATATTCGAAAGACCTGTGACTTTCACTTCTAGTGCCGAGCGCTTTGCGAAAGAACAGTCACTACCTTTGTTTACATCTTAGGTGTGACGCGGCACCGCAAACGAGAATCGAACCCGGACCTCCTGATCGAAATATTTGAGAGTCATTCTTATCTAGCCTTCTGACTCAATCTCTCTAACAGTATTCACACTAAAAAAATTGCCCCTCTATAATCTCATTTATATAAATGTGTGTGTTTTAGTACCCCGGAATACAATTATTTTTCAGTTTAAATGAAGCATAAATTGTAGTTTTATATTATATTATAACCACAGTGTGTCCACGGGAAAGGTATGGAGAAGATTGTAAACAAAACTGTAGTGGAAACTGTATCAACAATGATACATGCCACAATATAAATGGATATTGTCTCTGGGGTTGTCGTGATGGATTTCGAGGGAAACGTTGTGATAGACGAAACGAACTTGGTATGGGTATTACAGCCTATCAGTAATTTTTTCTTTGTGGTCCTAATAAATGAATTTTATTAATATGTAATATAATTAATATATACATTCTAGTACTTTGCACTGTCTTTGCAGTCTCAATATGATTATTATTCACGCTGTAGCATGCTTTCTATACATGATATATATTTATTTTGCATATTTCTCTTACAATAGATTTTACAGGAACATGTATGGAAGACAGAAGCAGTGTTGGCGGACTTACAGCAGGATTGGTTATCTCCTTCCTGCTGAATGTGGGATTCTCTTTTATTACACTTCATCTGATCCGGTAAGACAGCGGAAATCATTAGTTACAAATATTAATATAGAATATGGCCTCTTCATACCGATATTTAGATTCTAGGTTTCATATCAATAAAAAAAGTATACAATAGATTTTATCATTTTGTTTATAATTTGTTAAGATCTGAAAAAACAGTATGGTTTGAAACTAAAATGTAAGCATTTTTAACTTCAGGAAGAAGAGAACTAAAAAGGAACCTGACCAGCCCTTCTACGAAATCAGTGACAGGGAGGATTTCCAACAAGGCCATGTTGAAAATCACGCATACGAAGAGCTAAATTCCACACAATCCGTCCACATTTATCGCAATCTCTCGCTAAGTGACAACAGAACAAACACAGCATAACCAGATTACTACGGGGTTGAATTAAAAGGAACGATGCATCTGCTAATCAAATGTTATTAACAAGGTTTTACGTATTTATTCCAAGATAAATGTCTTTTGCTGCACGGAAAACTATCTCGGACTGTAAATGTTTCATTTGGATCAACCCTCGAACAACCGTAAACATTATAAGCTTTATAACTAAAATAATGAAATTAATTTTTAATAAACTAAAAATGATTCAAGAACTTTAACATTTTTTTGAAATTAAACTAAACAAACTTCTTTTATCGTAGACACCCATTCCAAAAAATGGTTCTCATCTGCAAGTGTGAAAATATCACGAAAGCCAACCAGAAAAGATTCAAGAGGGACAGGGTGGGTTCTTGACTTTCCACAGACTACCAGATTTTCCAGAAAATTCGGCTCGATCGTAGGGTTATCTTAACGTATCTAAGATAATCCGAATTCGTGTGGAAATATAATACCATATTTCACCATCAGTATACGAACCAAATAGTCTAGAATAGCCCTAAAATATTTGGTTGACTTCTGCCGATTTTAACAGATAACAGAATTCAACTGGCACTGTAATGATCTTATTTGCAAATAAGGCCAACCGTTTTCATCATATTATGTCTGATATATTCTTTACATATACTAACTGATAGTCCATTGACTAATGATGCACCAAAGTAAAATGATTTAAGATTATTCCGTCCAACCGATCAAAATACAGTAGTGAGTTATCCATGTTATCTGTATCTATTGGTGTTCGACGGTGACTTAAGCATTAGTTTGCCTTACGCAAAAAAGTTTGGATATTGTTTCCGACCATACGACAAAACGGACGTTTCCACTTGATTGCACGTAATAATTGTATATTAATTACTTTTTCCAAGCGGCCTTTACATTTTCCTCGAATATAAAATTTATTTCCATAGTTCAATTAACTGGAACAACATTGAAAACATCAAAATCTCGTAAATAAATATAGTAAACTTGAACAGGTTATAAATAATATTGAACCTAGATACGATTAAAAGGAAGTAGAACCCATGTTCCGTTTTTTGTGGTATCCTTTGAATCTCAGCAACAATATGATTAAAGTGAAAAAAAAATGAGTCTTTATTAAAAGGTTTCAAGGAAGAAACTTGGAAATTTTAATTAAATTATGTTGTTTTATATTACATTCGAGAAATCGAATGCTTTAATGACCTTTTCTGATCATAGAGTGTTCACCGTACCGCGTCCGTTTTTTTGTTTGTATTCCGACATCTGCCGTCAGGAAACTTCTTTATAATGCTGACGCTGACTATGACACGGGACCAGGTATTGAAGTTAATGCATCCAAAAATAGCGTTTATTGCCGAGCATTTCAGGACGTAAAAATCATTAGTTTTCCAACTGTTTTTTTTTTTGACGCAGAGATTAAAACAAACATCTAACAGGCAGATGTTCACATTGTTACTGCAAAGGACTATGAGGCGATATCATCACAATCTACATATAATATTTATCATTAAATTCACATTTTCATTACTGGGTACAAAGTTCTCCATCATTTGAAATATTACCGTGTTGCAGACTTTACGTGAAACAATTTCGATTAAATTCACAGCTGAACCCACTATTCATTCATATAGACATATTTTGAATTCCTTATTCATTACAGGGTCAATTGAAACATATGGAGATAACGAATAGTATTAAGACCGAAAATCCATTAAAAAAATCCATTAAACAATACGAAATAGGAGCAGAGGAAACATGGACCTCCAAAAGAATGGAGGTGGGATCAGGTGCCATTGAGGAGTGAGTATCCCTTGCCGAACGGTCAAACCTGCCGTGTGCTCCTTGTCATTATCGGGAAATAACGGAAAACTCCGTCGTCAATTCAGTGTATAAATAATGGAGTAGCAATTAGTATGAAAAACGTCAGTCAACATTTGACTCAATGATAAATTGTATTTGTTGACATGGTAATTGTATTGACCATAGAACTTACGAAATGATGACAGTAAACGAGAAATTCTTGTTTCATCAACTTGTTTGTCGATAATTTACCTCGTTTTAGAAATTGTTCATAGAGCATGCTTTTGCGTATGAAATAATCTGATATATACATGTATAAACCCCGTTTGTAGCTGATGGAGGTATATTGCTGCATAAGTTAGGGAAGGCGACGATACAAAAAGTTAAAATCATCACGTTTATCATATATTTTGGCTGTTAGATTACAATTAACGTCTTTTCAAGTAAATGTCCAAATACAAAACAGATGGGTCAGACTTTGTCAGTCTCTCTTTTATCTCAAGTCCACCAGTATATGTGTATGGAAATAAGAATGGAAATTACCATTGATAATGGACAATACGTCTTCGATATATCTAAACGTCGAGTTGAAGGTAACATGAATAGATTTCTTCTTTTAACGCAGAGAATTTTGCAGAAAGTCTGCGTTATATGAACACAAAAATAGGTCGGCTAATAATGGGGCGCAATTGGTACCTATGGGAATTCCAATAGAACGTGGAAAGACCTGGTCTCCAAAAACTACATAGATACTGTCAATTAGGAAATTAGAAACTCATACATCTTTTGGATACTAACTTAAGAGTAATTGTGTATACTATCAGAATGCTTTTTAACAAAATAATTTTACAAATGACCAATGACCAGATAAGTAAGTAAAGAAATTTATGAGTTCCATTTTTATTGAAAAAACAGCTGTCAATGATGACAAAAACCCACACGAAGACGATGGAGGGATATGTCTCAGATATACCATATTCAGAACCTGTAAAAAATTTTGATGATGATGTATGATGTAGATGATGTATATTTGTAGGAAATACAAGGTGTAGTCTTTGACTTGAAGTATGGTGGAATTCAAGACTGGACTCTTTCCTCATTAAGAATATTATTTTATATATTAACCGCGTGAATTCCTTTGTTGGCATCATATTGAAGTTAAAGGAAAAAAACGGATTGTTTAAGCTGCATCTTCTTTAGTAAAGTTCCAAGGTTTAAAAAGGCTATGGTTTGTAATATTCATAATCGCAGATCCGAGACTGTGCATGTAGTCTTGTGTTGAAGAATTTCCTTGACCTTTTCAAGAAGACTCATCAATAGTTTCAAAGGGGAAGCCTAAACCTTTTTGCAATCATGATGAAGACTTTACTGTTGATTAACATATAAGATACTAGCGAATCAAAAGAATCATCGTGTATCAAAGGTTTATTGTAAAACCAATGTCCATGGTTACGTTTACGTCTCTGTGTATGTACATTGTTAAAAAGTTGTCCAGAAAGATTTCCAACACTATCGACATTGTCATTGCATCCATAGGGAAATGCAATGACGTTTATCCTAATCTCCATTTTACAGAGAATATGATTGATTGTGTATTGTTTAACGCCCCTCTCGAGAATTTTTCACTCATATGGAGACGTCACCGTATGCCGGTGAAGGGCTTTTAATTTATACCTATACTCGGCACTCAGGGCGCCATTGAGCAGTGAGAGTTCTTTTCGTGCCAGCGCCTACCGTGACACGGGACCTACGTTTTTAAGGTCATATCCGAAAGATCCTTGTCTTTCACTTCTGATGCCGAGCGCTTGGCGAAGGAACAGTCACTACCTATTTTTACGTTTTAGGTTTGACGCGGCGCTGCGAACGAGTATCGAACCCGGGCCTCGCGTTCACGAAGCGAGCGACCTGCCACTAGGCTACCGTGAATGATGTGAATGATACAGAGAATATGACTACAGACAGTGTATTGTTCTATCTTACTAAATTTTAACTTGCTTCGTAATCCGATTTTTGCAGTTTGAAAATCTTAATAAATGTTGACATAGATCACAGGGGCATCGTATCCAGTCTGTTCTCTACTTCACATATAATAATTTATTTGTGAAGTAGAGAACAGAGTGGATAAGATGTCCCTGTGCATAGATTAATACAAATCATTTGGATTTATTCTTCAAATATATCTACCAAATTTTGATAAAATAAAAGTTCGAGGACGATGTCAATCTTCCACGACCTTTTTGAACAACCCTCGTACATCCTGTGTTGTCTACGTCACAATGACTTCCGTCAAAAAGACAACAATCAACTTGATGTCAAATTGAAAGATAATTTGACTTCATTTTGATACAGATAATAAAGGGAAAGTTAAATTTGAAAGATGAATTTAATGGCTACCCAAACTAAACGGGTATAATCTCTGCTGGAACGCTTTTTCAAAAACCGCTTCCCAATCCAGATTATATTTAATATTCTTTGAATAATAAATTTTTTAAAGAAATATTGTACATGCACTTAAAACATGCTTAATCGAGATATTCAAAAAATAATAGATAGATTTTCTTTGATTTTGGACTAATTTTCAGGAATGAGGAATCGATATTAAACTAAAATAACCTTTTTTCTACTTTGACGTAGAATTTAAATATTTTTAAATTATTCATGAACAAAATTTAAAGGGATTGATTAAACATTTACGTTTGTTATCTTGCACTACTGGTCTAAAAATATAACGTTGTCGTCCTTGACTGCACACTGTTACACATGTAAAATCCAGATGACATGTTTAAAATATGCGTGTTATATTTATATGTTTACTTCTTAAGTTTTTTAGTGTGAAGTTTTCATTAGGATACGGTTTGTATTAGATATTTCTTTACTCCTTAGAATATCACTAATTTTGCTTCTTTCATTTCATTTGATGATTACTAGAACCAGGAAGTAAGACAGTAATTGGTAGCAACATGTAAAAGTTCAATTCATATTTTGAAACTTCTTTATCGTAGACTTGTACCTCTAAATTCCTTAGATCTTTCTTTTCATTAATAAGAATATAAATGAGAAGGATACATAAATGTATACAGAGTACATGTTGTATAGTCAGAGTGAACCTTAAATTTGAGCTAACCTGCAGTAAACACAGACCTCCTGTACAAAAATATTTTTCTACTGCTAGGAAGGGATGTTTGATATGAACAAACTCAAGTACAACTTATTTCACACCCTGTAGGGCGCTCTCAAATAAACGGTCTACTAACATCAGCTCCCCCCTAAAATACAACAACCCTTCCATCACGTAAACAAACCATAAAATAAATAAATCATCAAACAAAAAATAATAAGTCAGTGTTAAAATATCTCAATGTAAATTTAATTTTTGATTGGTTGATAAGGGTAGAAAAGCAACATACTGTCGGAATCGTACTACGAAATATGTCGATCACTGTTCGTTATCTAGCTTCACCAATTCTTTCATGTCTGTTGTCATGTTTGCAGTTATGCACAGTATATGCAGATTTTTTTGTATTCTATGCGTACCCATGTGTCCACATATTATCCCTTGGTACAATCATTCTATTTCAAGTGAATAAAATTGAATAACATCTGTTTCGTACACACTCTGTAGATGTAAAGTATAACGAAAAACAGGTTTCCTGAAATTGTATGCACAAGAGATGTTTATCCCCTTTTTTGGGATACATGTATATGACATTCCAACATATATTTTATATTTTTATTTTGAGGATGACTTCTAGCCGTCAAGGTACCTCATTTGGTAGAAAAATGTATGTTCGAATCACTGCCGCAACTGACCGAAGTCATTGAAAAACTGGTAGCAACTGCACACGGCAATTTGAAGTGAAACTTGTGGGTCCTTGTGATGAGACCTTTAAATCGAGGCTCCTTATCACGAAAGGATTTCGCACAAATTTCGCACAATAAACATCCCTTGTTGCTCAATGGCCCTGAGTAAAGGTATAAATTTGAAGTTTACCGGTATATGGTGACGTCTCTATATAAATGGAAAATTCACTGACGAGACGTGAAACAACGTACAATCAATCAAGTATTCGTTTTCTTAATTATGTTCCCCAAACGAAGTTGGGGAACATATTGGTTTTACTCTGTTTCTTATTATTAGGGTCTTCCGTCTTCAGCGGAAGACCCTTCTATTATTCTTATGTTTCTTTTTCAATTTTCTTATTATTATTATTATTATTCTTTTTCTCTGCACAAATTTTGTGCAGAAGATTTCTCAGAGATGGCTCGATGGATTTGCTTCAAATTTTCAGGGTTGATGCAGGATCATCTGAAGTTTATACCATTTTTTGGATTTTTTGAAAATCACTTCCGGTCTAGAGTTATCGCCCTTTTATTAAAATTCAGCGGACCTTCTTGTCCGTCATTGATCTCAGAAACGACTTGAGCTAGAGCGCTGAAATTTTCAGTGATGATAGAGGACATGTCCCCAGGTTACTGGGAGTTTGGATAGTTTCCGGAAGTACCTAGTATGGAAGCTCGGTAGGGGTCAAAATTTAGGACACGAATCACGAGTGATTTTTGGAGACATTTTGCATCATATCTTTTAAAGTATAAATATTTTGTAAGAACATACTGAACAATATTTGTGCAGAATGACAAGATCTTTCATATGATTCCGTAAAAAAAGTGCTGACTCATCACATTAAGGGCCAAAAGGGGCTAAAAGTCTTTTTTCGATAACTATTTTACAGTAAATATTTTGTTATACATTAATGAAGCAAAAATGTTTATCTCAACAATCTACAACTGTATATTATGATTTTAATATCGTATGGTACATAATTAGGGGTCACAAGGGGCCAGAATGAGAAATCTTTGACGCTTGATATCTCGAAAATGAGAAATATTTTGACAAGTAATATTGAACAAAAGATGTTCAAAATCATGTTCTGAACAATATGCAACCTCTCATTTTTTGCTAAACGTCCCCATTAGGGAGTTGAAGGGTTGGCCCCTTAATATTTCTTTTGCAAATAACTCGAAAACAAAAAAGAATCTCTGAATAGTTGTTGAACACAAAGGGTTCAAAATCTTAAGAACTTTAAAATAAAATCCAGGAAAAGGGGCTGGGTACTCAAATTAGGGGCCAAAAGGTGCTAAAAGTCTTTTTTCAATAACTCTTTTACAGTAAAGAATTTGTTATACATTAATGAAGCAAAAATGTTTATTTTAACAATCTACAACTGTATATTATAATTTTAAAGTCGTACATTACATAATAAGGGGCTACAAGGGGCCAGAAGGCTTAATCTTTAATGCTTTATATCTCGAAAGTGAGAAATATTTTGATAAGTAATGTTGAACAAAAGATGTTCAAAATCATGTTCTGAACAATATGCAACCTTCCATTTTTCGCTAATTGTCCCCATTAGGGAGTTGAAGGGTTGGCCCCTTAATATTTCTTTTGCAAATAACTCGAAAACAAAAAAGAATCTCTGAATAGTTGTTGAACAAAAAGGGTTCAAAATCTTAAGAACTTTAAAATAAAATCCAGGAAAAGGGGCTGGGTACTCAAATTAGGGGCCAAAAGGTGCTAAAAGTCTTTTTTCAATAACTCTTTTACAGTAAAGAATTTGTTATACATTAATGAAGCAAAAATGTTTATTTCAACAATCCACAACTGTATATTATAATTTTAAAGTCGTACATTACATAATAAGGGGCTACAAGGGGCCAGAAGGCTTAATCTTTAATGCTTTATATCTCGAAAGTGAGAAATATTTTGATAAGTAATGTTGAACAAAAGATGTTCAAAATCATGTTCTGAACAATATGCAACCTTCCATTTTTCGCTTATTGTCCCCATTAGGGAGTTGAAGGGTTGGCCCCTTAATATTTCTTTTGCGAAAAACTCGAAAACAAAAAAGAATCTCTAAATAGTTGTTGAACAAAAAGTGTTCAAAATTCTAAGAGCTTTTAGATGAAACCCAGAAAAAGGGGCTGGACAC